GTAAAATTACATTCACCACTTAGCTCAAAATCTTAAATATAAATTAGAAAAAGTTAATAGCATGGTGAGACACTGCTAGTATATTATATATATCATAAATAATTATTATTAATTTATAATTTCAAGTAAATTTATATTTATTATGTTTTACTAAAGTTCTTATGCTTACACCACTGTCAGATTTTTCTATGTGTGCTTCTTGTAATTCTTCTACGTGATTACTAGGAAACCAATGTTGGCGTTTTCCGCCATAATCACCACGCCACCAACCACTGTCTTGTTTCACAACATTTGTAATTACAGCATGCTTACAAAATGACAATTCATCATCTTGTCTGCTCTCATAATCAAATGTTGCTTTTACAGTAACCTATAAATCATAAAAAAAATATTATACATTTATTTTAAAATAATTATACAAAAGTTTTTAACGCATAATTAATACAAAAGGTTAAGAACTGCTGCTTTAAAGTAAATAAACTTATTATTCCTGTAAGTGCTTTAATTTTCTAAGGAGAAATTTAATTTATAATGATTTTAAATTATAAAACTACATCTAATAATAATACATAGTTTTGATTTTAGGGAATTTTATAAAAAGTTAAAAGCACGATTATTGATTAAAATTTTTTTTTCTAGAAGCAATATATTATTTAAAAATAATTATACCAACTAATAAATATAATAACCTAACTAACCACTTAAATGGTCAATCTAATTTATAAATTTTATTTTATTTACCTTCTTAATGAAACTACTTGGATCCATATAACCGGGTGTACACGAAATGGAAGAATCGTCGATATCCTGAAAACATAAAAATGTTGATATTAACTTAAGCACGCATTCAAAATAACTTTAATACAATCATTAAATATTCTATTGAAGTTTTATATAAATAAACTATAAAGTAAATATAAGTAAGAATATTTTAATTTTTTTATTTTAGTAAGATACAAATAAAACAAAAACCTTAATGGCAAATAATTATAAATGAATAAAATAATAATTGTTTCAAACTTTCATCATAAACATTCAATCATAATTGGTATATAAAAATAAATTTTATTTATAAAATTTTCAAATAATATACCTAAAATATAACTTATAAACACTTCAATAGACAATAAATAAATTCAAGTAATCCCGACTGTACTATAAAAAATACAATACAGTAACTATATATGTAATAACTTATGTTACCTACTAATGTAATTAAAACAAACTTCAAAAATAAAATAAAACACATTAATACTTGTCTACATGTTGGATTCTGAACAATTTAAAATTTTAACTGGCTAACCGCAGGTACTTAAGATATATAAATATTAGTTTTCGCCATTTTCGGTATTTTCTTATCAGATTTAATGTAATTTAGTTATATTATTGCAATTTAAAGACTAACAATTTTTTTTAAATATATGTAGATATTTAATAAACTTACACATTAATAAAATGTTATTGTATGTTTTTAATAACAATAATATCAGCTTATCAATAACTAAATATAAATTTAAAGAACATTGTAATTTTTAAGTAATCGAGGAAATTATTTTTTGAAATATTGCTTTGAATGTATAATACAAAAAAAAAATGCATTCAATACATTGATTTATAAATTCGGTCAAAATAAATATACCCGAATGATAGCTACTATTTTAGATTCTGAGCGGAACAATGAAAGTAATGATGCATAGTTATTTTATTTTATTTTTTTTTTTCATGGATGTGTAACTTAGCAGTATTTAAAATCTTAAGTCACAATATTTTTTTATGAACGTTTAAAGTTAAAATTTTGATAAAATTCACAAAAATCGTAAAAATTAAAAAATTATTTTGTAGTTAAATATTCATAATTTTGTTTTGTTTTTATACCTAAGATTTAAAAATTCAATACAAGATTCTTCATTAGTTTTTCAGTCTTTGTATGAAAAAAACTTTTACTGGGAAGCCAAATAAATTTTATTTAAACATTTTAAGTTTAAATATTTATGACATTTGATATTTATCCATAAAATAATTATTTCTTCTCAAACAACTTATGACATTTTTTTTTGTATTTAAAAAATAAATAAAAAATAATAATATTAGATACTAACTTGAAATTTTCAAAAATTTTTGACTCTTTTTGAGTTATTTATAGGCATGAGAAAGTTTTTTTATAAATATCAATAAAAAATTATTTACTTGGTCGAAATTCTTGAAAATTAAGCACAAGATCCTACTAGAGAAATTTTTATACCTACATAAAAATATTAAAAATAAAAAGGCACAATTTTTTTATATAGGTACATTTGTAATTAGAATTTTGACAAGACGATTTTAAACGATAAATAAAACAATATTTTAATTATTTTATTATACTTTAAAAAACATTGTAAGAATTTAAATTTTTTATGTATTTTTTATATAATTATCTATTTATAGGTATTAAGAATTTATAATACATTTTAAGTTATATAAATTGATATAATATGGTATAAATATGTATTATTATGATAATTAAACACTAGTTATATAATAAATGCAGTATTTAAAAAAAAATTACATCAACCTATACTATAGCATAAAAAGTAAAATAATTGATTTTAATAATTATATCAAATAAACATGTAACTTGGTGATATAAGCTAATAGCCCATTTCTACTCAGAATCGTTTTTCACATGCAATGATAGGTACATCATGAATTCAAACTTAACTGACCTATAATAGTGATCCACTCAACACCTAATGTTCAGCAGAACGGTATCATTTTATCTATTTTTTAATATTTTTATTATTTTATTTAAAAGTATAATCTCTTTAATAATTATTGTAATTCAAATATAAAAGTATATAATTTTTTTTCGTAAATTTGGCTAATAGGTTAGTAAAATTTTCATTATTAATTTTAATAACATTCATTAAATATAAATATATTTGATCCATTTCGGTTCAATAATATATCATATAATATAAGCAATATAAGCAATCAATATTACTAAAAAAAAATAATAATAATTTATTATTGACTCAACATGTACTCTAGAAAGATTAAAAACTTCAAATTAGAGAGGTCATTATTTGAAGTTCAATGAACCTTCTATAAGGGTCGAACGGTTTAATATACCTTTTGTAACAATACGTCATTAGAACTTTTTTCATTATTATTTAGTACCCATCCGAAAAACCTGATCTTGGAATTTTTAAATTATATTGCTTCAATGGGTTGACTGGGTACAGATTTTGTTATTTATGCCTAAACCGGTTATGGTGGTAGCTCAGCGTCCCATCTCTCGCGTTGTATCTCCAGGAGGATAGTTGGATATTATGTGATTCACATAATAACAAACATAATGTAATATCTAAGGGTGAAACCACTAGACGTCTAGGTGTTTTTGAAATGATAGTTACAATAACCAGACATAAATAAAAGTAGCTCATAAAAACTACAAAAGACTACACCGAAAATCGGAAGGGTGACAAGATAATACTGATACAACACATTATTTTTTAAAAAGGCGTGAAATAAAAAATACCTACATAATATCTCTTTTAGTATATTTGTATAATTTTAAATGCATTTTTAACAAATTCATCGCCGTAAATGGACTACAAAATTATGTTTTAATGAATACAATTTATAAATCATTATTATTTTCATTTTTTCTTACTAAAATATTTTATTCTATTGGTTATGAATTTATGATAGAAAATACGTAAGTCAAAATTTTATTACAGTATATATAAACTAATGTTTAATTTGTAGACATGTGATATGCGACTACGTCTACGAGTGATTGTAAAACCTTTTAAAGTTTTAATTAAAATGTTATCTTAATATAATTATATATCTATTATGTTTTATCCTTAAGTTTTATACTACCAGTTTTTTATCTTAATATTGAATCTTTAAGACACACTAAAATATTTATAAGTATAATTATTTAAAAAAATTTAATTAGAAATACAATTTTTAAAAACAATTTTTGAAACGATTACATAAAACATGCTGCGTGACACGCAATTACTTTTAAAAACGATTTATTGTTTTATCATAAAAGTGGCTGTAACCAACTATACGTTAATTACAAAATATTAAATCATATCAATACATTGTTTTAAATTAATATGAATATTTATATTTAGTTTATCAATAAATGAATCATATAAATCGCTTAAAATTTATTCAATAATATTATTTTCAAAAACTAAAAGGTAAATTAGTGTAAGAAAATGGATTGACATAGTCAAAGAGGTCTAAGTTGGTTATTAATTTATTAATAAAATATTAATTTAATTTATAAATATATTCAACGGTGCACTTATTATTTAAAAGATAAATTAATAAAATAGTTAAATTATAGTTTGTTTTAATTTTTTTTTTTTTTAATTTGAAGGTGTTAAAATAAACAACATTTTATATCGAGAATACAGGAATATAAATAACTGAAGATAATATAAGTCTTAGATTATTTTAAAATACATAATGTTATAACAACTCGAGAAATTAAAATTATTTACTAAAGAAAGAAGAAAGAAGCAACTCGTTCAAATGAATCTAATGTTTCATACAGCATGTCTTGTTTTGATGCAAGAGACAGTAATCTACCGGAAAACCCGAAGTACCAGTATATAGAATTACCCAAATATATTCATAGCGCGCGGGGTAAACGGAACATATTCAAATGATCAAGGAGTTCTAAAATTATACAATGAACTTTATCCATTCGTGCACATACTTGAGCAACCCGTTTTGATAAATATATCTTAACTAATTACCTTAAAAATAAATAAGCACTTTGTTTACACAATTTACCAAACCGATTAATATTATGACTATAGTTTTGAAACTAGATTATATTTTCATTATATGATACACACATTTAAATAAACATCACATCATAATATGAGAATCCCTAATGGAATATTTCTAGTGGTCCAGGACAAGCAGGTAGTGTGGAGGTGGTGGCAATGAAAGAAGTCAAGGCTGAAGATTATAAAAGGGGGTAGATGACGAGTTACAGGCATCAGTATAATTATTTCATTCAAACAGCAGGGTTCTGTCTGCGGTTTCAACAATGAGAAAGATGGAGTTGCCGTTAAAGAATGTCGTACAGGTGAGAAACATAATCCATCAAATTATTTTTATTACATCATAGGGATGTTAGTTTTTAAGTTTGTTTTCATGTTAAATTAACATAATATATCCAAATTTAAAAAAAATTTTATTTATACACAATTATACAAGAGTAAAATGCCATCTATATTTCAAAATTAATATATATTATATATTTAATTGCTTGCTTAAAATACTATCATAAAAAATGGTTAAAAAAATTACGATTCAATGATTTTTATATTGGCAACTGCTGTAGCACATTGTTCTCAAAGAATCATATTAATGCAGCTAACGCTAAGTTTATATTATTCTAAGCCGGAATGATTTTTTTTTAGTGCAGTAGCTCTCTATAATTGTATTATAATTATTTACTATGACGACGCAGAGATGAAAATTATGATTTAAAAAATATCATATAATTGAAAATTGAAAAACAACTAATTTTTTATCCGCATCACGAATATAGCAGTTAATAAATTAATAAAAAATAATTTAAGAGTTCAGTTAAAAAAAAAATATATTAATTATGGGTATCTACTAATGCGTTTAAGTATTTCTAAATTCCTAAGGATTATTACATTTTTTAAGTAATGCAAATCACAATACAGAATAACTTCAGGAAAATATAAAAATGATATATTATGTACAAAATGTAAAATAAATAACTATAATAACTTCAATAATGAATACTTAACCTAAGTATTAAATTGATTTTATAATAATAAAACATGTTATATTTATGTTGTAGGTACGTAAATCTAACAGTATAATTATATTCTACTGGATAGAACCAAAACGACCATAGTTAATTAAACTAATAATATTATGATATTATAAATTCTTAATTTTATATTTTGCTGCTAATTATACAAGCATTGATTATTTTTCTTTGCTATTGCATTATTTAAATTTTAGGTTAAAACAAACCTAATTTATTGAAGATTTTTTTTTAATGTGTATACTACATATAAATTTTCATTAATATTTATTCATCATTGATTTTTAAATATTAAATATACAAATAATTTGTATATTTAAAATAGACCTAACTTAAAAAATAATACGATATTATGCTTGATAATAAATTAACAACGGTAAAATACCGATTATGTTGATATTTCATATAATAATATAATAATGGATAAAAATAATACATTGATACATACAAAACATTATGAATGTCTAATACATAGTATAAAAATAAATTTAAATGATAAAGCAGACGCTTAGTCATGTAACTATGTATCATACACACATTTGCAGTCAAACATCAAACGTTAAAAATAATTATTATACCAAAAAAGATTATAATAACAGACTACCTGGGGTAGTATATTAAATAACATATTAAAAAAAAAAAACCGATTCTATTGTTGAATGGATACAATGCTTACAAATATTGTTATTTTTTTAGATACGCGCCTTTTTTCACAAGACAGGTGGTTTGTAACTATAGGGATAGAGGATGTCTAGTGGACCATAACAATATTTTATTTTTATACTACTTATAAGACAACAATTCTTAGTTTTTAAAATAACAGATGTAAATAGATATTTTATATTAATTTTGTTTTTTGATAAAATTCATAAAAAATAAAAACTGATTTAAAGTTAAGTAATTAATAGGTCCTATTAATGAATGTGAATAATAGTAAAAGGTAAAAATAGTAGAGAGGTGAAAATTTTCAAATCTCTACGAATAATATTTTTTGAATTATAACAGAATAACTAATATCATTATTTTTTGTAAATATTTGAACTTGAAAAAGTGATAAAAAATATTGTAAATAAGCATAATAATACATTTTTAATAATTTTTGGTTTCTGTAAAAATAACTTATGAATAGAACTCCGAAGTTGTAAAAGTTACAAATTACTCTATAAAAAAAAAATATGCACTCTTAACTTATGACGAACTAAGCTAGAATTCCGAATTATACGATAGTGAATTATAAAATTAATAATTGAAAATGTATATTTTGCATATTTCACCAACTTAAGAAAAAAAATACATATCTCATTGACTTCTTTTACATATTTTTTAAAAACATTAATTTTTTTCTTCACATGTATTTAAAATAAAATTGAATATAAAACTCAATATTATTTTACATAAGTATTTATTGTCATCATCGCAATCGAATATTTTACGAAAATAGTGCAATGTGCATTTAATCTATACCGCGTTAAAATTCCAAATATCAGTCGATCGTCGACAATTTATCGACTTGTCGTAAATTTATTTATTGTTTAAAAATTATAGTATATCTAAAAATAATATTATAAATAGTTGATAACGAAATTTAATAACCTATTTACAGTTATTTGTTTTTGAATACAACGAAATATATTTTGTCAAAAATCAGTATTGCGTAAATATTTTTGTTTTTAAAAATGTTTACTTTAGACTCCCTAAGTATAAATTAAAATTACCTTTTAAAGGTATTTTTAACCAATTAATAAATAAATATGCTTAAACAATGTATAATAAACTAAAATAATATTAAATTGTACAATAGTTTATTAAATAAGACATATTTAAGTATTTTAGCCACAGTAATATACAAGGCCAACAGCAATGCTAAACTAAGGGAGGGCAATACAAATTTAATTTATACATCATACATTTTATATGATCTACATAATGTCAGAATAACTTCTCAACTTACAAACCAATCATTTTAGGAAACTGATTTTTACTTTAGGACAGTTGTTTTTAAAAGGTTGATCAAATTTTATAAAAATAATGAATATTATTTTATAACATATGACGCTTTGTTAAATACATTTATTTTTGTGTATTATACTGCATAAGTTATGCAGTTTTGGTATTATATGTGTCATAAATATTTTATTTATATATTTTATATTAACAAAAAGAATTTCAATAAAGACATTCTTCACTTTGATAATGGTAGTCATCATTATATACTATGTAAAGATAAAATTATATAAATTAGTAAATTAGATTTAAATGAATTAAACTTGTGTAATTTTCAGATATTCATATTCATTGCAGTTATAATAAAAGTAGAATCAACTAAAGTACCAGGAATAAGGGGATTATCCAAAATACAAGAAGTAATAAATAAATTAAATTTACAAAAATATATACATATTAGTATTAATTAATATATAATTAATTTGTTTAAATTACAGATTCCGCAATACCGTTTTCACTACTACTTACAAGATGATAAAACTGTAAGGAACTACAAATCACCACAAGAAGAAAACAAGAATGGAGAAAAAGTTGGATCTTATAGTGATATAGTTGATTCTAATGGAAATATGCGGGTTGTTAATTACCGTGTCGATAAATCTAATGGATTACAAACTGATGTTAGTACCAATGTTGATGCTTCACCATTAAAGATATCTTTAAACAGTCCTGTATATAATACGCAAACTGATGTTTCAAATGAATCAACTGTGTCTTCAAAAGTATCACCAATAGTTGTAGAGCCCATAAATACACAAGAACAAAAATCGTCAAAACCAATCGAAGTAGATTCCAGAGATGAATATAATACAGCAGAGAGCACTGAGAAAACTACTAAAATAACAGAACTTAAGAATACAAATCAAACCGAAGACCGTAATGATGATATAAAAGATGAACAGACAACAGATCAAGTATTAATTCAAGACGAGGGAATTACAATTAAACAAACAGAATTTACAATTCCTTTTAAAAAACCAAACCCAGTTAGAACAGATGATTTCAAATACAATGATGATGAAGCTATAAAAAAGGATATTGTTAAAATGATACAAAATATTAACGGAGATCATGAGCAGTCTGATCCTCGGTTAAATTTCAAGAGTACATTATCTGATAAGCCAATAAAAGTAGTTGACAGAGATTCTATGGAAATGGAACAACAAGAAAGTTATCAACCAAGTCATGAACATTCAAAATTTAAAAGCCAACAATTATCAAACAAACCATTAAGATTAGTTGGATATAATCCATCAATTTTTGGATCATTATATGACACACAAGTTAATTATAATCGCCCATCACAAATTCAACAACCACCAAATTTGTTTAACCAAGGTTATTTTTCGGGATTTGGAACACATGGAGATATTAAGCAACAGGCATATGATAATTCTGGGATTTATTATTCTCAACCAAGTTCAACCTCTCCTCAACCAGGAACTTACAAAGGAAATAAAAAGTCTAATTTTCCAATACCAACACAACCACTTTATTATTACGATCCAAATTCAATGGTTATGTTGCCAGTATACACCAATATAATCCAAAATGATTATTCTATAACAGAAAATAAACCCCAACCAACTCAACCACAAGCAGATTCTGGTAAAAATGGTTTTAATTTAATGCAAATTTTAAGTGGAGGCAGCTTTTACAAGGGTCTGGAACAAGCAGAAGGTTCCCAACAAATGGCAGTAAAAGATTCAATAAAAACAGAATATAATAAAATTGAAAAATCAAAACCAATAGAAAAACATGACAAACCTAAACCATTAGAAACACATGACAAACCAAAACCTATAGAAACCCAAGACAAATTAAAACCACCACAAACATTGATGTTTTATTTGAATCCAGGTGAACCACCAATAGATTTAAAATCACTCACATCAAACCCATTGCATTTAACATTTGACCAACAACCAGAGTCTGACTGTAATGGAAAAACACTTAAGACTCCAACAGTTAAATCAAACAAACCACTTCAGCCTATACCACTTTGTTCAGATTGTGTGCCAGCTTTGGGATTTATGGGTTCACCAAACACAAAATCAGCTGTAATTCAACAAAAGAAATCTATCGCTACACCCCAGGTGATACCAATATGGAATGGACAAGGTGTTTCAAAGTTAAACTACTTAATCCTACCCACTCCAATAACTAAGTAATAATCTAAACTAATGTATTAATTAATAATATATAATGTAAAAAATGACTGGCTAACACTTAAAAATTATAATCTTATATAACATACCTAAGTTTAATTTAATAAATAAATAAAAAAATTTAAAATATTGTCTTAACATAATATGTATATTATACTTACAGTTCCCATTCTTTGTACAATATCTTCATTTACAGGAAACCACAGCTTAATTTTTTTGTATAAATAATTTTGTTCATAATACTTTATAAGTTCTACTAGACTTTCAAATTGCTTTACACCAATAGTATATAATCGACCTTCAAGCTTAATGCGACAGTGCTTAATCTTTTTTTCAGCTCTAAAATCAACAGAATTTACAAATATTTTTTAATGGTTCATAAGAAATATAGCAAATATTTTTCTTAATTTACCTAAATGAAATAGCATAAAGATGTTTATCATTTTCACATGGTCGCACCAAAAATGCACCTTCATGTGGTACTCGTCGCAATAATGCCTCTGCTCGACTCCTACAAACGTGAGGAAGATACCAATTCATCCCTTCATGTTTTAAAGGCTGAGGTACAGGTTCATTCAAAATAATATAGCTCTCCTAAAATTAAAATATATTATTAATAGTTTATGTGATGTATTAAATTAGAACGAGACTTTATAAATTTATAACAATTTACTTGTATACGTAATGGATATGTACGATAATAAGTTATCAAACTATATAGACTGTCAAATGCAGCACCATCAATCAAATAATACTTTATTTGACCTCTATCATGCTTTGAACGTATTCTGCAATGGTTTACCTTACCTAAATGCCTATACATTTACAAATAGATAAATGTCTAGTTAAACTAATGATTGACTTTATTTATTTACCAGAATGATAGGGAATAATCACCAATGAACGTATCACTTTGTCTTACTAAAAATGTACCAGCTCCAAAATGTTGATACTGTTTCAATAGTTCTTCAGCTTCATTTCTGCCACGAGCTAATTTTCCATGAAACCAGTATTCTCCAAAATGTAATTCGTCATTAGGTATACCCTGCAAAAGGTATATATTTAACCTATATTTCATTACAAACAAAAATGTATTGTGCAAATAATACAACTTGGATATTATATGATGTAGCAAAAACAAATTTATAATTTGAATAAATATTTTAAAATAGGTATTGTACAAATAATCTTCTACTGATAAAATCAAATCATGAATATTCAATATCTTATAACAATAAAATACATAAATATTTTTAAATATTTTTTTAATAAAACTTACTAATTTTTTTGATCTCTAAAATAAGATTACTAGGTTAAGCAATAGAAAAAATATAAAAGCAACATGTCATGTACTTGAAGGTTCTGTGTTCAAAAATAGTGTTATTTATATAATTTGTTTAAAAAATGTATTGAAATAATAAATTATTATTATTTAATATTTAATACAATTAATAATAAACCAAACTAAATATGTTGCATGTTAATTCATAATAATTTAACTGTAAACATAGTAAGTAATATGCTTTTTTGTTCAGTAAATACATTTTAATAAAATTAAGTTAATATAGTAACAAATAAATTTAAATTGTACTAAGTAAACTATTAAAACAAAAAAAAAAACCTAAATAAATTTATATCTACATACAGAATTTTACATTTATAAAAATGGTTTAGATTGAGCTTATTTATAGAAATTATCCTATTGATAAACACTCTGTCTAGTATTTCATCATGTCCTTAATATTCATAATATGTATATAATTATGTATTAAATATAACTAACTTCTCTTAATCGATTTGCACTAGATATGTCACAAGTTTCCAACTCTCCTCCTTCTGCTTCATCTTCATTATCAATATCTGTTTTACAGAGGTCTGTATAATAGAGTTTATTACCAGAAAGTACAAAAAAATGAGGTCTCCATTCTTTTTCCAGCGGATCTTCTAGATAAAGTACTCCATTTTTTTTTGTATTTCTTAGATCAGTGTCTTTAGCTAAAAACGGAGCTATGTTTAAATAAACATAAAAATTAAACGTTTAAATATATAATTTTATTACAATCATCATGATGTCTAATTGTGACAGCTTGGTCTCCATTAACTTTATCTGGAAGTCTTTTATGCTTTATTATGAACTTATACATAAGCTGATCAGGTGAAGGCATTTTAGTTTCATTTCGATCAACTGGTTGTGTAACTAACATATCTCCTAAAATTTCAATCATAGTTGATGCCATATTTCGCTGTTGTGGTATTGAACAGTTGTCTTCTATTGATAAAATAACTGGATACCTAAAATTACAGTAATTAATTAATTAATTAATTAATGTTTATCTATATAATATTTTTCTTTACGGAGAAGTAATAAAAGCATGTTCTTTAATTGTTTTTAGGACGTCTAAAAATTTTATACGACTGGTTAATGTATGTCCATGATATATTATTGGCAATCCGTCTGGTCCATCCCAACAATCTAATTCTATACAACGACATCCCCATCGTAAACACCTTACATATGCTTCAATTGAACTTTCACTAGATACTTGATCACCAGTTAAGTAGCTGAAAAAATGTATAACACCAGATTATTAATTACATCAATATTCTATAAATGTTAAAGAATATTATTACATTAAACAATCTACTATTATGACTAATGAATATTAAAATATATACTCATAAGGGTTTAAACAACTATGTAAAACCAATATTACAAACAAAATAAATTGAAAGATTTATTTTAAAGATCACAGAAATCCAAATAATAAAATATTTTGAGAAAAAATATGAAATAAAATAATCATAGAGGTTTATAATTTATAAACAAGAATCAATATTAATTAATAAAAATATAATATTTAATTTAAAACATTTATTATATCAAATACATAATCAGGTATTCTATTAAAGAAATTATTTTAGATTTGTAATGTATTTATAAACTTTAATATCTTGAAAACATACAAATTATACTAACGTATTATGAGAAGAAGCTATCCAATAATGTGAAAGTGGTTTTGTCATGTTCTGAAATATATTGTCGTAATATTGATCCCATATCTCATTTTGTTTTGAAAACAAATAATCCATAAACTAAGAAAAAATAAAATTCAAGATTATATTACTTTATGATAAACACTACTTAAATCTAAAACAAATTTTTAATCAAAACACAATTTAGAAGACAAACGTATAACCTAACCTGACACTATATTATAAAAAAGCCACTATATGTATTATAAAAAAAGTCACTTTATTATTTTCAAGACTATTTAACCATTTATTAAATTAAAAATTAATTATAAACAACCATTTTCTTCTTAAGTTATCCTTGATTACAGTAATTAAAATGGCACATCATCATAATTTTTTTCTTGATCTTATACATGTGTATATAGTATAGAAGTATAATATGTATATTATGTTGTTATAAATTTTCTCAATAGTTCAGTTACTGCGATTATATTGTTAAAATTAAGATGTTGCCTATAATCTATTATAGATATTTTAAAAATAATACTATTTGTGTTTTGTCTGAATCTTTATAAGTATTTTTACTTCTAATACAGTAATTACCTAATTATTATCATTTACCAATAACTAAAAATTATAAGATTTAATATTTTATTTTTTTTTTTTAAATCAAAATAATGAAAAAAGCTTTTCTAATAGAACAAAAAACATATTATTTTTTATAATTATTGGGTAATAATACCTTAATTCAAATAATTTAATCTCGATTGGGTAAAGACAGAAAAGTTTTTATTATATTTTACATATTTAAGACAGAGAAAAAATATTAAGGATGCGCCTTTTTAAAGAAAATATTTTATTTTATTGAGTCTCAATAATATACATATACATATACATATATATATATATATATATATATATATAGTGTGAATCTATAACAAATACAAAAAAATTAAAAATTCAATATACTATTCTACTTTTATTTATTTAAATAAGTACAAAATAATTAGATTTATTACAATTTATTATTCTGTACAACCATAACTATAAATCACAGATGCTCATTTTCAATTTAATCAAATCTAATATTCTGTTATCCAAAAAAATCCTTTAAAAAGTTCTAATAATATCATGGTAATTTAGTTAACCTATTAAATACCTATTACCATTTTACCATTCGAATTTCATAGAATAATAAGTGAAAATAGAAACGGAAGTTCAAAGCTGAAAATGAGCAACGAAAACTGTTATCAGTTAGCAGTGGTCGCCATTTGGAAGACAAGCCGCGGTTGCGGTGGATGATAACACATACTACCCAATGCAGTTGCAGTATGTAATATGTACTATGTTCACGGGTTACCAGAGTCCATAATATTACTTAATATTGATTTTTAGTTGACGCGGTTTTTATTTGACTCATTACGTGTTAGTTTAGTTAACATTTAATTACTATTAAACACTTCAAAATGATCCGTTTCATTCTAATACAAAACAGAGCAGGAAAAACGAGACTAGCCAAATGGTACATGAACTTTGATGATGATGAGAAACAAAAGCTTATCGAAGAAGTGCACGCAGTCGTAACAGTCAGAGATGCTAAACACACAAATTTTGTAGAATTCCGAAACTTCAAAATTATTTATAGAAGGTACGCCGGACTATATTTTTGCATCTGCGTGGACGTGGGCGATAACAATCTATGTTATCTGGAGGCCATTCATAATTTCGTCGAAGTCCTCAACGAATATTTCCACAACGTTTGTGAACTAGATCTGGTTTTCAACTTCTACAAGGTATACACCGTGGTAGATGAAATGTTTTTAGCTGGCGAAATTCGGGAAACAAGTCAAACTAAAGTTTTAAAACAACTACTTATGTTGAGTTCATTAGAATAAGTTATTATAATATCTACAAGCAAATATTTTACTTTACCAATACACTTAATACTATTTATAATTTATTACTCAATACCATAATGTATTCTTTTTTATTTATATACATATAATATTATAATGCTATTACGAATGTAATTAGAATTAAAATAAATTACAGGCAATTTATTTTCATTCTTTTCTTAGATCTTTTTTTACGTGTGATAAGAGATAATATGATATCCTTAATTTTATCCGCCCCTTAAGATAGCAAATCTGCGAATATCTAATATTTACAACTATAGGAATTTGGAATACATTGTTAGTGTTAAATACATTTTGTTATAAAATAAAATGGATGGCTATAAATTGTTGAAGTTTGGTGTATTTTTTACAATCGGTGTTATCAAATTAAGTATTTGGATGATTTATTTAAAATAACTTACATCGGTTGCAGTAAATTGTAGCTTATCGTTTGAATCTTTTCCACAATACTTGAAATATTCTTTCATGTGTTTACCAACGAGTTCTTCTTCAAGACATAAATTTTCTTGTTCAGCGTTCAGAAATCTAGTAAGATTTTGAACACTGAATGTATCATCAGCTGAACAATACATTGAAAAGCATTCATTGAAAATCTATTAAAATGTCAAAAGGTATTAAGTAAGTAAATAATTATATTAATACATTATAAAATATAATTTTTACCCCTGAATTATAGATAAGTTTATTATAAAGAGAGACAAACTCATCAAAATTAAGTTCATTGCGCTTCCTGGTATCGACTTCTTGAAACAACTCTCGTAGTTTACTGGTTGATATTTTGCAATGAACACGAGGAAAAAAAGATTTTACATCTTTCAGTGTTACTCTATAAGATAAATATGATTATTATTGTTGTTTTTTTTTTAGTCTAAACACCATTTCAATGATTATATGATTATATTTTAAAAACATTTTGTTTTAAGTGGTTGATTTTTTTGATTATACTAACGTTTCCCTTGAATTTTCCATAGTATAAAATTCTTTGCGTAACCATCTTTCAACTTGCAATGGATATGGAGCACAAACAGTATCATTTACAAGATGATATAAACCTTTGAGCCATAGTTCACATTCTTGTTCAGATAAAGCTATAATCCATTTAAAATTATAATTAAATAAAGGTAAAACATCAGCAACAATAAAAAATTTGACCCACTCATTTATGACACAAAGGTATACTTGAAATTTTGGACTGATTACAATCAATTCTAAATAATATTTACAGCAAAATAAAACATAAATTTTAATTTATAAAATAGCTTATAATTTTCTATAAATTATTATTTAATATTTACTGTATAATTGTTTAGAACCAGACATAAAAATAATATATTTTAAACAAATTGAGTTCAAAGGAAAGAAATATTAAATTTTAGATTCTAATTAAGACTATGAATATAATAATAACACATTAAGTAAGTAAAGACATTTTAATAGAATAAACAAATTTCTGATCCTTAATGTTATAAAAGATTTTTGGTAAAAAAAGTTGGTTCTGTAGAGCGTTTTATAACAAATGTCCCTCAATATTAACATACCAAATGTCAATTTTTACTCAAACTAGAGTCCAAAGTTAAGTCTAGGAAATAAAGAGCATGTTTTTTTTTTTTAAATATGCTTGGCAGCAGTTCTGAGTTTGGTGAACCCATAACAAAAAATCGCCACTTGACGTATTAGTATCGAAGGGATATTTATTGTAAAATGTACTATAATTTGTACTTTTGTGGGACAAGAGTATAAATTTTCTAGTACTTTTTAAAATTACCAAAAAAAAAATAAATAAACAACTTTTTGGGAACCATAGTTCTGATCTATGTCATAATTTTTAGGTGCAAAACTAATTCCACATCTTAAATTTAATAAAAAAACATATTATCTTATAGAAAATGAATGGCTAACTGAAGAAAATAGATTTACAATCAAAACAATAGTAATGAGTAAATTAATCAATATTTCATAACACCCATAACATTATTTACTTTCTGGCTTAATATTTAAAAGATTATGCAGCTACCTCTAAACAATATACCTCTTCCATTCACTGAAAATATTTGTTATGTAAATATACACATCATTAAACATCAACTAACATGAATGGAAACTAATTTTAAATAATGAATTCCACAAAATTTTACTTCTCACATCAAAACATTTAATTATAAATAATAAAATCCTTTCTAAAAATTATTACTTAACCCCCATATGAACATACGTATTTCATCTATAGAGCTCACCATCGAAACATTAGTTCTCTTTAAGCCTTTTAGTTCAAATTATTTCTATAATTTATTAAAGATTTATTTTATGTCTCTAACCAGTTATTTCATTAAAGCTTATAAATGAAAAAAAAATACTTTTCTTTATTAAAATTCTGTAATAGATTACGGATAATAAGAAAACTATCTAATAGTAAAACAATATTTGATTCAACTAAAAATATAAAATTTCTCATTTACTAATAATAATATTGCACTAGAACAAAATCGATTTTAGTTATATGAAACTCAATATTTTTTTTAAATAAGTAATAACCATTATAATCTTGTAAATACCTATTTAGTTTAATACCCACTTTTAGGTTTTCAAAAGTAAAATAGTTTATATTGAACAACTAGTATAAGATATATCATTTAAATGTTGTCAAAAGCTATAAAACAAAGAAAAAATATAGTTTTTAATTTTTTTCAAAAATAAAAATGTAATTAATCATGACACTAGGATGAAAAAAGGATATTTTTAATTGTTATACATAAATAAGAGCTGAACATCCATACACCTATCTTTAAAATTAGTAAATAAATAAGTAGATATTATCTGTATTGTTTTGTTTAGTTCAATATTTAAGTTAGTTATAAATTACCTATATAATATTGTAAATCATTTTTTACACAACTGAATTTGTATTATTAAGATAATAACAAAAAATATATTTTAAATAATCATACCTAATATTGTTTTAATTAAAATAACAAAAATGAAAGTATTTATAAACAACCTTGACAGTATTATATCCAGTTATTCATAAGATATAGGTACCTTTGTCCCTTTTTTTTTATAGAGTTTACCTTAAAGTTCATAAATATAGCATATATCATATCATTAATAGACATACCAACAACAGACAGAGTTTTTAATTTGAATTCGTTGCCATAAAATATGACAAAGCATTTGGTCGCTTCAAATTTCTTTAATTCATCAGGCCATCTATCAAATTCTTTACTATTTCTACCACAGCGTACTTCTTTGGCGTCTTTGAGGTCCACTAAAATAAATTGATCAATCATACATAAAATGTTAAATACACATAATGGTACAACATAATTATACAATAATTGTATTGATCAAACTAATATATATAATTACAAGAGCCATCGAAGGTCTTATTGTTAGTACTACTAGTCCTAGACCAAAGAATCTGTCGTGTTTCTTTTCGTAATCTTAATGTTCGTTTCTCAGGCCGCTTCTTCAAATAGAATCTCGTGACAATTGTGCCTCGTTCCAAAATGTTCATGATCTGTTCCAGTTCCGAAATGAGTACGTTATGTGATAGTGAGCTGCAAGCCATTTCTGATATATTTGTATACTATTTATACTGCCCGAAAACATTTATTAAGTCAATTTTCGAAAATAAAAAATTCTTTTGAAAATGTGTACAAGTTTTTTATTAAATTATCAGAATAATTGTGAACTGTGATTCATGAATGAAATGAATGAATGATAAATATTACTATATTAGATAACGAATACTTATCAATGATTACAAAACATGATAACGTTTAACATATGAAATAAATTAAATTCAAAAACAGGGGGTGGTCACTTGTTATAAATTTAAAATATTAGGTACCTAATAATACAAGAATACTAAAAATAGTATTAGTATTGATAATGAATACTGATTGATCAATTTTGGTGTTTGATAATCGGCACTGACTAGTATACAATATATATATTATATTTAATTTTAAATCCATATTTTTTTTTTTTTGTATAAATTCATAAGTAGGTACTAGGACACTAGGTAAACCATATCTACTGATATTGTTTAATTAACTCTACAGTTTCCTCTACAGTAAAGTTTTCAAGAATATTAAAATAAATTGTTATAACCGTTTTTAAAGTCTTATACAGTAAAATATGATAATAGATGATAGATACCTTAATTATTGATCTGGCTTTTTTTCCAACTAATAATAATTTTTTTTTTTTTTTTGAAATTATAGACTATTTAGGCCTTTTGCTGTTGATACCAAATTCTTCCATTCCTCTCTATTATACGTATAGTTTATGACTCTATTCCATGATACCAATCTGGTCTCCGCTTTAACGTAATAAAATAATTATAAAAATAATAAGATTAATAATATACCTAAATATATTATATCATAGTCTTGAAATAAACTAAAATATTTAAATCAAATATAATTAAAATTGTAATTTTTTTATAAGATACTTAGATTTAAGTACTTAATTATACAAAAATGAATGTTTAATTTATTTTTAAATAGAAGTACCTAGCTAATCAACAACTAATAGCAGATCAGGCACGTACTTGGTTTAGTTAAAGTTTGAGTTTTGAGGACGCTAATAAATACATACATGATAACTGACAAGTGATTAATAGAACTATTAGGTATTTGAAATTGAATTAAGTTTTGGAAACTTTAGAGTAAAAGGTACCTAAAGAAATTTATTTTTGTAACCCCTCTTTGTCATACACATAATCAAAATAAAAACATAATGATACTAAAATACTAACTCAGGTGTGCATATCGGTATAGCAGTATGTGTTTATTGTATATTGTTGTTATTATTATTAGTTATTATGTGTATAATATGGCTATGCCAAGTAGAATGGAACAGTATATACTATTCCGTTTGTCATAAATGCTATATATAAATACCTACCTATACCTATAGTTATTATACGTACCTATGAATTATAATGTATACATATTACATATAGAATAATTATCCTTTTTATAATGTTACATTAAAATTATAAAAATAAATATATTTTCACTGCAAAATTTTTTTTATTATTTATTGATCATTTTTTATTGCGTTGTATTGAAATATTTGTTTTTAAATAGTTATGCGTAAAATAATTAACGGTATTTCAGAAAAATATAATTTATTTGTTGTTATTAGATTATTTAAATGATATATGCATATATAATCATACTGATGATCATGATGATCCCATAAAACCATTCATTGTTTTAATAACGTAAAACGTAGGTAAGTAACAAAAAATGAATATTGTAGGTATTGTTGTAATTTCAATTTTTAATTAACTTAATATATTCTATTAAGCTATTAAAAGGCTTTTATAATATTGTTACTCATTAGGTACCTATTTTCTGTTAATTATATAACTATATTGGTTGTAAATACATAAATATAATATGATTTATTATTTAAGAACCTATTTAACACTACATTTAGATTGGTACTTATCCTTATCCATATTATAATATTATGTAAGACAAAATTAGCATTTTATTTTTTCAAATATTTTTTCCTAAGTAAATTCTTGTTAATCCATTTCTAAAAACTATAATATATTTGCTAAATAAGTACTTAAATCAGCGATTCCCAAAATTGTTTTTCATTATTATTATAATTATTATGATTTATAAGTCACGGCACACTTTATAATTTGGATAAATATTAAATATTATCTACTTTTCAAACATAAATGATTTTTATATATACATATAAAATTCAACTTTTCGCGGCACACCTTTCAAATTTCAGGGCATACCCTTTGGGAAACACTGATTTAAAGTATGCTATCCGTGTTAATATTAAATAAGAAACGATTAGGAGGTACCTATCGATTCTTTGTAAATTAAGTGCTTAATGTTTAACGTCTAACTAATAACGTTTCTATATTAACGCGTGTATGTTTATAGATCCTTAATTTAGTGTGATAATAATAATTATGCCAAACGTTGTGTTAAAATATATTACTGCATTACCTAACTGATTTTCAAAAGTTTTCGTGTAAAAATACTTTTGATACGAATAACACAGTATTATATACAGTAAGAGTAAAGTTGGATGACTTACTGGATATAAATTGTAATTAGTCGAAAGCTCTGTTGTACAATGAGTATATATTTATTTAAGCATTGAAATTTTAATAAATAATAATTAATAAATAGCTTATACAACTAAGTGACAAGTTGTAATATTGTATTACTGTAACAGTCGTACAACTGTTTAATTATTTGATTGCATCACAATATTTTATAATTATCAATTTTTTCATACCTACTTCATCATATTTATTTTGTTTCATAATCCGTATCGCACCAATATGCCTTTAACAAGCTTAACAAAAACATATTTGTCAAAAGTTCGTTACGTTTAGGTCTTATAACTTAACATAATAATGTATATTTATAAAAAGTAAGTACTCTTTATTATTATTATATTATGCATATTAATACATACATAAGTTGTCTTTGAGGTTTTATATTTAATTATTTTAATATTTTTATTACTTTTGTCTTTATCATTTTTTAGAATTTGGCAAAGAAAAAATTCTGAGTAGATGGTTATCACTTATCATTATATATTATTGTCTTCGTTATTTTTAAGTTTATAGGCAATAGTTTTTTCAGTCTAAAGCTATATATTTTATAATTATATTTTAAAAGACCTTTTTTTATATAGTTATACTTATACACCTTAAACCTAGTACTCTACTAAATGCATCAATTAATAATCTAGTGATCAGTTATACTTAATAATTTAACTATTGTCCGTAGGTACAAATTCATTGAGTTAAGATATTAACTGTTGACTATTTAACGATCATTATTCATTATATTGGGATGCGGATACCTATAGGTACCTATTTCAATGTTTAAATAATATGTAGAATTATTAATAATTAAAATTATTAGTGTTTCGGCTACTCTAATTTATCTCTGAACAATCGGAAATTGAAGGTTTTCCTATCGCATTTTTCATTAATACACATCAAATTTAGAATAAAATATATAAAAATACACCTAAATCGCATATTTACATTATCACTCGTATGCTTATTATAATTATTCTCGAGATTATCGAGTTTTTCTAGATATTATAATAGGTTATAGGAATTTATATATTAAACAACTATAATATTTTGTTGTGATTATTGATTCGTAGATGTATATTATCAGTGGTGTTCCCATAGGATTGGTATACTCTCGAGATTTTTTCATAAAATCACGGGTATATGTACTGCGTATACTCTCAAATTTCAATGAATTTGCGAAAAAATAGTTATTTTGAAATTGTACCGATTACATACTCTTAACAAATTTGTTGGGGGACATATCTGTACATTACCATGATATTATACAGTTATTAAAATTTGAGACTTCCTAAGTCGTAGTCACTGCCTGTCGTAATTTGCAAGTCGTCAAGTGCAAACACGACAATAGATACCTACCAGCTTGTACTACCTATACGTAGCGGTTGCTGCACACGATAAATAAATACATATTATATGCATAAGTATATAATCGTACCTATATCGTTATTGTATTCCATGATCGCATATTATGTATTTATTTCGTAGGTAGAAAAAGTATGAGAGGTATACTGTTTATTATTTAGGTACCTACTGCGATCTCCGCGACGGCCCACGACAACCAGTTCGGCGTTGAACGCTTCGCGAGCGCCTGCGCCGTCCGTGACGTCATCGTCGTGAATGCTGTTCGTTCGCCGGGGACTTGTTGAACTGCGTGGCCTACATCCGGGAATCCCGTTAACCGTGCCACTTGTTCGGCACCACCAGACGCTTATAGAGTTGTATAGACCTCCGCGCATACGTGTTCGGAGGGGAGGGTAGCGGTCGTCGGCGATCGCGTTATTATGTTATTATTATTATTATTATTATCATTATTTTTACGTACACGACAGTAACGATTACGAATCGGTAACGCGTTAGCGTATCGTGCCCGGCACAGACATTTCACTCGTATCCGTGTTGCAGTGTACAGGTTACTCATCTCATTGCGACACACAATATTGTTGTTGGTTTAATATATATATATATATATATTATCTCGTCATAAGCGCCTTAACCGACACACGCACACATGTTCGGACTACCGGGAATCATGGGCAAAAGTGTCTCCGGAGAGAGCGGCGGCGGCGGCAAAAATCGGAGTCACAACGACAAGAGCAGCTGCAACAAGAGCAAAGCGCTTACGTATCTGCTGTGGCTGGTGGGCGGCGTGTGCGGCCTGCACCATTTCTACTTGGGCAGAGACCTGCAGGGCGTGCTTTGGTGGTGCACGTTCGGCGGGTATTTCGGGTTCGGTTGGCTCAGAGATCTGTTCTACATCGGCGAGTACGTGGCCGACGCCAACAAGGACGAGAAGTACATGAGAAAAGTCGACTACATGGTTCGCGTGCACGAAAAGGTGAGTGCTCGTGTAGGGTTTTTGACATTGTTCCCGGGGTTAGGTCTCGGGGGGCCTTAATATAATCCGACGCAATATTGCCATACTTATCAGCATTTAGTGCGACGTGATAATTCGACTTTTAGCCTTTAGGAGGTACCTACACATTTACACGGCACGCGTATTCGCGTACTCTTCTGAGGATTGCGTGCGCGAAAAGACAGAATAGTTTATACATACATATTTTATAAGAACGTTAAAAATTATTTTACGATATAATATTATATTTTGATGTTTCCCTTCCCCTCATTATAAAAAAAAAAAAAAATAGTTCGCTAGGTGGTGTAATGTATTCACGTACTTTTTTAATAAGATTTATTACGTCATTATTATAATATAAGTATGAGTGACATTTATAATAAAAGGAGTATAAATATAGGCATTAATATAATACCTGAAACTTGATATTACTTTTACGTATCATTTCTAATTTTATAATGTTTGCGTATTTTGGGACTTATAAATACTTCGTATTTAGGGGCTCTTACCACACGTCATACGCCTAAAAAAAAAAAAAAAACTACTTGTAATAATGTTGTTAATAATTATACACGAGTCTGAGAGGTCTAAAAATCTTAAATCCGGCCCTGATCAGTGGAGAATGCATACTATTATGCTAGCCTTTTTTATGTGTGAGTATGCAGTATGGATTTTTTTTTTTAAAAGCCTGTCATTAATGCGTTTGTTATTTATCCCACCCACATACAACATGAAAGTTTTGAGTTTTAATAAATTATGAGCCAAATATATATAATATACGAGGTGTACTCATTATTGGATATCGCGTGGCAACAGTAGGTACCTATCGTTAAATCATGCCATCGTTGGAGAAATTAACTAATAATAAATAATTATAATTGATACATGGGTTGAATTGTTGAATATCTCTACCTATATGACGATATGGTTTTCCTAACGCTTTAACGTTGGCATACTTATACATTGCGTATACGATGTGACACGGAGGTAGCCGGGAACGTCTCGGTCGGCTTGAAAAAAGTGTCAGACGAAAGAAATGGAACACGAATACACGATCCGTATTTTACCAACATCTATATAGTATATATATGCCGAAGCAATTCATTTATGACTGGTAATATCATTTAGATTTTACCTCGGTTATTGCTTTTAATGAAATTCGATTATCTTATTTTTTCAAAATTATTTTAAGAATTCGGATAAAAATTCATAGTCTTAAAGTGGCTCACAGCTAAAATGTTTTTTAAATTTAGGTCAACAAGGTATATATATCTTTATTGGGCCAGAATGATAAAAAACGATCAACGAATAATAATTTATGAAACCAATACACGTTCACACGTAGAACACATATGGTCACGGTTGTGTTGGATATATCTGTTCATTTATTATTTACTTAAATGCTTGGTTAGGTTTTTATGACGTGGTTAAATTACTTAAATTTATTATTTTTAATGGTCCAGTAATTCTAGTATAATTCTATATATTATATTCTATTCTATATCCTACATTTATACCTTATCAATCTTTTAATATTCAAAAAATTTACTTGAACACAAATAAGGTTACATAATATGTATATTATAGACTATATTATGTTTTTAAAAATAATTTTAATTTACTCTACTTAAGATTTTAAATTTCCATTATTGGTTTTCGCTGTCTGTATTATGTTGCATTGTTTTATCTTTGTTTTACTGAAAAATTAAGATTCAACAATATTTTATTACAGTTTCTTATCATACATTTTATAGGTAATACATTTATACATATTTATATATACGACTTTGTACTAGGTGTACAATCTTTCTAATATGCTCACCTACATGGCTACATATTGTGTAGGGTAGGTAGATCTTAGATAGTAAGTAATAAATATTTATCTAAATATATAATGTATAAAATATAAATAAATTATCCATTATATTATTCGCGTTATATTTAAATTTTATAAAATAAAGTTTACTATACTATATATATGTCATAGTTCTAAAAATTATAACTATTCTGAAATAATATACATCCTGCTGTCTGCGATCTTTTTGATTATTACCTATTCATGAAAAATATGATATTGTCAATTATTGATTAACTATTATTTAATAAGCGAAATTACTAAAAATTAATTTCTCGAAGTTGTATACAAATCAGTATTTGTTCGTTGTCTAAATTTCAAATTTGAATTGTTATCTCGTTATTTTGTTTAAATTGTTTTAATTACTCTGTTGTTTTTTTTATTTAAAATTTGATACCAAAAAATAAAATAATGATTTCTTTTAAATTTAATTATTTGTTAACATTTTTTGATGTTGAAAGGTACCTACAACATTTATCTTATTTTGTTTTAATTGGAATAAAAACACGTTTAAAACAAAAATTAATATTATTTTTGTTAATAGTGTATATTTTAATATTATTTGTGCATATTGGTGCATATATATTGACGGATTTTCTTTGTATATTTGCATCATATTTACCTAATTTTAATGCATTTAATCTAGATTTCTAGGTACCAAATAATGATACCTAAATTTCGTTTTGATAGAGAAAATGGACTTGACTCTTGAGTTCAAATGTAGTTCGCCAACAATTATAAAAAATAAATAATATTCTTTTGCTAACAAAAATTATGTTAAAAAATTATATTTGTTTACCGACCCCTTGTGTTACGAGAGTTCAATACTGGAACATCAGACATGTTTGGAATTTAACCTTGAGAATACCTTCAATAGAAACACATGCAGGTTAATCACCTTTATTTCTTGGAAAATAAATTGTTTATTAAATTGCTGTTAAAAAGGGTTCTTAACTCATCGTTTAGTGTAAAATACCTTTTTCTTATTGAAAAATTTAAATATTATTTTGGAATACACGCAATACAGTAATATTATTGTGAACACTTCTTTAAGGTTTATCGAACATATAATACATTATTCACCGTATTAATGTACTCGGGCAAACGTACATTAAACCATTAATATTTTAACGGTTTTTTTGTTTAAACCAGTTATTAGAGATAATATTATTCAATTTACTCATTTGTATAACATACAAAAACAACGGTATCACATTTCAGTGGTGGAATGCTTAATAATAATAATATTATAATATATTCCAATACGTTAGCGAGATCCAACTTACGTCTAATAAACTAGTAACGTTCAATATTATCGCTAGATGGCGGTTTTTGGTCTTAGACCGTCAAAATGCTCTCACTTGTTACGGTTGGACCAAGTTGCGTAGTATATATACTCCGTTCAAACATTTACACTTCACCTCACCTCCGTTACCTTACCACCGGGTCTACACTCTTGGCGCGATAACCAAGTGGTTATCGAGTGTCCACATTTCGACCTGAGGAAAGTCCCCGAACCATTGGCAGAGAGTGCAACCGGCTCAACAGCCGCTCGATTACGCCCCATTCGCCCGAACACATGACGGAAGTGAACGGTGTACGTTTCAACGTACTCGCGATCCGTAGGGCGGGTTGTGGGTGTACATCGACTGGTTCTAGAAATAAAGTCTGTAAAGGGAGAGCTACGTAAGTAGTTCTTGACATAATGGGGCTTATCAATGAAGGTGAGGTAACAATTTTTTTCATTCTCGTATAGATAATAATAAATATATTTTTTTTATTATTTCTTGTTCCACAAAACCTCAATATTCAACAAAGATCTTTAGATTGTTGAAAAATTATTGCCCAAACAGTAATATTAATAATAATTATAACGACAATATTGCTTTCGTTAGAAACTAAAAATTAAACTGCACATGGACTAGTGCGACTTGAACTAAAAAATTATTATTATTTATGCACTCTAGTAAAATATAGAAATTTAGAAAAAATTAATAGGTATGTTTATAACAATAACAACTATCAAGTGGGCATTTTATTATAATCTAAATTCTAAATGTTAATGTCAATATAAAATAAAAAATGTATTTAATTAAAAGGTAAATAAGAATTATCTACAGTTAACTAATACCAAGTTTCTTAACTAATCTTACAATCTATAACATGCGGAGCATTAACTACCTATATAAAATATAAATTATTATATTTTGTTTTTATTAGTAAGATTTATTATAACGTAAGGTAACTTATCTCTAAATCACAGATCAATTGCATGAATAATAAATTTAAAAGAATATAATTATTAGTAGTTACAATAATAATAACTGAATTATTACCTTGTTAATTATTATAGGTACCTAAGTACTTATTTAAATCTAAAAAATATTATTATGACTATTATGAGTAATAACTAATAATATATTAATATTTTAAATTTTTTCATTACTAATATCTGATATTTTTAACTATGTTTCAGCCACCGTTTTCTACGGTTCGATTCACTGGAATGGTAGTAGTGGCTTATCTTTTTAGTACCGTTGTATCCCTAGCAATACCTGAAGATAATGTTGGGGGTCTTAGCTGGCAATGGCTACATGTATTTACTCCTTTAGCCGCAGCTTTAGGTAAGTAATTGATCTTCTAAGTAGTAATACTATTATAGAAACTACTTTTAAATTGATTATTTCTACATCATTATTTTTCTATTAATTATGTACATCAAACATTATTATATCATTAGTATATATATTAATACATTAGTATATTTAAAACTATACAGCCAAGATTTTATATTAGATATTATTGTTGTAACTTGTAGTACCTATTCGTATTATAGGTATCTTTTTGCCTCTTAATTTATTTCAATAATATTTACTCTTTGTGAGCTTGAGTAAATTGTACTTTGTCTAATATCTATTGTTTATGTGTTAAAAAAATTAATTATCTAGAGAGTATTTTCTACATTAATTAAAAATAAAAATTTGAGTTTATCACTTAATTTCATCAGATACATAAACATAATCATTAGTCGTCCCCATGTTGTAATTTGTCAAAGTTCATAGATTATTAAAATGTACTTCTTATTATTAATCTACAAATTAAGAACATTTTACAATAGGCTCTGCATATAAGTTCTTAAATTAATATTTAAAATTAATTTAATATTCACCAAGTACTTATTGTTGTTAATGAATTTTTAGGAGTATGGGCTGTGGGGAATATTGGTCATGAAACAGGATCTCTTAAATGGCCTTTAATATGTGCATATATAGTACCCATGGTTGGTAATCCATTGAAATCATTTATTTTTGATAAATGGGGCTATGATATTGATGAATCTACATCGTTTGCTATCATGATATTATCAGCAGCGTGGTCATTTGATCATTTGGAGAAACGGTGGAGACCAAAAAACCAAAAGAGTCCAGGTATCTTAAAGTAAGTATTCAAGTAAAATTAAGTATTGATTATATTCATGTATTTAATATTTTTTCAAAATAATTTATTCGTTTTTAAAATTATGTGAATACCTACCTTTTTTATTTGATGTTTACTTACGTATGTAATTTAATTTGCAGAAGAATTATTGTGATCAGTATGTGCTGTTTATTATACATGGCTTTATGGAGTAGTTATTTGTATTTCAATGCCAAAGTAACAGATGAAGAAGGTGATGAAGTACCATTCCATGAAGCTTTAGGTCATTTTTTCAGTTCACCCTGGTGGTTAGACGTAAAACAATCTTTCATTGATGTATGGCAATTTGCTCAAGAACACGGGTGGATGGAGACTTGGCGGCAAATAGTTTCATTATCTGATCCTTCGGGTGAACAAAATGCTTTTAAGGTGAGATTATCCAATTTGATAGGACTTCAAAAATTAAAAATGTATAATATACTGTGTAAAATATAGAAAATAGCTTAAAACTAAAATTATTGAATGAATGTATAAAATATAAATTTTTTTTACAATTTTACAACATTAATATTTATGAATGAAGTGCAGATTTTTATGCAATTGTATATTTTTTTTTATTTAGTGAGATCAATTCTGAGTGTGGTTATGATTACTTCAAATTTTCTATGAATTGTTAATGTTATATATATATATATATATTTTTTTTTTTATTTTTTTGTTTTTTAGTGTAGTGGGATTTTTATTTCTGATGCCATCTTAGTTAGTATAAGAATTTGTATGTCTTTGTAAGAAGTAATTTGTGGGAATGATGATAGCAAAGAATTTTTTGTGACTTTTGCTGTAAGGTCAGTGTGTTCATTTTCTTTTAGGCTACAATGTTCAGGAATCCAAAAAAGTTTAATTTTGTAATTATTATTTTTTTGTAGAGTGTGAATTTTATTTTGAATACGTAGGCTAATATCTGATAGGTTATATATGTTTTTGATATTATTAATTGCGCTGAGAGTCTGAAAATAATGGTGTCTTGGAGATGGTGTTCGGTTTTTAAATCAAAGGCTTTAATTATGGCTGTGGACTCTGCTGTAAAAACTAAACTAGAGCTGGAAAGCTTGTATATAAATTTCATGCTGTTTTATATTCAGCATCAACCCTGTCTTGGCTTGAGGATGCGGCTATATATATTTTTTCACTTATTTTATTTTGTATTAGATGGTAATATTCTTGTTTGTAGCAGGTGATGTACTATTTTTTTTAGTATAGAGAGTTCAGAGTGTTGGTTTTGTTAGAATTTTTTAATTCGGGCACCTGAATAGGCAAAAAGGTTAACAGTTTAAAGGTTTTTAAATTGTTTTCTTAAAATAGTATAAGTAAAAAATGAAACTTTGGTTTAAAATCAAAGAGAGGGGCAGTACTTGCTAGTTTTAATTCATGATTTAATATCAATTTTAGTTTTAGGTACCAGCTAGGTTGTAAATACTAAGTATTGAACTTGACCGATACGTGCCAATTGACATGCAAAGTCCTGAGTTATGTATAATGTCGAGTTTTTTTGTGAGTGATTTGTTTGTAGTTGCTTACATGAAATATCCATAGTCTAGTTCGGACAGTATAAAGGACTTGTACATTTTTTTCAAGACATGAGTCTTGGACCCTTGTGAAGGTACCTATGGGACAGAATTTTTATAATGTTTAAGTGTGAAGTAATTGAGTTTTCTAGATTGTTGATATGATGAGCCCAGGAACATCTTTTGTCAATAATTATACTGAGTATTTTGAAGTTAAAACTATGTACTTATATTTAAACACAAGTTTTTATAAACAATACCTATTATTTTTTATTTAAGGTGTTGGAATTAAGATCAGGAGCTACACAAACTGAAATTAAAAATCAATGTAGAACATTAGCAGTAAAATACCATCCAGATAAAGCTAAAGATGATGAAACTAAAAAAGATGTGCAAAATCGATTCTTCGAAGTACAGCAAGCATGTGAACTGTTATCAAATAGTAGAGCTAAAAGGCGAAGAAGAAACAAACAATTTAATGAAGAACTTTAAGTTGCAATATTATTTATTTTTTGTTATGCATCTGTCATAAAATCATACCTAATTATTTATACATTTACTGTGATAAAACCAAATTAATGTTTACTGCAACATTATTTAAGAATATTATATTTCAAAAATGCTATTGGTCAAGGCATTAAATATTTATGTGATGGATAATTTTAAAACAAAAATTATAACTTTGTAATTCTTTATATGTTAACTTAACACTATATTTGATTAAGGAATGCCTTCATCAGATTTATAGTGTTTTAGAAATATTCATTATTATTTATCGTACAATAACATTATCAAATAAGATACTAGAATCACATTTTATAAACGCTCATTAAGTATAAATGTATAAATTTTGTATGTAAACCAAATTAAACACCAATTTTATACTTATATATTTTGTTAGAACCATATAAATGTAATGTTTTCGAGTTTTCAGTGAGTCTCGAAGTTCCTATTTATAATAATAATGTTTAGTTTGTTTTTAATATGTATTTAACTTATAATACCAAACTTTATGATTTTATTATTTTTTTAAAATGAAATAATTTTAATTTACCTTATAGCTTAATGTAATATTGTTTAATGCCAATAAGATTTAAGCCATGAACTGTACTTCCACAAATCACAATAATATTTCTAACTTTTTGTAGAATCAAATATTGTATTCTGTAAAAAATTATATATACATATGTATAACTTGATATAATTACATTTTAGGAGTTGGGAAATAATGTATATGTTTTGTTAAAATATAAATCATACTAATTATTAATTAGTACCATTATCAAAATTGTAATGCTAATCTACTTTTTTTTTTGTATTCAGACTATTAATTAGATAGTTCATAGATTTCATGACATATAATATATTTAGAACAATTGGAAGAAAAAATATTACATGATATGGTTTATTGACTTATTTGTGTAATTACTATAATTTTAATAACAGAAATGAAAAAATATTTAGCATTAGAAGTAATGATATACATATTAAATTTTAAATCATTAATAAACAATATCTAAAAGAGCACCTTAATATTTGAGAATATTAACATTCATTCTTATTTCACTTTGTGAATTCCGTACAATTATAATATTTCATCTTTCATTTAACAATTAGTCACATTTTTTTTTTCTATAACAAATAAATAAAAAAAATCCAATCTATATTGTTTTATATTAGACATTTTTAAACAATTTTATATTTTTATAATAGTAGAAAATATCATTAATTTTGGATAAAATTAATTTAACTTGAGTTATAAACTATCTTGAACATAGAGCTTAAAATAAACTAATGAGAATTAATTGAATATATATACGCATAACCAGTCATAAGTCATAACATACCTATAATTCAGAAAAACAATTAATTAAGGATATTATCAGCCAATGGCCACCACCATGTTTTCTGTAATAAAATATTTAAATATTTATATCCTATTAATTTAATTAAATAAAAATAACAAAACTATATTAAGAAAGTTTCCAAACTTTAATTTTTTGTAATATTGTTATATTAGGCAAAATTAATAAATACAAAAGTATAAAATATATTATGCATAATAAATGTTTTTTTCAATTATATCATTTAATATAATTGTAAACTTAACAATTAGCAAAATTGTATCTTAATAAACTATAAAGAAATCTGTAAATTAGATTAAAGAACATAATATTTTACTTAAATTTTGGTTAATTTTGAATATTTATTAATAACAGATAAGTATGTTACGGTAAAAATCATAGTAAAATGCATAATATATAATAATAGGTTGAGACTTAGTGATTTCCTACATAATCCGGCTTATCATAATTCATTACAATTAATAATACTGATATATGATATTATATCCTTGAATAATTGGATAATGAACAAATGACAGACATTAAGATAAGAGTATTTTAATTTTTAAATATTATTTTAAGAATAAATTAGTAATTTTTAGTATTATATTTAATGACACAGTGACATAATTGTTACATATTTTAAATTAGGTAAGTAAAATCTAAATTAATTAGAAGAAATTGCTAGTCTTAAGCTTTTATAATCAAAAAAATAAAAACTAATTAACCGGTATTTTTAAAAAATAAACTAATTTGACTTATGTAGTTACTTTAAAAAAATAACATATTTTATATAGGCAATCATGTCTACTTTTTATTATTATTAATAAAATTTCCCCGACTTGGTTATCTAAACTTATTGATAATAGGTATCTAATATAAAATGGACATTTTAACTTTTAGAAATTGGTTAGCAATAAAAAATATATAATCATATCTACCTAGACTTAGTGAAAAATAAAAATAAAGTATATTCTTCATAGTAAATATTTACTTATGTAACTCAACTATTTATAGTTAAAAAATTATTTGGAAATTTGTACTAAAGCAGTGCCTACTAACAGTACTAACTATGAATTATGTATTTTAAAAAGGAACGTAGATAGGTACTTTGTTTTTCATTAATCTCAACTCAATGGCTTTGTTATTTGTGCTGAAAACATTAATCATAAAAAAAAATTTATGCAGATGTGACAAGCTCAAATCTGACTATTATATACCGTTCTACCTAATCTAAGCATTAGCCGGGTTAGTAAATGGTAATGCATACACTGACTTAAGCCATACCTACTTGCCATACATTTTTTTATAGTATCTATAATTTAAATGAAAAGGTCACTGTTTTTTTTTTTTTTTTTTATTCACAACAACGTAAGTGCATTATTTTCGGAATATACAAATAAACTATAATAAGAAATGGAAATTCGAAAAGAATTAGCTGTAAAAGAAGTCTGATTATGAAAATTGACTTACCGTATCAAATATTTAAAATCCTAAATGTGCCTCATAGAGTTTTCTACTATATTTTAAACATTTTGAATCAACTGTTAAAAATATTTTAAGTATTCGTGTACCTACCTTCCTAACTATGCAACATTTTATTTAATAATAGAACTTAAATATTTTTAAATGAAAATTATTATAAAAATAAAGTTTTTTTTCAATAAAAGTTATAAGTTATAACAGTGAATAAGTAGCCATTACTCCTTACATAAGAAATACAATAAAAAAAAAAAAAAAAATGAAGATAAATGCATAGTCTTAATTCTTTATTAATAATCGTTAAAATAGGGAATAAGAATAATAATATAGCGATCGCAGAAACAGTGTGGCGGAAGGCTCCTCCCTTCTATTATTGTCTTTGTATACATTATTTTATATTTATTAAATAAATAGATACTAAGGATAATATGTAGATTAAAAGTAATTTACATTAATTTATTAAAATTGTATAATTTTATAAAAATTGTCCTAGTATAAAAAGTAAATAGGTATACCCATTAGAGTCTAATAATTAGACTAAACTTTACAACTATTTTATATTTTATGTAAGACCACGATTATCCTTAATGTATTAAGTTTGATAATTCAAAAAAAAAAAACTTGATCAAATTATGATTTAGATACCTATACAAATATTTTCAAAAAAAATCACATCGTTAAAAATTTTATTGTTTCTGAAATGGATCAGCTCTTGGAATATAAAATAAGTAAAGTACCTATATAGTACTAACTACTTACATATAGTATTGGATTTATTGTTTCTACGCCAGTACGCTATATAACTTCTAATAAATCTATTATTTAATAAAATATGAAAGGTGCTTATAGTAGAATATATTTTTAATAAAAATAAATGAAATATCGAAATACAATGCCATGAGATCATTATAAGACAACATTCTGTATAATAGATTAACGAAATATACAATCGTCTAAAATAGTCAGTTGGGAGCTATAAGTCATGTCTTATACAAGAGCTGCACTTTTACTGTTTCAGTACTTATATATTTATAAACAACATACTTAGGATGAGATTTAAAAAGTGGTTATGGAACATATTAATCTTCCGAGAGATTAACACTCATAATTATTAAACTTTATGATTTAGACGACTTTCTGCTAGCTTCATAAATGGCAGATATTACAAAATGTGATGCCGATATTGCGAGTTTCTTTAGATGATGTTAGTGCAATATTATTGTTTTCTCTCTCAGACCCACGTACAACATAAATAAAGTTTATTCACGTATGATTGTAGATTTTGATTATAATTTTTGAGTCAGTAATCTTAAAGTAAAATCTAATATTTTTTATGTTTTTATATAGGTATTGGTTATACGTTTTGTAATCATTTGACTTAATTTTTTTTTTTTTTTATAAATTTAAATGGATATTAAATATTGTTTTGAGACACACAATTTAAACAAATTGATATTTCATATCCATAAAACTATTATTTCGCACAATTTTTGTGATGGATAATTTTACTTTAAGATTATTCAAAAAACATAAAAAAAAAAATGATTTTACGTAAATGCGTTTTGTTCGTTTTAAATGTGGATCAGAGAGAGAAGAAAATAATAAATAGTGCGCTGACATCTTTTTGATATTATTATTCTTAATACCGAATCCGACTATTTCGCACGCCATTGGTTTATCTTATTTTAAATCACTGGAGTGAAAAAATTTCTATAAATACTTTTTTTATACCAAAAATATGATACTATATTATTATTCATTATGAGTTATGACAATTAATGGCGTAACTAGGAGGAAATTAAGGGGAGCCATAGCCTTCCTCATTGACTGTGTTTATTTTAGCCATTATAGCCGTTATTTCTTGATATATATTATAATCACGGACTAAGATATTAGTTTGTGATTATAATAAAAAAATATTGAAATGTTGTATAATTAACACATCACCATTATTAATCTTTATCAGAACATAAATCACAGAATAACAAGAAGTGTCATTTCGGAAAAATACAGCGTATCTTTATATTCTTTCTTGTATTATCATGATAAAACGATTAGTTGATTATACGACCGTGGCTACAAGATTTATGGTACAGTAGGTACTTCGATACGGGTCATTATACCAAAGAGTATTATGCGCTTATTGTTAATAAATATTATAAATTGTAATTTACATCAAATTTACTGTTTACTGTTATTGTAATATTCGTTTTTCCTATTTTCGTGATAACCTACAAATGAGTAGTGAGTATTGAGTAATGTCTAGTTGAACATGGGCGATTAACGGAAAAATGTGTTTTCAATATTTCATAATATGAAACACTAGAGAGAACCTTTTCTACCTTGTAAAAAATAAAAACTTACTTACGATTTATAATGACGAAAAAAATACTAAATGGTTTGGCCATGGCAAATATAAACAAAAAATAACATGTTGGAAAATTAGAGCCATAATAAATTTAAAAAAAAATATTTTTTTTTTATAAATAACTTGTTGCATATCTATTAAAAATATGATTTTACAAGAAATGTGAATGAAAGAAATACTCGATAGGGATTTTTTTTCTTTTTTTGTGGGACTTAAATAGTCTCCTCCCCAATACAAAATTTTTGGCTACGCCATAGTTGACAATATATTATTAATTATGAGCTTGAAATCTCGCCGTTTCCTGTAAAACCAAAATGCTCAATTCCTACAATGTCCCATCTATGCGAGACACCCACTCGACAGAAATGCTGTGCGGGACCCCCACATCGATAGAAGTCAAAAGACCGGTGCTTCGGATATATAGGACATAAAGGTATAATCTATACTGCAGCACAGTTGTCGCCATATATACGCAAATAATATCATAATAATAGAGTAGGTATAGGAGGAAATATGGGCGATTCAAGATTATTTATTGTATCCCGCAGTGAAGCGCAGTGCATACCTCGTGAAAAATAATTGAAATTATATCATAATGATAATAATAATAATAATAATAATAATAATAATAATATATAATAGTCAAATCGCAACCCGTTCGCCGTCGGTCGTCATCATCGTTTTTTGTTCTTCTGTTTTTTACCGCTCCGGGAATCGGGGTTCGGAGACGGCGGCTGGACGGGCGTCGTCTGCTGTTGCTGGAGCGGTTCCTGTAATCCGGTGACGGTCACCTTTGGCACGGTCAGCGGTCTGAGCAACGACTTCACCATGGGTTTCGCGCGGGTGTGCACCGGCAACGCGGGGCTGCTGGCGCACAGGGCCGCGCCGGTGAGCTGCGACACCAACGAATACTGGTTGGCGGTGCCGCCGGTCGAGTCGGGATTGGACGACGTGCGAAACGCCCGCTTCAGCTTGGACTTGATCGAGCGGTGGTGCTGCGTGGCGGCACGCTGGAGCGTGGCTACCGCGGACGCGGCCGGTGGCTGCATCAGCCGGCCGTTGATCAGCATGTGCGGCCCGAGCTCCGGGTCGCTGCCCCACCGGCCGTACGACGTCGTCCGTTCCAGGAGTCGGTTGCGCGCCAATTTCTCGATTGCGTCCGCGCAATTGTACCGGCCACAAAATCTCGCCCACTGTTCGGCTCGCAAGCCCCGGCCCGTGTCCCGCATGGTGGGCGATGCGCCTGAAAGATAAACAAACGCCGACCACCGGACGTGTAGTACGTGTTGCGATAATTATTTGTATTTTATTGATTTATCATAAATTCGCGGCACGAGCTCCTCTTGTATAAACACACGAAATACTACCAGTAAAATAACAACAATTAACAATAAATTGAAAAAAAAAAAAAAAAAATAAAATAAATAAAACTAAGTTCAAACCATACAAAGTTTACCAAGGCCGCTGTATACAGCGCTGTTCGTTTTATTATTTTAATTCAACGTTTTAAAAATCACACGACTAAATCAACTATATCTATTATTATCGTCGTTATCCAGGTCACAGTGGGCTTACAATTTATTAATTATTAATACTGAGCACGACGGTATTCTCCTTTCGCCATCACAATTCGATGTGTTATAAAATTTTAACTATCTCCTGAATCCTGGTATAGGTATTTCCGGTAACTGTCGTATTCAATGGAAAATCATTAAATACAAGAAATATGAATACACCCCTTACCGTCTGCCAATGTAGAACGATTCTTTTTAGAATACTTGAATTGATTTCGAAACGTTTGGATTCATTCCCGGATTGTTAAAAGGATGTATCTGATTCAGTTTCTAACGCAGCGTTTCTCATAAGTTGTAAATATAATTTTATTTTGCATCAATTCTTTGACCATATATTTTTTTTTCTAAAAGATTACCTGTTTTGTTCGTAGTATATTTTATTAGTAATTATATCTACGCATTTAAAAAAAACTTTACACATAATTGTAAATTTATTTTTACATCCTTGGAATCCTTATTGCATACCTATTTGTAATGAATATTTTCCAATTTTTGAGTTTGTATTTTATGGTTTTTTTTTCGCAACTAAATAAAGTCCTGATAATTAATTTATATTTTTAAAAATTTTATTGAAATATTATAAAAAGGTTATAATTGTTGACGTCATATTTATACTGTTAATGGATGACGCAAATGAAAATATAATCTCCTCAAATGGCACCACTAAAATGTTTACATTGCTGATTGATAACATTTTTTTTTTTTATAAAAAATACATAAACCGTTATACCTACACAGACAAAAGATAACAAAATTTAGGTGCCGGATATACTTTTAGTTTTTAATTTTAAATGCTACTAATTGCTTAAACAAAAATAAGATCCATTTTTTTTGTAATGTTTTAGAAAATACTTAAATTAAGACTTATTATTTATTTTTAAAAATATTAAAAAAATTATTCGTTAAGTATAATTAATTGAGTAATACTGTCAATAGTTTATATAACATAATTATAATTAATTAGTGTAATGATTTTTAATACTTAATAATATTATCCAGTTTTCTACCATGATAATATCATAATATAAATATATCTAACCTGCAATAATTTAATATTAGTATAGGAACCTATTATAAATAATACAACAAATAATAATATATAATAATAATTTTAAAATACATAAGTATTTAGATACTTAACAATTTTGAACGGCCTATTCCCTAATATAGTTTATCTAAGTCATGCCAGCTTGATGCAAATGCCATTATATATTTTTATTTATTTACGCCTAACTGTATTTTATTATGGGTGTTATTGGAGTTTTTAATACACGTACATTTAACAATAAATAATAAATATGAGCAGGTAAATGTAATATTAAATCTACCATAAATGTAAATAAAATAAGCACTTAATATTAAAATAAAAGCTCTGAATAACAATTTTGAAATATAATAAAAGATGTTCTATTGCGATTGCCAAACAAACTAATTTAATGTTTAGAGTTTAAATCCACATAATACGGTAAACTGCTGTAAAGAAAATCAGATCTGAGAAATGTTTTGAAATAAAATGATTACAGCTAATTTTTAGATCCGAATTAGTTCAATACGTCGGGGTATCAACCTTATCTGAATTAGGCTATGAAAAAAAAAACCTTTTATACTCTTTACTAACTTCCTTTTAACGGATATATAAATCTAATATTTCCGTTACTGACTCATAAACACGAGATGAGTGATTTATTTTTAAAGTATACTCAACAAAGTCTGAAAATCGTTTTGGAAACTTTCCAAAAATCTATTTTCACCCAATAAAATTATAGACCAAACAACTGAGTCATATTCTTGAACCGATCGAATTAAAATTGAATAAAATAAACAAGCAGACATCAAGTAGAATCTAAATTATTTATAAGTGCAGCATAAAACCAATAATTTCTAGTTAGAGGCTCGTAGTTAGTAAGCAAAAATTTACCGAACGCAAATTTTTATTAACTATACCTACCTAAAAAAAATAGGACAGAAAGTTTAAGGTGCTATGAATTAATTTATGGAAGAGATGAAACTTTACATAATAATAGTTATAAAGAAAACCTGTATTTTAACAAAATAATCAATTTTATCTGAGTATTAGAATACTGTCAAAAACTCTTTCTAAATCAATTTAAACATAGTATATTGAACTATATCCAATATATTTATTTTGAAAATCAATGAATAATATTAACATAAACATTTACAATTTACATAATATAAGCTATTAAATAAAATATTAGTTATAGCGTACGTATTACTTATATTTATAATTATTTAACCATAGACAATAGTCTATTTAAATATTAATAAATATTTTCAATTAAAAATTTGATCACACCAATAATTTATGTCTTGAATATTAATGTAAAACATAAATATTTAGACATTAACTAAAAACAATTAAAGCGCCACAAAAACATAATTCTAAGACGCATTCACAAAGCCTAAATGTTTTTAACTTAGAATATGGTTTAATATTTTATTTTGGAGCTAAAAAAAAAAAAAAAAACAGTTCTAAAAACACTAGACCTAATTCATAATACAAGTTTTAAAATGGCTATTGAAGTATTAAATCTTTCAAAAGTAACCCAATTGAAAGCATTATTGACTTAAGTTATTAGAAAAAAAGACAAAAACATACTGAAAATAAGTTAGAATTAAGTTGGAATGCAACCCAGCGTCCCAGTACAATGAATATTATAAATATAGAATGCAAAAAAACGAATATCAGCATTCGAGAACTTAATTAACAAAGTTTTTCTTATCAAATTCCATAATATACATCAAATAAATTTATTATTAAATAAATACATCTGGCAATACACACATCTCTCATTTCTTTTTTTTCAATGACAATGGACTATTGCACTCTGAAATTAACTGAGATGCTATCAAAAGCGTCATTAGAACAAGAAATACCATTATAACAAACAAAAGTCAAACATCACATAAATTTTCAAGTATATAACCATATTTGCACCGTAAAACTTAGCATTGCTTAAATCTACCTAAATTGCTTTCAAAATGAAAAATCAATCTATAATTATATATTCAAACTCTTTAAGTAAATTAAATATTTTCAAAAATAAAATGAGAGAAACTCAATTTTTATTTGTAATTTTTTCATTTGTTTAGATTCCCGGAAACAACAATATTGATCGCAATAAAAAAAAGTAGAAAACTAATAAAAAAAAAAAAAACTTGAAAAATACGCATACAAAATTATAAAATTCACACCACACTCTAATAGACCTTATATGTCAACTTCAAAAAAAAAAAAAAAAAATCAATGCCATTAAATGGAACCTAACCACAAATAATAAGTTAATATATATGAAGTCATTTATCTCCCCTTGGAATCAAAATTTTACTTTTCTTATGGATATCTAAATTATTTTTAATAGACTCAGAATTGACTATTTTAATTTATTGCATAATATTACCTCATAATTGGATAAGATTATAAGAACATAATATCCATAAACCGTAGACTCTAGTTAAACACATACAACGGTAAAGTTACAATTTTGTTTTTAATAATTTTTGTCGGACAACACATTACAATAAATAATAATAATAGTCAATACATGGTAAATGTTTATATGTATATCTATGTCCCGTATAATTTATAGAGACATAATCTGATCGTTAATTCTTTCTATAAATTATTAAAAAAAATTTCAGAAAAAAATGCTCTGAAATACAATCTTAGAGCTGTCGACTACGTGATAAATATTATTATATTTATCTAAATAATCATTTGGGAAGAAAATTTTAATACCTATCCAATAACAATACCATAAATTCTCTGAGTGATCATTTACTGTTTCGAAAAATTTAGATATAAATCATTGAGTGACCTGGTGTGATGCAATGGTTGACTTTTGTCACTGTCGTATTCTGAGGTCAAGTATCGGACGGTGTCGCTAGCTCTCAGATTGGTGATCATTCGGTTTCTTAGCGACGAATCCAAGACACACAAATACATGAGCGTGTTCCATAATAACCCTACAAATCTTACAAAAACTCAAACCACTACCGTACCTTCTCACAGCTAATGGTCTTAGTTGCCGGGCTTAGGATTAATTAAAAAAAAAAAATCATTGTTAAGTTATAATTTTACAGGTTGTTTTAATGAGTAACAATGAGTAATACGCCCTGTTAAAAAATTTCTTTAAACTTATTTTGGATGCTAATTTTACACTACAAATTAACATGCGTTATTTTTAAGGAAAAAGGTTAAGTGACAGAAAATGGGATAATCTATTAACTATTATGTATTGAATAAGTGTAATACCTGCGTAAAGTAGAAATTTCGCGCATTTCGTGCGCCCCTGAAGAGCAGCCTTCATTAGTGGTGTGAACCCCAAAAAGTTTCTGGCATCAATCTCTAGTTTTAGACAGTTGTTCAATAATAAGCACACAATTTCAGATTGACCTAAAAGGAAATGTAGTTATTTTTGATAGTGATTAATGTTATAAAAAAATGTAAAAAGATTTAGTGCTTTAAATAAAAAAAAAAAAACACAAGTAGGCAAAAAAAAAAAAAAAAGAATAAAAATTTGATACCGACTTTAATGATATCAATAAGATAAAATATGCTTGATAAAAATATTGTTTATTAAATTTATTTAGAATGATTTTTCTTGAAAACATTTAATTATTGTCTAATTATATTATAAAATAAATTATTACTATCAACTTAATTTAATATAACATAAAAAAAAGATAGCCAAATTAATAATTATTATTTACTTAAATTTCACATTAGTGGTTTACGAACAAACTCTTGAAAAAACACTGTTCAAACTTCAAACTATACCTACATAATGAACTAACCTGCTTGCGATGCAAAATGTAATGGTGTGTTATCCTCATTGTCTGGTTTGTTATAATCCAAGTCGGGTATTCTCAATATTTCTTCGACTATTTCAACACTGCCACTTGATGCCATATAACTCAACAGTGTCTATAATAATAAAAACGAATACTCTTATTAGTTTTAATAAATAAAAATATGTATACATTATAAACTTTAGATAAAAATTTTATTTCATAAAATGTATATCATATAAGTAATAATGATCGATCACAAAAAAAATTTCAAATAATAATTATAAATTTCTTTAACTTATAAGCAGGTATAGTGAATAACAAACAAATAAACTCGTAAATTTATCTGTAACTTTGTAAGCATTATTATAATTAAATATTTAATATTGATAGTTAGTAGTTCATTATTAAACTATTATTTTTTAAACTTATAAATTGCGATAAATATTCGAAAAAATATATTCATTCAATATCCGAAATGTATAAATTTTGATAACTTTATAAATATGATTTAACATTTTTACTAATTATTGAAATCTACGAATGATAATAAAAAAATAACTCACAATAAAAAGATAGTTTTATTGAAAAAAGTGATGTTTTATAGTGAAATTTATAAAGTCATTTTTTCAAAACAGTGGCGCAACCAGGATTTATTCAAGGGAGGAGGGGGTTAAAATTTTTTTTTTATCTATAGTTTTTCTGTTCTTTTCCTTAAATAATACATAAATTTTATTGCTTAATGAACAAAATTATATTATTTAATACACATATTTTACATATTTAAATTTATATTTACAATGTAAGTTAATTTTTATTATTATGCCAGTTAAATTATGGTATAGTCATTACTCATTAGTCTTAATATTAATTGTATCTATACATCGAATTTGACTTGTTATCAATAAAACACCATAAAACACCAAATATAATAATCAATCCAATCAATAAAATTTGATGAAAATTTCAGGGTAACTTTAAAAATAAAAATAAATACTATGACATAAGCCAAGGGGTGGAGTTCGGGCCCGGGGTTCACCCCCCTGGGTTCGCCACTGTTTCAAAACTACAATTATTAACTGAAAAAACAGTATAATAAGTTAAATTAATCACTATCAGCTTAGACATTTTTAATATTCTTATAATTTAGGGTACTTAATAAGATGCTTCAAAAATTTTATGTGGCAATATTTTTAATGTTGAAATTTTTTTCTAATTTCTTTGTTTTGTAGTTAAGCCAATAAAGATTAAATTTAGCATTATTTTTTTCTAAAGTAGGTACATACTACTTTTTTAATTTACACAATATATAATATATATTATAAACAAATATACCTAAAAGTTTTGTAAATTTTATAATTTTATAATACAAAACATTCAATAAATAAATAATTATTATTAATATGTAAATACTTAAAACTCTCTATTATTTAACGAAATTTTGTATATTTTATCTTCTTGATTTTTAAATTACAGATATTAAATGTTAAAATGCAATGGGAAATTTTAGGGACACTTAAGCTGGTTTTACAATATTTTAAAGTTTATTAAACATTAAAAAAAAAAAAAATATTTTAAATATTATTTATCACTTATCCCTATCGTTGTTTAATTTCATTCTATAAATATGCTGAATAAACGTTTTAGTTTTTTCAAGTATTTTTCAAATGATATATAAGTAAAATAACCTTCATACAATTTAAAAAAATATATTTTTTTCCATAAATAAAAATATTTGATAAATAGTTAACATTTAAAAATTTTTTTTTTTTATCGAATGTTAAGTTTAATAAAAGCTATGAAAATAAATAGTTATTTTTTTAATAGCCGTTAAAAAATTAGAGTAAAAACGTAGTTAATAATTGTATGAGCATAATATTTTAAATTTATTATGCATAATAGGTAATACCCTCATTAAGTAATATTAAATTATATTATACTTAAAATATTTAATTAAATTCCACGCGTTCATTCGATCTTTATTTAATGTATTAACATCATTTTTCCCTAATAAAAAAAGGCAAAAATAACTTCAGCATTTTAACTAGATTCGTTTTCATACCTATAACTCAATTATACCATACTTATATATCATACATTAAAAAAAAAGTACTACTATTGTTGTAATATGTATATATAGATATAAGTAATATATTTTATTTTTGTTTCATTTTTTTTTTTTTTTTAAGCCTAACCATTAAAATAATAACTGAATATTCTTGTAGCAGTACATACTCGACCTGTAGAATCCGTATCATTGATATTATTTCTAAAAAATTCTTCATCATGGCTTGTTAAAATATTAATAACTGATTCCAACTCCATGTCTCTAGCAGCTTTTAACATCTGCTTAACACATTCGGCTGGGTCATCTGTATTTACACGTGATAATTCCGGTGGTGTTCGTACTCTCGAATCTGGTATTTCTGGTGTCATCTCTGAAAAAATATTGCAAAATATACTGTTACCGATTTAATGGGATACACAATTTAATATGTGATTTGATAAAAATTAAATCGTATTCAAATCGTATAAGCTAAAATTGATTTTAATGATGATATTAATCGATTTGCGTTGGAAAAACAACAATTCTACAGAAAGTAACAAGTTTTTTTGTGATTTATGAAGAACATAAATACATTTTACATAAGAGTACCTATATTACATTAAATTGTAGTTTCATTAGTTATAATCTTTCGATTTCTTATTTCAATATGTTTAATGGTGGAAATTATAAAAATATATAATCATTGAAAGGGATGACACGGATTTTAAATATATCTTCAAAAATGTATATTGGAATATATTTTAGTGCTTTAATTTGTCTTTTAATTCTGTTGAATCTGGATAAGATGTATTAGTATAATAAATATGTATCTATTAACCTAAAAATTTGATTATGACATTCTAAAGATCTACTAATTTTAGAGTTAATGTGTTAAATAAATAATAGGTAAGAACTGTTGATATTGTAAATACATCATAGTTCATATTATTGACGAATATTCTATATATTTAAATAAAGATTAACTGCAGATGTTTTTTTTTTTATTTTATAGCGTAATCGTGAATAATATTATATACTATAATTTTTGAATGCATAAATAATAATAATACTTTCAATAAACAAAAATTATATATATGAAAAAAAAAATAATCAATGACATTAAGTTTTTTAGTAATATTTTTGAGAGTATTATTTTAATTAATACTTAAATAATAATAATATTTGTTGTTCATTATTTATCTTTATATACATCAACATCATGCCGTAATAAATACAATAATAAAAAATAAAATCACATTTTTAATGAATACTTTTGTGTTACGAGTTTAGCATTTATTTAGCTAACATTATCTAAATAATAAGAATAATAATAAAAAAAAAATGTTCTATTGTATTACTATGATTTTACTATTGTATGATATATAAAAAATATAGAGAATAATTTTTTGAAAGAATTATTATTTAAACTGAAGAAATATCTTAAAATTATGCTATGTACAAAAAATACCTACTTCTAATAATTATAAATAAGTAGATACTATATTTTAATATTAAAAATTATAGTTTACAAAAAGTGTTCCTTATAAAAATTATAAAAATAAAATATAAAGGTATAGCTCTATTTACCTTTGACAGTTCTGTTTTCGTATACAGTGATTTCATGAAATTTCTTTTGCACGTCGTGAATGCTTTCTGAGATCTTCTTATCATATAAGTCAAATGTTAAAGATTTTCGCCCTGTATCTAAGCTACATTCATCTGCTGAATACCGCCTTACACCCAAAAACACATACATAAAATTAATAATTTACTTTTATTATATATATCAATTCATAAATATTAAGTATTGTGTCTAAAAACGAAGATACTGTATGAATGGATTAGTTGATGTTTTAACACGAAATAACGCAAGGTTTGACAGACTATTATGTTATAATATTCGTGTGTGTATGTGTGTCTAATTATAATGCTCGTGGACTCCTACTGTTTACACTCTAAAATATAATATAACAGTCTTTACCAATGGCGCACACGTCGGGCTAACAATATCACAATATAACAGAAGCATCCGAGTCACAACAGACTTCCGAAAGCTACTCACGTCATATAGTCACATAGGTATACGCGTCAACCTCTGTACAAGGTCGATAGTCGATACAAGTCAGTAGTCATATATCAAGGGCAATTTAAAAATGATGAGACATCAGCTATTACCTGATATAGGTTTTAATGAATCAAAAGTTTTAATTTTGGTTATATAAATCATTAATATTCGCTACTATTATCTGTCCACGTTTCATCCTAGATCGAACGATATTTTATAACATGTAACTACTAATAAATATATTTTTCTTCTATAAATTAAGATATTAAAATTTTTTAAGTATAAAATAGGGTGAAGTACTATATTTAAATATTAGATAATTATATATCTTAGATATATTATTATCTGTATAGTGTTGTTATTATTTACTCCACAATGTATGCTGTATAAAATATTTATTTAAGAAACAAAATAATATATCATCTATAAATAGTTTTATTGTGATATTCAATTATTTTTTATTAAAATGACCGCATCATATCCACTCTTTTATATTTGCGAAACTATATTTGTTCAAATCCAGAATTATTAATTGGTGTCTTTTTATGTAAATTATATGAATGCATAATAGTGATACAGATGGCTTTATTAATTATCATATTTATGTTAAGTCTATTGAATATCCAAAAAATATTTAATATATGATATAGTTTTTTTTTTAATATTTATACGAACTAACCTGTGACTTAAATAATCGTCAAGGCTGTCATCATTGTAATCATTTGGAAATGACCCACGACCAAATGATGTATTTTGATCTGGTAAAGCATATCTTGGCGCACCACGTCTATTACACGTGGCTGTAGAAGATGTTAATGTTGAAGATTTGAAAGTCTAGAAAATAAATTGTTAGTTATTTTATGATTTAGTATAATAAACAATAATTATAATAAATAAGGGTGCAGATATATTTATATTTGCACTGATTATATCATTATTTGCTTAACTTTTAAAATTTTTGAAATTAAGTATTTTTAGTTTTGAATAAAAAATTGTATATTCAATTGCTTAAATATATTTAATATGCATGATATATAATATATATGTTTTCTATTTTCGGAATCAAGTAACGTTTAGGATTTTGTCAAATTACTAAGACTAAGAATTTTTACAAAATAAGTAAATAATATAACGTTCTAAACAGGTAAAATAATTTCATGTACCTGTGAATTTTTCATATTCATAAAAATAATTTCCATGTCTAAATTTATTAAAATAAATAAATTGAAAATAAATAATAATTTATAGTTTAAAGTATGTTAAATTATTCACCTAAAAGTGCATTCATTATTTTTGGCTAAAGTATTTATTTTTTAGTATCTCCTATGAGTCCCGATCATAACACGTTTTAACAGAATATCGTTTAAGTATAATAATAACAGAGTAAAGTTCTTCGAAATTCTATAGTACGTCCAATTACCTATTTATACATTATATGTACAGCATACGTATATTAGAAGTTCTAAATGTATAGTTTATTTTCTTAATGCGCAATTGTCGGTACAAATATACTATATTTATATTAAAAAATAGATCTAAAATTTAGTATGAGATACCATAGAACATTTTTTTTTAAGTTGTTTATTCTTATTGTCGAGTATTCAAGTAAGTATTTTAAATATGGGTTTTCAATAATTTATTTTATATTTTTATAGTTCGTTAAAAAAATTGTATACATTTGTGTTTATAAATTATAAACCTGAATAATAATTGATAAAAATATAAAATTTAGTATAAACACGAAACCCTTGATAATAGTTTTATGTCATTACTTACTCATTACCAAAATGTAAATGTATAACATCAATTAATCATATTAGTAGAGTATAATAATTAATGACTGTAATAATTATTTTTTTTATTCAGTCTAACAAAAATTGTAAATTAGGTTTATGTTAGGTTATATTACATATAAAGTAAATTAAAAATAATACTTGTATTTTTAAAGGATTCAAAAATGTATTTTGAAATTATTTCTGAATATATTTTTTTTAAAGTGATCAAAAATATATTCCAAATACAAAATAAAAGTATTCTTTACAAGACTTGAAAAATATAATAAAAATAAAACAAAGACATAGGTATGCGTCTGTTGAAGTGTTACTTGGAAGTTCATGTCTTAAAAACATTAACAAATGTATAGGTATATTTCCTCTGATAATTCTATTTATCATTCTGTAATATATTTCCTATAAATGTAAAAAAGTACATATTATTTTCACACGTTTCGATTTAACCATAAACTCTACTTTTTAAATCGATCTAAACTTTTTTTGAACTTTTTAATGCTTATATTATTTTGAATTGAAAATATAACGCAACACTACCTTTAACAGTTACGTTATACTAAGTTTGAAGACAAGACGATGTCTTTTATGAATAACTTAAAATGCCAACCTATTATTCTTTAAAAAAAATGAATATCTACAGTATGGAAGTAAGTACCTATTTTATATTCTTTTAGAATAGTAAGTGCGAATATCTAAAACTGAATATCTTACTATGTAAAAGTTTTATCGATTACAATTTATCAAACTAAAATATTTTTTTTATTATAGTATAATGTTAAATATTTACAAATCATAGCCTTTTTAAATATAATAACTATATAACTATTTCAAATTACTTGGTTAGCTTTATGTAGGAAGATCCTACCTGGTTATCTATACATATTATATATTAGATTATTTTATAATATATAAGTCCGTGATAACAAAGATTATATTATATTAAAAAGTCACATTCTCGTATCATATTTATTTATGATACGCTTTTATACTAAAAAAAGGACAACGACTGTGAGTTCTAAATGAACAATTTAATTAATTAAAAAAACTTCTCATGGATAAAATGATTTCATATAAATTATTAAAATATAAAATACAGTAAATGAATATAATTAGTACTCAATATTGAAATTCTAAAACTTTTTTCTGCATTCACATAATATTTTGCTAATTGCATTAAAATCGTTATGGTAAACTTTCATCGCAGTTGTGTTATTTTATTCAAGGCTTATAGGTCAATTATGATTGACGTGAATCGATTTATATATAAAACTGGGAGAAAGGGAAGGAAGCATACAGCAGGGAAGTGTAGAAGTTTCAGGTATAATAAGATAATGAACATTTCGACACTGCCATATGCTATGACAGCGACAGTTTACAGAGGTATTTAACTTTACTGAAGGTCAAAAACTAAACTTTTATATAGAAAGTGCAAAAAGTAATAAATAAGTAAAATACTTTTTAAATTCATTTACTTTTTATTTCATAAATTTTTAATGAACAATTTTTGTATCATATTTATAAATCTAAACTTATAACATACTATATTTACTTTTTTTTTATTAGCTCAAATTATTCTTTTACATTTTTTGTAATTGAAGTCAATTACAAGCATTTTTGTTCATTTCGAACTCTGTTTTTAAAAAGAAATATAAATTTCAAAAATTTTTTAGGCATTACATATACTAGGATATTTTTTACTCATTATTCTTAATATTTTTTCACTATAGTATTTGATAAATTTAATATTATAATTATATATTTTAATATTTATATATTAGATAAAATATTAAATGAAAAAAATACTATATTATATTTATTAAATACAATCTCGCATCATGATATTCCTATGTAATTCTATGCAGAATGTTGAAAATCAATGTTAAAAAGCAAAATAGATGTTTTAAGTACATTACATTTTTAGGTGTATTTACTATGTTATAATACTATTACAATACTATAGATTATAATTCATACATTATACATTTCTTTATACATATGTAATACTCGTTATATGTATGGGTTTAATAGGTAATCTATACAACTCAAGACTCTTATTATTTAAGAATTAACTTAACGTGTTACTTTTACATAATTTAAGTCTTTATAAAACAGCAATTTTAAGAAAAAAAACATTTTTACTATTTTCATTATTATTTTTTAAATTTTTACTGTTTTGAATGTCAACATGTATTTTTAATTTTAAAATCTGAAGCAAAATATTTTGATTTACAAAAATCAAATTTCGGATAATTAGTTAATTATATAATTTTTCAGGATTTAAAGTTTCGATGTGCGAAGTAATGGAGTAGTAGACCACCATTTTGCAGAGGACTTCTGTACAACTACACTTGGTTCATCTAAACTTTAAATTCTTATAATTCATTAGTTATTCTTCCAAAATTCTAGTTTAATGTGTCGATTTTTGAAGTATTACAAAAAATATTGAATAATGAAGAGTAGTGAATTAAAAATACATGTTGTTATCAAAAAAAAAAAAAAAGTAAAAATAACTAAAAACCAATAAAGATAAAAAATAGTAAACAATGTTTTTTTAGAAAATTTTTGTTTTAAAAGACTTAAAATTATATAAAAAATTTTATATTAACGTTGATAGTTTTTGAAATAATGAATATCTTACGGTTAACTAGATCAGTCAGTGTATAATTAAAAATATGCCTACTAAAAATGAATCAAACAACTTAATAATTAACTTATAAACTATAATAAACTACTAAACGTAATTAAATTATTACTTATTATATTAAAGCATTACAACCCAGCTTAATATATTTTAAATTAAAAGATATAAATTGTTGTTAATTTAGTGAATCTAATCACCTATAATAAACAAAGCGACATTATATATTTACTTATTTAAGAAACAATAAAATGAAAATCAAATAATACATTATAGGTGCATAATGCATATATCAATAGTAAAATATACTTTAAATAATACATTATGAAAATAGTTAAAAGAAAAACTCAATAATATCCAACCTTTAAAAATGTAAAGCTTGATGTTTTTTTTTTTTTTGTGACAATAATTTAGAATATACAAAAGTTTGAATAGCCACATAACTATTGATTGAAAATCGAGTCTCGTTGGTAATTCAAATAGGTCATTTTACAATTTTCTCAGTAATTTTCCTACACATAAAGAAAATCGACTAAAAACAATAGTTATAATATTAAAAATACTTCAACATCTCAGTTTATGTTCTTTACAAAACTATACAAAATAATAATGGTTCTTCAAATGCGATAGTTATTAAAATTATTTTTAAATTTATAATATTATTATAACATTAATATAGCATTATATCACGCTTCGTTTCACTCACACTGCCACTTTGGAAAAAAAAGTCTAAAGCAATATTTTAAATTTAAAAAATAAAAATTATTTGAACATAATTGTTAAATAAAATAAGAAATTATTATTAGATATTTATAATATGTATACATAATGTATATATATATATAAATATGTTTTACCACACAGTGACTCACCATGTATGCTCACACCAAATTTTCCCTTTAATAATGAATTAATTAAAAATCTGAATATTTAAGTAGATACAATAATAGATCATATTTTTTTAAATTGTTTACACAATTCAAGAAATATTCTACTATTACAAGACTTTCTTCTTTTCTAAATTCAATATTACATTTTTTAAATTTGTAGAAAATTATTTTTAGGACTTTTATCCGTAATTAATATACATATATTGATATATATATATATATGTGTGTGTGTATTAAAAACTCAGAAATTACTCGTTAAAATATTAACTTATCTGTATCAAAAATTGCAATAAAAAGGCTGCTTCTTAATTGAAAAAAAAATTGGCATCACCACTTCATCTCTTAGTATAAAAAAGTCTAAATAAGTAACTAAAAATATGGTTTTTAAATATAATTAAAATTTTTAAAAACCAAACTTTAATATACTTATTATTAAAAGAAGAAATGGAAGTAAACATGCTTGTTGAATCACCTTAAATAATTCGAACAATGATCATATAACTATTGATTTAAAAAATTGACTGAATTGTTTTGTATTACTTTTTACTTTTAAACCATATTATAATCATTTAACTTATTAAAGTGTACTTTCATTAAATTTCCAATTTTATTTTTTATTGAAAATTTTTTTTTAAAAATTGTTAGTAATAGGTGTATATTGAGATATTAATACATTTACTAAAAATACTTAATTATACAATTTTTTTGAGAGAGTAGAATAAATTGTTTGATGTTTGCTTGATTATGGCATTGATTTCTAATCTAACTCTGAGTAGTTAATAATATTAACTTAATATTAATAGTAGGCAATTTATTGTTTTTACAATAGAGTAAATACGGTTTTGTAAATTTATTATTTTTGATATATTTTAATGACATGTGTTTATATTAATTAATCGTTGATAATATTTTCCAATGCACTTCGTATAATGTGTTAAATTATATCGTATTTTATAACGAATTAATTATGATACCTAACCAAATTATATAGTACTTGTAATATATTGTTTATCTATTTCTAATAATTAATTATATACCGAGTAAAATTATAATTTATAAGTAAGAATGCATAACTTTATTGATTTTAGTAAAATATTATAATTTATGATCATTTAAGTCAAATTAGTACAGAGTTCTATTAAAATTTTAATGTACTACTGATACTTTACTTGCGTCATTGAGAAAAACTATGATAGGAAATAGTAACTAAACAAAACGAATTCGTTTACAAAACAGTTCTTCATTAATATTATTTTTTTATCTGTACTTAAATTGTTATTAAACAATTATAATATGATCGGTCCCATATTCTACTAGTTTTCAAATATAACTTAAATATGAATAGATTATCTAAAAAAATATAAAAAATATCTTGTAGTTAGATATTTATGACATGTTTTTTTCTATTCAGGTCAATAAACAACTCACAGAAAAATCGTCCTAAGTTAAATTTGTTATTTTTACAGAGGTCATGGCAGGATAATTTTTTATCCGACCCCAGGGAATCATTTTCGATGGAGGACACTCGAATCGTTTGATGATAAATCCGGGGATAGAAGACGAAAACACCAGATATCCAAAGGGCACGTTAAGTCGTAAATAAATGTTTGGGACGAGAGAAGGGTACGAAAAAAGGTCACATGTTATTTGACATTTTCATCCATACAAGTCGAATTATTATTTTTTTATTTTTTTTTTGAGAAAAAAATATCTGTAGACATTACGCGTCTATACACATAATAATATGTTTATATTGTTATTACTATATTGTATATTATACAATATACATATACCATAAACAAAATTGATAACTATGTAAATAATAATAGTCAATAAATAATAAAAAGAAATCAATTTAAATTGGATTTAAATATAAATAATACATTATATTTAATATTTGTACATACAAGTTACACTTATAACAAGTTAATATCCAATAGCCAATATTTATACTCTAACATGCATTATTTGTAAAATGTAAATATTATATACTCTGATACTCGTATTTATGCAAATTTAATATTTTAAATATAAAAAATTTAAATTTAAATAACAATTGCATAAACATAATTAATACCAACTATTTTAAATTATTTCAATTTTCCAGCTGATACATATTTTTACAATTTATAACACTATTTTGGAATATTATCCTATATAAATTTGGGTTTTTTTAAAATTAAGTTTTAACATAATTTTGCTTTGAACAAAATATTAAAATTTTAAATAACAGCTTATAGGTTTTAATAATAAGAGTAGTGGCTCCAAGGCACTTCACATTTGATTTGACATCTTCACTGTGTTTATAAATAAAATAAAATTCCTACTCAATAGTCGATATTTATAAACAGTGGCGTATTTTCAATAATTTCTTGGGGGGAGGGGTTAAATTTTTTTTAAATCTTATGATAAAGCTTACTTTAAAACAATAAATAGAGAGATAAAATTAATATATACAAACATTATTATTTTATAATTAAAAAAAAATGTCACAATATTAGTAAAATTAATTTTTAGTTTAATTTGGTACATCTATTAGAGTATCAGTATAATAATTTGTCAAATAAAATAATTAATTATAACACCATCTTTTAGTTTACATTTTTATTCATTTCAAATTTTAAATTGAAAAAGGTCTAATAGCTTTATTATTAAAATTTTTGTGGATTGTGGACAATATTTTTATAATTTGTTTATCGAAAACTCCATACACACATACTGGTTAGATATTTCTTATAATTTATAAATAATGCTTTAATTAAAAACTTCTACGATACGTTGGTGTCGTTTGTACATATATACATGTTGTTTTTTGTTCTTGAGGGGGGGGGGTGAACCCTGGGACTCCCCCCCTCTCTTGAAATACGCCACTGTTTATAAATTAAAATTTGCTAGAGAATCATTCTGCTTTCAAATATTAAATTAAAATTATTTGTAGGCGTATAAAAGAAGTTATAGATGTCTAAAACGGTATTATGTTACATCGTAAACTGTAGTAGAATTGAATGCTATAAATTATTCAAACTGTGAAAAAACATAAGAATTTTATAAAAACATTGAAGCTAATCAAAACTTTGTATAAATATACATACAATAAATTTTACGACATTATACATACAATATTAAATATATGGCAATACGTATTACCGACTTACATCAAAATATTGAAAGATTGTGTATAGTTTCTCAAATTATAATTTTTCTGATAAACTATTAAACGATGTTTCTCTTTTAAAAATTATTGAAAAAAATAATACATTAAAATGGAAAATAAGTGATACTATTTATACTTCACTTTGTACTAATGTGATTTATCATCATTCATCACTACATATCATCTAAATCCTAAATGACAAATCAATGTGTACCAAACTCCGAATTGACTATCGTATTTAATTTATATATATTTAAATATCGTTGTCAAACCATATAATTTATCCATTAAATAGCTTTTGTTAATATTTAAAATACCATTAAATGAAATTCAATTACTATGTGTGTTGTAAGTTCTATAATACATAATATGTATGTTATAGAATATTATTATGCTATTTATTATTAAAATTTTCATAAAACTATTATATTTGCATTTAAAATAAAAGCTATAAAACAATGTTTTAAATATCAGCACCATTTGTTGTAATTCAATTACTCATCTAGAAGTATGTATAAACCCTTGTGGACTTACGGCCTTCAACTTTGGGGAAATGCAAAAAAATCTAATATAAATAAGATCCAAACATTCCAAAATATCGCTTTACGTAAATTATTAAATGCCCCTTCATACGTTTCTAATTTTACTATTAATTCTGATCTAAAAATGCCTCTAGTTTACGACGAAGCTAAATCGTTAAAACAAACGTTTCCACCTTCGCTTGGCGTCTCATCCCAACCCGCTTGCTAGAAATCTTTTTACTCCAACAATCCCCGGTAACCCTCTAAGAAGGTTAAAACGGAAATGGTGTCGTGACTTGCTTGATAGATAAACTATCAGTCAAAAAAAAGAAAAAAATATATATATATAATAATAATTCCAAATGAATGTGTCTCTAATGGGTGGCTTCTTTCCACAAACAATTCATGTATATTTTAGCTTATTATACTATTTTTTCTTCCTTATGTTAGATTAGATATGTTTAATACTTTATTATGTTACTCCTTTATCGCATTTAATTATTATTCCAAGGTAAAGGTTGTAAATTTATTTGAAAAAAAAAAAAAAAAAAAAAAAAGAAGTATGTATAACTTATGTGTTATATGATATTTTCTCAAAATACGTTTCAATGAGTGCGTATTTTACATTTTTAAGTAGGTAACTATTACAAACTTAAATTAAATAGATACCAATAGCTTATAAAATTCTTAACAATTTAATTATAAAGAGTATTCAATAATCATATTATTTTTAATAAATAATATTTAGATTTAAAGTTTGTTAAGTACATAAATCTACGGATGTTTTTTTTTCTTATAAAACAAAAATCTGCACCAAAAATATTTTGAATAAGAAAAATAGTTAATAACATACAATTGAATTTAAAAAATGTACTGCTAGTTCTTGCGTAAGTACTGCAAGTATAGAAAGGATTACTCAATAAAGTCTTAATAATATGTAAATGATTTAAAAATTAAGACGTAATTATTATAGTTTATACTCACATCTTTTGTTCTGTAAATATGGTCCGTGGTATTGTTAAATGGGATTTTCGAATTAAAATGAACGGTTGCAGATGTCCTTCGTCCAGTATCGGATGACCGACCTGAAATAAATTTATTAACTAAATAGGTATAATATGCTACATGGTCGTCACTCGTCAGTTAGGTTAGAGAAATAATCACGATCGTGACGAATGATCCACCCTTGAGCTAGATGTATTCATACGTGTATGTACATCTTTTTTGAATAAGAATCTATTATATTTTCAGTCAAAAATCTACTCTTCACTGTTCTTAATATAATATGTATTCTTTAACGTACTATTTTATAATAATAAACGTGTATAATATTAAAACTTAAAAAAATTTTATTCGTAAATTAAAACCAACTAGAACTCAGAACTTAATGCACTAGTGAATTATTATGCGTAGATTTAAACATTTGTTAAAAAACACCAAAATATATAGTTATTGTAAACGTATATATTAAAAATTAACATTTCTATATCATAAACTACCTATTTAGTAGTTTATAATCAAATAGTTGTAGTTTTTTAATTTAAATATGCGTTATTTATTCAACCAGGATGGTTATATGCATTACGTTTATAAAATCTGATTTAAATAATTTTCCTTTAAAATGAGTCTTAACTCAAAAACAAAAAAGATTTTTTATTTATAACATACATACTTAAAAATATAGTTAACTGGATAATATTATGAATTAGTAATAATTAAAAAGTATAATGATATAAAGTTAAAGTACTAAAAGAGTATACTTTAAGTTCTCAAATGTTTGAAATTATATAAATTTTAAAACTATGTAAATATTAGTACCTATAACACAGTATTATTTGATTATGTCTTTGTATAAATATAATAAACTGTATAACAATTATTTGAAGAAGAAATGTGTTTTAATATATTTTTTTTCCTAATTGGCTTAAATTTGAATTATTAACTTTGAATTGTGATATGTTATATTTTATAGTCATAAAAGCAAAAACTATTATGAGTAATCACTCTTTAATTTTATAGAAATTATTTCGATCTTTTGTTGAGATAATTATATGGAATATTAAAACAATTACATATTTACATAACTTTAGAGTTTTTAAATTAATATTTATACTTACAAAATAATTCTATAACAATAAAAACACTAAAAAAGTATTAATAGAGAAAGATTATTATTAAGTATCTATTATTATTTATTACATTTTTATCTTTATCATTTCTAGTATAAAATACGTATTATCATAGAAATATTTTTTTGAAAATAATTGTTTATTTAACATAATATTATTTATTATTAAACTTTTCATTTTTAAAATCGTTAGAATTAAAATAAAAAATAATTTAAGAAGTTAAAATTAATAAAATCTCATATTAAATTTAGTATTTACTATATTACTATACTTTGTTTATAAATATTTTAAAAACAATAAAATTACTAAAAGTTTTTTATTTCTAAATTTAAAGACATTGTGTTTTTAAATCGAAAATTCATTAAAAATACGTAGACATGGATACTGGCTACTGGGTAATATGTTTACTACATTACTCATTCGTTTCAAATTGAAATCTCATTAAACAAATTTACGACTAATTTATTCAAAAAAGTATATAATCTTACAACATTATGTATTGTAATATACTATTATATAGTTTTACAAATTCAACGCGTAAATTATTTAAATTACCAGAAAATTATTTTTTCTAACTATTTCTATCAATGCAATTATGTTTTTACTAGATTTTTTCGTATCACTGATTAATATAAGACATTTTAAAATTTTTATTTTAATTAATTGTACTAGAAGTTTGAAAAGTAGTATAAAGCAATATATTTATTATAATAGATTCTTTTTTCAGTATACCTTCTATTATTAAACAACCTTACAACATTCAAATTGTGTTAATTTTTATTAACAATTTAATTTAAACATGTATTTTTATACATGTTTAAATTAAATTATTTTACAAAACAGTTCTACGATAAAAATTAGTATTTTCTTGTATTTAAAAGGTGTATATTCTTTAGTTATGTTTTTCAAAAAGTTATTATTTAATCAAGAAATATTATTAAAGATAAATTTTATACTTTCTTTTATTATTTTGGCATATATTATATGTGTGTCATACAAATTTAAATTTAAAATTTAAAAATAACAACAAATACTTTGTAATATTATATGAATAATCAATATTTTTTTCATTTTTAAAGTAACTTGCCTCAGGTGCTATATAAATATATATATAGAGAGAGAGAGAAATAATTCACACTGTTGATCTATATCTAGTATCTACTTAACATGCGTGGTTTATATTGAGACAATTTTTATTATTGTTCTATTATCCAAACTAGTAGCTTTCAATCTTTTTTCACAAGGAAACCTTAACTTAAACCTAAATAACATTTAAAAATTAATGGATTTTTGAAAAAATAACAAAATAATATAAACCTATTTAAATTTTACCATTTTATTAAAAATACGTACAAAAAAAAAAAAATAGAAATTTTTTTATTCAAAATTAATAGGTATTTACTTAATTGACAACTTATTATAAAAATAAAAATAAATTGAACTTTTTGTCAGTGGGTACTACGTAACATATTGGTTAAAAACTAAGGATCTATAAGACTGTAAACATAAAAAGTTATTGTCTGTTTTTAGTATTATAAAAGAAGTTCGACTAGGTATACAATAAACTGATTAAATTTTTCAATAATCAAATGTATTCTAACTGCAGAAATTAAAAGAAAATAAAGAAATAATATGGTTTACATATTATCATACGTACTATAAAATAGTGGTAACGCATAAAATAGTAGGTACCTAATTTAATTTCTTATTGTTAATGAATGGCTATCTGCAGCAAGAAATCAGTGATTAATTGATAAGCACATCAAGAAGTTATACGGAAGTTAACGACTTAATACATAAGTAAGTTTGATTTTTTAATTAATTATTATTTACTGCTGCAGATTATTAGGTCGAATTTTGGTCAATAATGTAATGCCAATTTTAGCGGAAAAAACAAGTTTTGGTTTTAAAAACAAATTCATAACTTTTTTTAAATCTACAGTATTTGTTATTTTATGTTTAATCATTTTAAAGCATTAGAACAGAATAGAGCAAGGTATTGGTTTTATAGTTATATGTTCTTTTTAGATGCTTTTGTTTTCGAAAATAAACTTCTAATATTTCATATATATGCTTTATCTAAATAAATATTAAATCGCAAAAAATTAACAAACATATAGCTACATACAAGTTAAAATTTTTTGGTCAAAATATGATATTATTGATGTCATTCTATTATTATATACAATGTTGTACTGCGTGAGTAAAAATATTACACATCAAAAATGAATATGGTTTTATAAAATGAAAATTTACCTATGTACAATACAATAATTGTATCAATATAACTAGGAATTACAAACCTTTAATATTTTAATAGAAAAAAAAAAAATTAATTTTATGAATAAAATAGACAACTTCTACTTAGTATGATTTATTTTTATGTTTTAATACATAAGTTAAAATTTGATAGCAAAGCAATTAAAATTGTTTGTATACTATACACGGAAAACTTTTCCGAGTAAACAAGGTTCAACCTTTTTTCCAGGTTGCCTGAAATACTAAATTTCAAAAATGCAAGACTTTATAAAATACCATGTGTTGAAATTCCTATCTATAGATAGGGCTGTGTAAAAGCTATATACAACTTTGAAGTACTTTTACTGAACACAAAAAGTGCATTCAAAAACAAAACACATCATTATAATGTTATACTTCATTCATTGTTCAGGATTTAAAAGTTAAGAACTTTAATTAAACATAGTAAAAAATAAAATACATATATTTTAATTTATATAATATTAACTAATTTTAATTATTTATTATTTTATTTATTTACGTGTTTAAAAATGTACCTGATTATCTATAATATACAAAAAGTATTATTTACATTTTTTTTTCATCTCAAAAATTTTCAAATTAATTATTCTATTATTTAAATATGTAAATTATAACAATCACATTTTTTTTTATGATATTAATAATTTTATAGTACATATGATTATTGTACCCTAGAGTACAAATTGTTTATTTCTTCATAAAAATTTAAAAAAATAAGATATTAACAATGAAAATTAGTATATTTAATGAATGGTGTTAGTAAGAACAAGTTTTTTTTGAAAATAATTTCATAAGATATTGGAAATAAATATTTAGAAGTCACAAAATTTATTACCAATTCATAATTTATCCATTAATTTTTTTACAAAAATCTCTTAATTTTTATAAATAATATGATGACTTTGCATTATTAAAATATAACATTTTAAAACAGCAACAAAAAGGTATTAGCAATATGTATACATAATGTACCTCAACATGTTAGTACAAAATAAAGGACATTTTGAACTAATCGTTACTCGTATAAAATTGTGATTGATTAGCAAATAATGACTTATAATTATTAAAAAAATAAAATAATATATAGTTATTAAATTAGTAGGTACTTACATGGATTTGGAGTAACCGTGTGTAGTTTATATGCAGTAAAACCGTACATGTTAAGCGATTTAATGTCTATCAACACTGTTCATATTCTATGTAATTGCAATATTTTCGATTACTACGATTATTTATTATCATTTTTTTTTTTTATTATTACTCCAAAAGTTTAAAAACATTTAAAACTTTTAAATTTAAAATTTTTATGTGAATATATTTTAATCAAGATTCTAAACTACATAGTTTTCGTAATTCGCATATTATAATATGTATTGAGATACCGACTAAATACCGGCGTCGACGGTGGTAGCGCGATGTCTGGGTAGCCGGACAAAAGCCGAATGTGTATGGGAAGAAAAAATATATTTTCACGAGGCGTTTGTTCCAAACTTGGCCGGCGTCCCGCGTTTGCGTGATTAACACTATCCAGTCGATCGGTCTGGGGGTGGGTTTCTCGGCGGGGACGACCGATGTGCGGGCGGGTTATGGTGTCGGTAGAAGGACACATATATACATATAGTATATATAAACGTTACTGATGGGTAGGAAAAATTTCAAACAATGTTCACGGGTGTTTATTAAAAACACTATGTTGTATGATTAAAAATATAAAATACCACATTAAAGGCGAGAGCTGTTTTGTTTACGCGCTTAAAACAAGATGAGGTGTAAAGCCCTCTAATTAAAATCGTTACACACAGACTACACAACCCCCTTAAGTTGTCAATATCCTGAGTATTTTTTACGACGGGATAACAATATACACGCGTGAAAATATTGGATTTGACATCCAAAACAAAACAAGTGACACTTAGGAATTAACCAGCCTTTTTTAACGAGATGAATAAATTTTATAATATTATTATGCATGATCATCGAAAACAATTTCAAAACGTGAATATTAATAGGTTCGTAATTTAATAGAAAAATTCTTTTAAAAAAATATAGCTATTTATAAATCTATTCTGATATCGAGTAATTATTTGTTGTGCTTTTTAAAGTTTATATTAGTTAATTACAAGTTTTCATGGTTCAGACTGTAATGACTTAAAATTTATTAACATAAATTTTCATGAACATGCATTTTTAAAATCAGTATTTCTTTTTATGAAAATTATTCACTCAAGCAATAAAAATGCTGTATACACAAATATATAATTCATTATAATTTATTCCAAGTATACCGAGTTAATACCTACAATCTATCAATCTTATAAGACTTTGTACAACAGCAATCAAGACACAGAAATTAATGTTTAACTAAATTTTAATTTTCAATTATAAAACATAATGTTATATAATATAGGTAATTTATTATCTAGTAATTAAGTGTAAGGACTAATATTATTACGACATGTGACCTTCATGTATAGGTAATATAGGTGACAAATGTATAGGTATAATTACTAATTATACGATGATAAAATTATATTCATACACATAACTACACACGCACAGAAGCACGCGCATACACATATAATATTGTAATCCAAGTAAAGTTTTACACATGATCAATGAAATATGTTTTTTTTTTATTTTAGATATATATAGACAAATAAATTATCGTACTATTTGTATCGTTATAATATTATTGATGGATGGATATTTATTATCATATATTATGTCTTTAAAATAATGAATACATAGTAGATATATATATTACAAAATATATTATGTAAACCGTTATGTATACGAATATAATTTCATTAAAACATAATTGGTATAGGTATTTATATTTATAAAAACTTTAATTTAGAAAACGCTTTAATAAATTATATAATAAATATCAATAAACTAAAAGTATTAAGTTTATATGTATACTGCATTAGCTACATTCTATGTCTCAAGTGGCAAGTATTATGATGTCTATGCCTTATGGTAATGGTTATACTAAATAGTTAAACTATATCTAAAACTACACACTACTACATAAGACGTACCTACATATTAAAAATACTATTTAACATTAAATTGAACATTGAAGTTTTGGCAAAAATATTTGCTGACAGCCGAAAATGTGCTTGGCATACACATTTTGTAGGTTAAGGTTGATCCGTTCAACTATATCTAAATGTACATATCATTTTATAACTTATTAAAGTTAACCATCAACATTTTAAATTCTAATCGAAGCGATGAATCTATATAGATTTTAAATTAATATTTTTTGTATTTGTATGTATGTGTGTCTGACATTATCTTTGGGAGTAAAGAAAATATTTCAATCTTTAACTTTTGATTGTGATTTTTGGTAGAAAATTGGGTCTAGTTTGTTATTTAGTAGATGGGTCAAAAGTAAAAATTCTAGATAAACAAGAAAAAATAATAAGGGCAATATTTACGCCGCAAAACCATTTTTTTTTTTCTAAAATTTACTTCAAAAATAAATATCCATAGAACTTTGAAATGTTCAACTAATATTTGTAAAACAATTTTATATAAATATGATAGATTTTTAATATATTTTAGTTGTTTTAAAGCCATTTTTTAAAAAATTTTATTTTTCTATTTGTTTTTTTTTTTCAATTTATGTACAATAAATTTTTGTTTGTAATAAACCAAAAAGCTTTAAAATTTTAAGATTAATGTTTATTTGATACCTACACTATTATATTGATTTACTACTCGTATATAGGTAATGAGACAGTTGTCATGCACTCTACATTTTGTATTCTTCTCTAAATTATTTATTCACATTGAAAATGAAATCATTAAATATCTAAAATAGTAGTAAAATAATTTCCAGGGCACACCAACCTATTTATGTATAGTGTATACGCAAACGAAGCGAATAATAATAATTATAAATGGACAATGGCGATTGGCGACTATAACGTCTGACGAATAAACTGTAGGCGAATGGTAAACGGAAAAGAGAACATATAAAGTCGCGACGCTTGTATTTACAGTCTTCTTGGAATAAATAAAATAAACATCACCGCCATTCGCTTCACTGGCCATTGCGAATAATAAATGTAAACATATAATAAAATTAAATAAAAATTATGTCTTTTTTTTCCAATAATCTATCAATGTCCTATACGATCTAACACATAATATTAAATGACATGATAGAGAACAACATTATATTTTACATTGTAATTTTTTATAGTCAATACTAATACACCTACCGGCCACTAATAATCGATGGAAATGTGATTATTTTATAAGCGTATACACACAAAAGTGTTGGAGTAAATCCCTTACACATATTTTTTTTAAGATCTGTAAAAAATATTCTTTAAGCTGAGTATTATAATTTTTGAACTTCGATCCCTCTTTGGAGAAATATTTCTTTAGGCTCACAATACAAACAATTCACAAAATCCTACATGAGAACTTTGAACAAATTTTGAAAACTATCAAACAAATTCAAACAAGTTATACAGGTAACATTTTTATTTCATTAACCCCCCATATAAAAGATATGTATAAACCTGTTCAGGTTAAAAGAGTTTCCAATAGTTTTAATCGCGCCTTAACCCTCAATTAATTATTCAAATATTAAAAAAATGTATACGTCTGAACGTATACTATTATGAACGTGTAGTAATATAGTATATTTGAAAAAATGTGGACCCCTCATCAAAATTTGTTTTCAGTTACAGTCCCCTTTAATAAGCTTCATATCCACCAATTCCACTGAATAACTATGAACAATATAGATAATACAATAAACATTTAACTTTGCCTTGTAATTCTAGATAAACTTGCAATATATGGGGAGTTTCGTTGAACTGGAAACAATGAAGCAAATACATTTGTGTTTATGTATTTTTTAGATTTATTAGGTTTAGTATGAACTACTTATGAAAACCCTTGTATTGAATTTCCAAACTTACGTTATAAAAATTTAAAAAATTATAAATTTTCAACTATTCTACAAAATAATTTTAAAATTTTCGCAGTTTTGTCAAAATTTAAACATTAAAAGCTTAGATAAAAAATATACTTTTGTATTTTCAATATTTTTAAACTCTTAAAACAACAACCTATACATGGAATCTTGTGTTTAATTTTCAAAAATGTTGATCAACAGTTTAAGAAAAAAAAATAAAAATATTCAAACAATTTAAACGCCTTTAAATGGCTTACAATGACTAAATATTTTGGTAATTTCATTATTGAGCACCTAAAACGATAACTAAACTTTAAATTATCAATATAATGTTCAAAATTTCTACGGTCAATACATTTTGAACACAATAAAAAAAAACTAATATTGTTATAAATATAAATATTTCATTAAAATTTCAATAACACAGTTATTTGTTTAAAAGTACAACAAAATAAAAAACAATTTAACGAAAACTGGTATTGTATAAAAATTCCTTTTTGCTTTATTTTTTTTTCTTTTGATTACTTTTAAATTTCTGTGAATTTTCTATTTTTCCTCTTTCAAAAGTATCAACCAAATCCAATTTTCTATCAAAAACAGCTCAAAAATAAAAATCTTATATAACTTTATATTGTTATGCATAAATTAAAAAAAAAAGAAAACATTAATCATAAAATTTAGTATTTTGAAATTTACACATTCAACTCTCCCCTTAAAGTTTAAAATTGAAATGAGTTTTTGGTGCTAAATGCCCAAATTACGATGTTATATTAAATTAGATGCAAATGTTTTGCATTCAATATAATTAAAATTATTAAATGTACTATAAATTGGCCTAACCTAGTTAAAGTTTTAATCTTAAATAGGTAAATAGGTAATAAGTAAACCCTCTTTTAAAATCTACGCAGTACGATGATTGTTTTAGTTTTACATTGATATATGTGTTTTTAATTTATTCTTTATATATTCAGTGACTTCGTAATGTGGTATACTAAAAATCTACTATGCAGCTGAGTGGAAATTTAAATGAAACAATACTAAATATAGATTAAGTTTAAAAGTCAAAAGAAGATCAAAAATTAGTTCATTCCGTGCAGTCACTGTTATTAAAGTCTTGAACTGTAGAAAGAATTATTTTAAAATGTCTATTATCGTTTTATACGCCTATTAACTACATTAGGAATGTTTTGAAAGGAGAGAATTAAAACTAATGGGTTTAAGTGCAGGAAAGCTTTTGCGTGATATTTTAAGCACACACGTTAAGCGGTTCCTTTAAAAATTGCCACTTTAAGATCTTTATAAATATATTGTTACATATAATAGGTATACTCACAATTGAGACAAAGCTTCAACAAAATAAATTATTTTATTTTATTATAATTCAAAAACGAATAACAGTATAGTCACTCACCAAATACTTATATTAACATTTTATTACATAGGTAGTATAATTTTAAAAAATCTTTCTTTTTTTTTTTTTTGAGCTATTTAAAAAAAATTAAGTAGTTTTTTATTCTTTTTTAATTCATGAATAATGATTTTTAAGTCAAAGTTATTCTACCCGACTAATATTTAAGTCCAATAGCATCAGTCGTTTTCTTAACAAAAAGAAAATGATTGAAGACAAAGAATCAATATAAAATTATAAGTAAATGTATTTATTTTTATTGTTCAAAAAAATGTTTTTTGATATTATTAACAATTTTTTTAGGTAGTTTATATAACCAATCATCGAAGACAAACAGTTGAATAACCTATCCTATAGTCTATACTCTATAACAGAGGTATACAATGCTCCAGAGCATTGTAATAATATAATTAATTATGTCAACATTAAATTTTGAGTGATTATCAAGGATAATTAAATAGTTTTTCTCGATAAATAAAGTGTGTACTGTATATATGACCCACTCTTTCCATAAAATAGATTCAATAATAAATTCTTATTTTTTCTATTTAATGAAGATTAAATTTATCCCGATTAACCTATACCTATAATTAATATAATCATACGTCTACACCTACAACATTCAGCGCATTTATACTTAACTATGAATTCTTTTATAATAGCATTATTTATGGAGACATAATATAATGTGTAGTACATGTATCATCGTAATATTTATATCATCTGGTTTAATTTCTATTCTTTCTTCAATTCGTTTATGTATTGATCTTTGAACAAATTTTTTATTTATACTAAATGTAATAACTACAGAGTCCGGATTTTAATGTTAAATGCATTATTTTTTGGATATTCTAGATCTAGACCTACGCTCTTCAAGAAATATAAAATGTACACTTCATACATGAAACTATTATTTTGCTTTTTTTGATGTTTTTCTATTTTAGAACATTTTTATGTAATTTTATTAATTTTTAATGTATGTATGTATTAAAACGTTATTTGTACAAACTTTTAGTGTAAATTAAGGATTCAAAATATTATAATACTAAGAAATATTTGTTTCTTAACACTTGCTCTGATAGTTTTGAAGTATTTTTCATTTACACTAAATGTCAGTCGTTTTTTATACATGAATACGATAACGTCTGTCAATCCAGCGTAATCAGGTTGGTGTAAGGCCGGAATTCAAACAAATAACTAATTAGTAATTAGTTAGAGATCCATCGCGATCGCTTTTATTTGTGTACTGTTTCATCATTATATACTCGTATGCCTAACGTTTGGTATTTTAATTTTGTACTATTGTTATAGTTTAGTTAATACAAATTAGTATTAAAAAATGACGAAAGTTAATTCCCTATCACGTATGTATTGCATGCCTAAACGAGCTTATTGCATTGAAATAATTAGGTTATTTGTCAGAATATTTATTGATAGTTTTTATGGAATTTTTATCCAGATCCTAGTAATTAATAATTACTAATAAGTTGGTAATCAATATTCAATAATAACACATTACCAGTTATAGATGGATGCACATCAATGGACAATGGACAGTGGAAAATTAATAGCAATCCATTGATAGCGCGACACTATTCATGGTACAACGATTTGTATAAGGTCATACAGAATTTCATGTTGAATCATGTGATTTACTGGTCTTCATTTTATTACGCATTTTAGTAGTTCACTATCCTAGACACCATTCAATTTTAATTTCAATACAAATATGGTTTCAAGTATAACAATAAAAAAAACAACTTTATATTTACGGATGATGGATCCTATATTTACCACAAAAAAAAATGTATTTTTCTACAATACTGATAAAATTTATTTTTTGTCGTTAATGATTTAATTTTAATTTTTATTTTTATTAAAATTAATTGATTTTTATTACATTTTCCCGTTAATACAAAATTGCTTTTGGGTGGTTATACTTGTGTAGGGTAATTTTGTAGTTACAAATTATTATGAATTAACTACTAATTTTTAAACCCATTATTGTGTTAAAATTATAACCTAGTAACGCCAATCAGAGACCTTATTTTGCCATTAATAGATTATTTTAAAGGAAATTGGATTAATAGTATTTACTGAAAAATAGAGAAGAGAACTTAATTTTCCTACGAAAATATAAAACTAATCACTTCGTAGAAAAATTCACAGTTGTTTCACCAAATGTTAAATTCCACATAGCACCCGTCAATAGAGAAGATTATAAATAGGTACGTTAAAAAAGGATGAAAATATTGAAAATATAACAATATGTTTCAGTGATTGAATCACCATCAAAAAAAATTTACAAACATTGAAATACTAAACTCAAAAATTTTGTTTAGACTATGATAATAGAATAATAGAAGATAATCTCAGAGGCATATTACATCATTTTTAATTACAGATCATTTATTATCTATACACATCACACACGTTTAGAGAAACTCTGCCAATACAGTTTATAATAAAAAATTCACAATAAGTTAACTTTAAATAATTGTGGCATTTATTTTTTTTATACACAAAAACAAACTTATTAATACCTAAACGTCTTAAACTCAAATGTATAGTGTTACACTTCTTATTCATAATATCCACGCCTGTTTTTATTTCATGTTAAAAACATCGCATACCTATATTGGCTATATTAGTTTATTATGATGATAAATACAGATCCATAATACATTTTTTTTTTTAACATTTATAGTAATTACTAATATTATGATTTGTGAGTATTTATTATTGCTTTTTATGTACATTAATTTGGTGAATAAAAGCGAAGGGTAATCTCCCCATCTAAGGCCCTATGATTCATACTCCCATTTCATTAATTAAATCAATGCTATTTTACTCCGCTCGATTTTATCAATCAGATACCATTGTCTATAAATTAATTTTAATCTAATTTTGTCTTTATTATGTATGTATCACGTACGTACAGTGACGTTCACAAGAGAATCATGGAGCGAAATTTGCCCCTCTACTCCCTACCAAATTATTTCTGGATACATATGCGTGTATCTACATCTATATACACACTAATAATAATTATAATATCGTAATGATACGAGTATTAAGTACGTTTATTTATCCCTTATTTTTATGCTATATACCGCCTATGTTTTATCATTTTTGGCTTTATTTTACTGACATAAAGTATTTCCACAACCATTCGAAGCAATCGATGAGAACTTTTGCGATGGCGCACCTAATGACCTAATCGAAAATCGAAATTGTACGCCCAACAAACTGTAAGTTGTAAACTAAATTGACGACGGCCAATATAGGTATCATAATTTATTATTATTAACTTGGCGACGGCTATAATATATTATTATAAATAGGTACGCATATTATCAATGGCGAATTACGCCGGGAGGACATCTAAAACTAGACTTTCCCCTATAGGTTGGAGCTGATAATGGTCAGCGGGATGTTATTTATGATAAGGTTAATAATTAGAGGCATTTCCGATTTAGAGCTATAGAGAAAAATAAATTAAACAATATTGATGTCTGACACATTTATGACGTTTTTAAAAACAAAAATTGCTTACCTACTAGATAGACAAAAAAAAACTATGATATTTTTTTTATTTTTTTTTTACATTTAATATCATGTGTGCAAAATATGAGTTGTTTTATTTAGGTATTACTTATTAGTTGTTACTAATTTGGGCGATGCTGTCCTCAGTTATTTAAAGCTTCAAAACAAGCACGCATTTCATTTATAGAACAAATGATATTGGGGTATAAATGTTGTACCTACCAAAAAAAAAAAAAAAAAAATCACTATACATGACATATTATCAAGGACGATACAAATTTGATGACCGATAAAATAGTTTTCCCGGGCCGAATTTTTATTCATAGTCCGACACCGCACGTTATTATTTATTATTAATTTCGCGACTCGCGACTACGGCGTCGATCGGATCCGCAATACGGCGGATGCGCGCGGCGTTATTTCGAGCTCGTTTCCATCGCGATGACGTCGAACGGTGACGTCTGTCGCGGCGCTGACGTCCGGAAAACCGAAATCGAATAACGGAGGTCGGTGCGTGGATTGTGGCGACAACAAACGACGCAGCACGGAGCCGTCGCGGTCCCACAGACACGCCGTACACGGCGCGCAGTACGGCCGCGGAGCGACGGGCCGTGCTTGGCGTGCTTCCATCTATTCATAAACCGCGCGGCGCTGGGTCGGCCACGGTTACCGACACGCCACACGCGCGCAGACGGTGTACGACCGCGTTTAGTCGACTTACACGCGCGGACCGAATGTCGTGAACGACGTGAACCGCCGTAAAACTAGCGATCGGTGCGTCTGAAAAACGGAACGGGAGGAGAGCAATGAGAAATTAAAATAAACCTGCACGTCTACAATAATATTTTACCTCACGGGAAACATCGATCGTCGATTGACATTGTCGGGGAGGGCCACTTTGGGAATTCGTGAAGTTTTTGGGGATCGTCAGAAAAAAAAAAAAAAAAAACAACAACCACCCGTTCGCGCTAATTTGAACAGATCGGACGACAATTGAAATGAAAATAATAATAATAATAACGAATGAAAACCTAAACGTTAAGATAAAAAAAAAAGGAAAAAAATTATGATCTAAAAATTCCTTGTCGTCGGAACCGGTGCGAAAACCTGCGCGAAACGGGACTACGGGATCGGGGTTGGACACGGTTGGAATTTCGGTGGCGATCGGGATTTTTTAACGCTTAGTCGTCCCGACGGTCCGACGGATCGGTCGGGATCGGATACGCGCCAAACGGCCGCAAATCGCCGTACATTCAGCAGTAGCTGATGAAAATAGTTTAACAATCAATAATTATAATTAAAATCGTGGATTCGCCAGCGGTCGGGCGGGATTCGCCCCACGAGGGGCCTTATCGTCGGCGGAGCGCCGTGCAGAAAGTGGACGTGTAGGAGGGAAAGGGAGGCGCCCTGCGTTGGCGGCACTGCGGCGGTTTCAGCTGACCCAGAATCGGATTGCGCGCGCCAGCCAGTACTGCGGGAAAAAATAAAATAAAAGAAAAAAATAGACAAAATACACAATATTATATGGAAGCGAAACTCTATTACTGTAGTGGGTAACTGACAATTGTGCCTACTCACTACTGCCCCCTTTTCTTTTTCTTTTTTTTTTTTTTATAATACTGTGTAAAATTAATACTTCACACCAAACTACCGTTAAATGCGATCGCCGTGTGCACGTCATTGCGCAGCGCTGTAGTGATTAGTGTGTATGAATCGCACGCTGACACGGTGATGTCAACGATTTTTGTCGTGGACGGGCGTTTATCTGTTGCAGATGGTGCTATGCCCGTCGTTGTGCAAGTAAGATTATATGATAATAAATGATTTACCATCGGGCCGCCTCCTGATGTTGTTTTGTTACAGGTTTACTGTTAAAAAGACATGAGTGTTGCAATGGAACAGAACGGCGGTGGGGCATTCGATCCTGGTAAGAACGGCAAAAAAATCTTACAATTAAACCTCTAAACAATGTCGATGTACTGACCCATGATTGTGCTAATTTCTTGTTTAGCTTTGGCTGGCCTATTGGAGTCGTTGGTAGGATCACGAGATGCCATATCTGCATCCAAAGAAGAACTGGACTTTTTGTCTAACTTATTGCAAAGTAAAGAATTGCACGCTCTGTTCAAAGTCTATAACACCATTGTTGACCGAGTTCGTGACGATCGAAGATGCTCTCCCGTATTGTCAAGTTCTATGCAAACTACATTGGACGTCATGGAAGTAATATTACCTAGGATTTCACTCAGCGATACATCCAGACAACTTTTTCAACTATTACAAAACCCTCATATACAAGTATGTGTAAAGAAATGACAGAATTGTATTTAACAATAATTTTATGATGAATACTTTAGGGACTTCTGTGTGCCCATGATGCAGTAGCTCAAAAAGATTACCTGCCCCGACTGCCAGACATTCCTCAGGAGATGGATGAGGACGAAGAGACAATCAAGATTGTACAATTGGTTAAAAGCACTGAACCATTGGTACTGATATGTAGTGAAATGTTCTAAGCATGATCATGTTTCCTATATGGCTGTATATAATATTGTTTTTTTTTTATCTATATTTAAATGCTTGTTTCTTCATTACCTGGTAGCATTTGCTATAATTGCAATTTGTTATCATCAATAAATTAAAGTATAAAAATTAGGAACTTGGCTCCTAAATTACATTTTCCACAAATTGCATTTATGACACTTGCTTGTAGCTTTTTATTTAAAAAATGGTATGATCATGATTTTATTCTAGTCCACTTTTTGTTTTGTTTTTTGTGTTTGTATTTTTTATATATATTTTTATGTACCTAATACATTTTTTTCTTTTTTTGCTGTTTGCATTTTATTTTTTAACAATTCACAACCATAACTTCTTAATGGTTAATCTGTTGTTTTTTGTATTAACTGTTTTGCATTTCACAAGGATGGGGAACCTGATTCAGCTGAACCAATTGTGGTAAGTAGGGCAATAGGTTTATCAGGTGTACATTTGCCTAAAATGTTATGAAACCATTATTAGTTTTTAAACTTGCTGCACAATTGTACAGACAATTCTATGGTTGAAATATGTGTCTTAATATTGCATTATATTATTTATAGACGTACTGCATTTAATTAATGCGTGTCATTAATTAAGTGAACAAGGTTTTACATTAGTGTTCTAATTTTTCACGGCCTAGTTTTTGTATTACTCAGTACTAATACTGATGTTTTAAAAACTATTGCCAATAAGCCAATATTAAATACTGAATATCTCTAAATGTCCTCCAATAACATTACAATCTAACATCGTTAAAAAGAGATGTTTCTTAAATGAAGTTATTAAAGTAATGTATATTAAAATTTAGAAATGACAGAAAAAAACATTAAGTAAGAAGTATGAGAGATATATATGGAGCACATATTAGTAAAGCTTGAAAATAAATCATAATTTACATATTTAATCATTGTATTATAAATTATAAAAGTAACTATTATTTTTAATCGATAAAAATAATAAAAAAAAAATCCCAGTGAATACTTGAAATTGTAAAGTGATTACAATAATTGGTGAAAATTGCAGGGTGCCACAATAAAAACTGATGAAGAAAATGGAAAAATCATTATAGCAAGGGTCATGCATGGTGGTGCTGCAGATAGATCTGGTTTAATTAATGTTGGTGATGAAGTTTGTGAAGTTAATGGAATAAATGTTGAAGGAAAGTCACCTGCAGATGTACTCCAAATACTAGTATATAAAAACTAATTATCTAAATTATTTAATAAATTAGATAAGTAAGAAATAATAGTTTTGATTTACTTATAGCAACATTCTGAAGGGACAATAACTTTCAAATTAATTCCGGCAGACCCAAAAAATGGAGCACGAGAAAGCAAAATGAAAGTCCGAGCCCATTTTGATTTTAATACTGATGTTGATCCTTACATTCCATGCAAAGAAGCTGGCCTAAGTTTTACTAAAGGAGAAATACTTCATATTGTTAGTCAGGATGATCCTTATTGGTAATTTTTATTAATTTTTTGTTAATAATTATAAATTTTTGATAAGTTTCTTAAATTTATAAACCTAGGTGGCAAGCCCGTAAAGAAGGAGATCGTAATATGAGAGCTGGACTTATACCAAGTAAAGCTCTTCAAGAACGTAAAATAATTCATGAAAGATTGTCTATGGCTGATCAAAAAAAGAAATGTAAGTTAAATGTGCATTTAATATTTTTAATTAAAACTAAACAATTATACTTAATATATTTTCATTAATATCTTTTTTTTTAAATTAAGTTTGTAATATTAATTACTGATCGATGAAAACAATTGAAGTTTAACTAAATAAATTAAAATGTTATTTTACAAGTACCTACAAATTAATATGTATATTCTTTAATGATCTTAAATTTATTTTTAACTTGATTATAAATTATAGGTTGTGATTGGGGTTAGTTTGAATATTTTACATTAATAACACTAAAAGCACAGGAGTATACTATTTAAATTTAAATAGTAGTTTATTTAGTTTAATTTTAATAATCACTAATAAATTTAATTCTGTAAAAAGGTACCCATTTACTGTTATTATTTTTTATTTTTATTTTAAAAAAAAACAAAATATTATTTAATATAGATTTTTTTTTTAATTTATTGTGTGCATTACTCTTTTATTTTTGTTTGTTTTATTAACATGTTTTTATTAAGTTGTGTATTGTGATTTAACACATAGCTATGTTTGCGGATTACAGGGGTCCTGGATACCATTAATGGGGGTTGTATTGGTGGGGGCGGTATGACATGTTTGCCAGACCGTTCATTAGCCAAGGACCCAATATGTGGGTCATTGGCGGCTCTGAACGATCTCGGTGAAGACATGGCGTCCGAATGTTCGGTACGTACACGTGTTAAAAAGGTTATCTATGACGCAGCTGAAAGTGATGACTATGACCGTGAAGACATTGCAACTTATGAAGAAGTGGTTAAGTTGTATCCAAGACCTGAACATCCTCGACCCATCGTTTTAATTGGACCACCTGGAGTTGGTAGAAATGAACTAAAGAGACGCATTATGGAATTAAATCCTGACAAATATCACACACCCGTACCACGTAAGTAGAAAATAAATGTATAAACAATTTTAAAGCAACTCTTTATAATTTAGATTCAGTACCTAAATTTATATTTTTATCAAATAAAAATTTCAAAATACATTTTAAATATTTATTTTAATACCTTGAATGCTACTTTATGAAGAAAAAAAACTGAACTGTGTTATCTATCATAAATCTTATTACAAAGATATTGATTAAATTTTAAGTAAAATAGTTATTTTAGTTAACCTATTATGTATTTATTGTGTTTATTGTATTTATAAGTATATATTTGATTTTAGTTTTTACAGAAATTATTAGTAATATAGAAATATATTATATAATCAAAAATTATAGATCAATGAAAAATAAGTAATAAATATCCTTATTTTTTTTAACTTTTTAGATACAACCAGATCTCCTCGGCCCGGAGAAGTAAATGGTAAAGAATACAATTTTGTTCAAAGAGAATTGATGGAAGAACAAATAGCTCGTGGTGAATTTTTAGAATTTGGTGAATACAAAGGCAATCTTTATGGTACATCTTTAGAAAGTGTTAAATCAATCATACGTTCCGGACTTACGTGTATTATAAATCCACATTATCAGGTAGAATTCAAAATTTGTACTTTTATTACAATAGTTATTTTCAGTGTCTAAAATAATTATCCTTTAAAGGCATTGAAAATGTTACGCAATCCTGATATAAAACCTTACATTGTATATATTAAGCCACCAATATTTGACATATTAAAATCAACTAGAAATGCAGCATTTGCAATGTCAACATTTGATGAAACAAATTCTAGAGGTTTTACAGTAAGTGTACATTAATAAAATAAAAAATTAACATACTATATGAAATCATATTTAGGATGATGAGTTCAATGAGATTTTACGGAGTTCCAAGCGAATAGAATTTCTGTATGATCACTGGTTTGATGAAGTAATAGTAAATGACGATTTCAAGTCAGCTCTGGAGCAATTATTAGAAGCAGATCATAAATTAAAAACTGAACCATTATGGGCACCTGCTGCTTGGTTACAGTAGTTTGTACAGTAAGCATATTTTTAGTTCTTTATTGTTATTACATGCTAATAAATTAATTTTTTCATTAGTTATGTGTGGAAACTAGTCAATCATTCTTAACTCGCCACCAAAACAGTATTTATAAATGTCCAATAGAACACATCAAACTTCGACCAAAGAAAACAAAAAACAAAACAATCAACCATTTTGTTCTAATTTTGAATGGATGTAGATGTATAATTTTAATAGATTTTAAAATAATATAAAAGTTAGAGAAGAGTACTGAAAATAAAATACAACTCTTTACACACAATAATTTATTTATGCTTTTAGAAAAAATGTTAAATAACTTAATAATACGCTATTTACGGTTGTGAAATTTATTTTAGATTATAACTAATATATTTTTACCCATTTCTAGTCAATAATTTTTAAAATCCCACATTTATTGAGATTTTATTAGTAAGTGTTAGGTCTATAAATTATGTTTTCTGAAACTTTATCAATACTAATTATTTTTAGTATAGGCGTTAAGCAAAATTTCGGGAAATGTATTTTGTTTTTAATAAAGTTATATTATTGTTAAATACTTAAATATAATCTATACCTAGTTTACATGATTCAAAATCATACACACAACACACCAGACATATACCAATACTGTGTAACTATTGAAATTTAATTTTGATACACATAGTATGGTAATATTATTTATAGATAACATTTTAATTATGCTGTTATTTTTGTTGTATTTCATTCATATTTCATTATATGCTAATGGAATAAATATTTGTATTTACTTTAAAATTTTATTGAATTAATTTTTAAATCTGTTCTACAGCCTAATGTGAAATTTAAAATATATGAATTATTTATTATCTTAATCTTATGATGAAATACATTAATATAATATTAGGGTACATTTGTTGAATAATTGTGTCATTGTAACTATTTTTTCTCTATTTAAAAAAAAAATAATATTTTAATAGTTTATACAGTGGTTTTTAGAATATTGACATGAATTTTATGTAAACTGAACATTTAATAAAATGTTAATTTAAATCTTAAATACTTAACACTATTTTAAACATTTTTTATTTATTTTAAAACAGCCATTTAGTTAGCATACAAATATAGTACATTCTTAATTTTTGCCATTAAATATTGAATGGTACTTAAAGTTATGTTCAAGTGAGTATACAATTTAATGTCACATTAATGAAACTAGGTACTATCGTCTATCACAAAATAGTGAATACATATATTTTAAATTTCAATAATTATTTTTTATATATATCATTCATTCATCAACAGATATTAACATTAAAAAACAAAATGATTATAACAACGCTATCTAGTTTTCAAGTAGTAATACCATTTGTAATTTTAATTGTGCAATATAAATAAAATTACAACGAAAAATGATGCTGTTGTTATCATTTGGTCTGTGGTTATGAAAATAATGTCAATATCCAATTTAACGGATTACCATAATTTAATAATTAAAACAAATTAAGATTTGCATAAACACGACCAAATTTCGAGTTACAATTAGTATTTTCGGTTTTTTTATTAAAAATGTTAAATAATTATAATCAAATTATTGTTAATTATTATTTTATATTTCAAAAGTTAAAATTAAGAGTTAAGAATTGTTTTCTTGATACTTCTGTTCCTTGTTCTGTTTTTTTTTAAATTAAAAGGTATAATATTATTATAAATATTGAGCATTTTAAATCCATTTCTGTCGGTTACAAGCTTTTTTGCATTCATTAAATAATCAATTGGGAAATTTTTTGTTAATTTTTTTTTCTTCAAACCTACAGTATATCATAACTAGAGTTAGGATGTCGATGACCAAAAAAATACTCAAAATATCCTAAAAACTTTAAAAATGATCTAAAACACTAATTAAGTAAGTAAATAAATTTATTTTTAAATAATAATTTTTATTAGAGATATAATAAAACATTCAAAGTCTCAATCAGCAAATCCAAATGCAAAGTTAAATTTTAAATAAATTAAATTTGTTTTCAAACTTGGATTTAACACTTGCTCTGATCTAAAATTTGAGGAAAAATGCCCCACATAGAATAAAAACTACAAAAAATTAAAAAATGACTAGAAAATGTTGACAAATGATGTTAGAAAAACAAAAAAATGCATTTATTGCTAAAAATGCAAAGTAAAATTAGAATATTGTGCATCAAAGGAGCATGAAACAAATTTTTAGCTAGGATAGCATTGTATAGAATCAAAAAAAAAAAAATGCAAAAGTCATCAATATCTTAACTCTAATCATTATTTGTAAATTATATTGTACTATATGCTACTATATCAGTATGGAAATATTGAAATGGAAGTAATAAATTAATATATTAAAAAATATTTATTAATAATAGTGACCAAAAACAATGCACATATACACAGTTAATTTTAAAAATAATTTACCTACCTTTCTAGTATTTTACTTAATGAACGACGCTCTCTGTTGTCCAAAATAAGCATATAAGATTGCAATTTAAAGTTACTTTCAAGCACATGATTATACGCCTACACTTACATATATCTTACATATAATATGTTCCTAATATCTTAAAAAACACAAAAAAATTAAATAAATAAATAAATACTATTAGTTAAAAATTGCAGTTTTTATAAAAATTATTTTTAATTAATATAGGTATAAAATTAATTGTCTTCTTTCTTTAATTTTAGTATGTGTTATGATTGTCTCGTTGCTCAAACCATAAGCCGCTATTGATGGATATATATTAGTTCTAAGAAACATTGTGTTTTAAGTTCAGTATACAATTCAACTTCAATGAGTTTTTAATAAAAAAATGATATAGATAGATATGTACATAATACATAACACACAGCCATGTAAGTAAGAATATTGTTATAATACTTGTATAATTAAAACAATATCAACATTTTATTTCTAGAATAAGCTTTCTATGATTATTTGTTATGAAAATAAACTAAATTCAAATTAAAACTTAGTTTAAGTATGGCACTTGGAAGGAAATTATTTAACCATCTCAAGTTTAAAAAATGTAAATTTATTTGTCATTTAAAAAAATTATTACTTATAGCTGAATCATAAAATGTGTTTTAATTTTATCATATACAATAAATATTTCATTTTTAAGACACAAAATTTATTAAAGATATTTAATTGAAATAATTAATTAGATATTATTATTGTTTATAGAATAGATTAATGATTTATGGATAAATCAGTTATCAAAATATATTTAATTTTTATAAATGAAATAATAATTAGCAATAATACTTGGACATGTTTGCTATTATATTCGTAAGAAATAAAATATTACATTTATTGTTTTATGTTAAAAAAACTTAAAGAATATAATAAGATAAAAAATACCTGATTACTATATTAACTTAATTCATTGTTATAAATAAATAATTTTATGTCATAAAATTACACTATTATTGCATTTAAAATTACACTATTATTGCATTTAAAATTATATACATATTTTCAATGATAATGTTTATGAAATATTAACTTTATATACAAACTTCAAAAAGTTTATCAATTTTTTACAATTCTTGATTTATCTGTCTTGTATCCCCTTTAGACGGTGCCTCATATAAGCATTTTTGATCAGAATCAATCAATGCACGATCTTTGCATAGATAATTTCTTAAACTTTCAACTTGATCATTAAAATACCATTGCTCTATATCTGATTCATAAGTTTCCAACAAATCTTCACACTTAAAAAACAATAAAATATGTTATACATTTATCATTTAACATTTAAAACAAAAATTTACCTGAGTTTTCATATTTGTAATTTCAACTGAAGGTTTGTCCCAAAGTTCATATGGTATTCCAAGCTCAACTTTAACACCTTTATTTCTATCAGAAAAAATATATTTATACTTTATGACTTAATAGGGTGCATAAAATTCACAATAATAATGGTTAACTTACACAAGGCCATGTAATGTTTGAAAAGTTTGACTCATTCCTTTAGCAAATCGTGTACTATCAGTTCTTTCTTTGTGAATATTATATTTAAGTATTCTTTCACAAAGACCATCTAATGATTCGACTAAACGCAGTTCTCTTAATAACAGAATATAAATATATTTAATAAAAACCAATTATATATGAATAAAATTTTGAAACTCACGATTTTTTGTACTCTTTTTTCTTTTTTGGCTGATCTATCGAGTAACCAAGCTCTAAATATTCACTAGTCATACCAGTCTCTTGTAAACGACCCTCTAATTCTTCTGCTAATATTTTACAAACTAAAACATAACATAAAATTTATAATTTTTATAACTAAAACTAATTTTAAAATATCAAAATACCCATAATACGTATTACGTAATATTATATTCCACAAACCTTCACATTTATTAGCATATTTAACACCATCCTCTGATGTAGTACTTAATGATTTAGCTATAAGCAGTATGAAAACAAATGACTTTATTAACAAAATCATTTTGTTGATTTAACTTAACAATACATAATTACGCAATACTAAACATTTTTATTTAATTTACTAATAAGTTAAACTGAATACTTAAGATGTTATTATTTTAAAATCTATTGTATGATTATCAATACCCGGCGATTCTATTACCGCAAGATATCCTGAATGACCTGAACTGAGTGTTCAATAGCGAGTGAGTACATTACTACATAATATTATAATCTATCCAAATTTTGATAAATGGGATTTATTTTCTTATCAGTACTGTATTTATTATTATCACAGAGTATAAAAGTTAATACAATATTTTTCTATAATAATATGAATATTTTAATTCATTTTTTGAGTTGGAGTCGGTTCCAAATATTATTTAAACGGCTACTCAAAGTTACCTTTAATGGAAAAATCTTAAACTATACATTGATTTTTCATCAAAAATCCATTTAATCTATGCATAAACACAATATACATATATACTCACCGCCGGATTTGTAGTTGTAGGGGTTCCATAGCCCTTATCAAATAGAAGCCCTCGTAAACAAAAATAGGGTTTAAGGTGAATTTTATTTAAAGTTGTAAAACTATGTCGAGATGACCCTTCATGAACTGAATTTTGTGAGGCATCTAGGCCTACCCCTTTCCTAAATTTAGTCTTATATATGTTTAACTTTTAGCAAGGTATATGATAAAAAATTTTCTCATGTTAATTTTTCATATCATAGTTTTTCCTAAACTAGGACTAAAACTTACTGACTTTCTGAAAGAGACATATTTTTTTTTTTTTTGCAAATGAAGGGGGGAGAAGGGTAGCCAGTTCATTCGATTATACACTTTATTTAATAGCCCCCTCCATTAGCCTGCTGAAAAAATATACCATTATTCACATTTAAAACTGAATTGTATTTTTAATTTCTATATTAACATTTATCACAGAAAATATGCTGTTGATTTGGATACTATAGATTTACTCCTGAAATATTTTCATACCTATCATTTATACTAAAAAATTAAAAATTATTTCATAAGTGAAAACTTTATTGATTATAACAGCATCAAATGGAGATTTTTTCATTGTTCAAAAGATAAGTTATATTTATGCACTTCAATGGGCAATGAAAGTCCAAATAATCTCATAATACTTAATGTTGAAATATAAGTTAAGAATATCGATCTAGAACAATCAGAATCTAGCAGCTGTAGATTTATTTGCTAAATTTAATCACACCAATACACATAAATTACTGAAAGTAATCATAGACTTACTATAAAACTCCAATAACATAAAAAATGTTTAAAGGAAAACTATATTGGTTGTAATCAACAGTAGGTACTCGATTATAAAATAAAATATAGTACAGACATTTTTTAGTAAACAATGTTAAACCATAACTATCTGCAAATTGGTATGTTATTTATTTTAACTACTACCAATATTATTATTACCTATATATATTTTAAAAAGTTCAATAAAATTTTTTTAATAATTAACATTTAAAAACAATCTTTAATTACTTTTTTTCGACAAGTACAAAAATATAAACTATGTAATACAAAGTTGAACCCAAAAACATTGATCTCTAGTCTTAATTTAACACCCACCAATTTGAGCATTTCCCAAGTTTAAATTTAGTATAACTATAAATATATAATATAAAACAACATGATAAATTAATTTATAGTAAAAAAATATAAGCATATTATTAATTTTATAATTTTCAAACTTAATTATTTAACAGTATTTGCACGTCTAAAATCATCTGTGCGTTTTTTATATGTTAAAAACATAGTCCAAAAGAAACCAACCATGTTATGGAACAACACTCGTAACTAAAATAAAAAACAGAATTAATTAAAATCAATAAATAAAATATGAAATAACTATTTACCATTGGAGGTACAAATTTTAGATTAAAGAACTGTATTAATGAAACAATCTGCCAATTTGCTTTTAATATAGGCCAGTAAATCGCATATATTTGCTTCATTGTATCTTCATGTGATTTTCCCTATGATAATTAATTATTATTATTTTTTTGTATTTAGTAGTTGTTATATAAAATATTAATTTCGTACCTCAAATCTTGACAACACATATAAAGAAAGAAACTGATAAAATGGTGTAAATAATAAACGTTCGATACCAAACTTTAAAAAAACCATTTTTGATGAATTTTCAGGAAATGTGCTTTCTAAAGACTCATAGAAAAAATGTGGTACTGGTCCACCAAATAAGAGACTGCAAAAAATAAAAAATATATTACCTTTACTGTAATATTCTAGTTATTCAGTTAAAAATAACATACTAATTTTAATAATAAATAATAAGAGTAAAAATGTACATAATAATCTGATTTTTTAAATAGTAATTACCCAAATAATCCAAAAGCCACAACACTATCCTGGTCAATCATCTTAGCTCCAGCAATGTTCTGTAAAGTAACATTTCCAAGTGATGCAATAATACAACTAAAAAAATTTAAAAAAAACATTTAAAAAAAAAATATTGTATTTTTCTAATAAAAAATAATACCTGGTAATTGACTTTGTTTGAATAGGTCTTGAATTCAAGCGTTCCAAATAGGTCATTACTAAACTTTGTAAAAATTCGGCTGGTTTTGAAAGGGCCATTTTGAAAAATATACCAATTACTCTTATAATATAATCTATAAAAATACACAAATTTGTTAAAAATGTGGTTGTTTTTATTCGAATTAGTTACATTTAAATAAGTATAGTTGGTTATTTATAAAATGTTTGTAAAAAGTTCTTATGCTTTTTTCAAGTACCTAATACTCTACACAATAACATACACGAAATATATAATAACAATAAAAAAATAATAATAATAACAACAACGATGTGTAATAGAATACCTTACTTGATAGATGCCAAATTCTACAAGTGAGTGTGAAATCTTTAGTGTTCAAACATTTTTACTTTCGAACGTGTCATCCGGCATGTCCTATCAAAATATCACCTATCGTTTATCTACCTCATAATTTCTGGGTCATGTAATCATTGTTGTTTACGAATATTTGCTGAATGCTAGATTGTGCGGCGTGTATCATTCTTTAAAATACCTACAACTGGTCCTACTGATACCAAGTAGTAATTCCCCACCAACAAGCACTGCTTGACTGCTTGTAAATTTGTATTCAATCGTACAAGACGTGTTACATGACGAAAGTGTCAAAGAATCATAGTATCATATTATTTATTACGATGATTATATTATTAATTCTATAATTTTATAGAATTAACTTTAGACGGTATTATGCTCGAAATGAACAATACGTTATTAACATCTAAGTAATACGTAGATCAGTAAGTTGTAACTCTGGTCTCTGGCCCTCGTCAATCAGCTAACTATAATAGCCTATGGGCTATTAAGTATAAAAAATGTACTAATACAATATTAAAAAAATAAAATAAAATAATATAGTGTATTAGTGTACATAGATTTTCATTATCACGGCTAAAAGTATTTATTTATATTATTTAGTATTATTTTATATTTTATAATATATTTTTTAAATCAACTGTATATTGTATATAATTTGTCCCTACCGATGGATATTAAATTAGTAGAGAATAGCTCTCCGCGCATATTTCAAATGATTACTTAGGATATGGCCGATATGGGTTCGCATAACTTGGTATGCGATCAAAGATCTTCCATCAAACACCAATGAAAAAGCCAGGGTTTTGCATGAGACGAAATCAGGATCATCTACAGGTCCATTGATAAAATCCTAACACTCAAAGAACAATGTGGAGAGAGCTAAGTAAGTGGTCAATAGATGAGAGATTTTGCAGCAGAGTGGTATAAATTCCGTACGGTTTGTGAAGAGGACTCTCCAGAACGTACACTGCAGGTAAAACCTAGAACCACGGGCTCAGGCCATCATGTAAAAAAGAAGCATGGGAGTTTAAACTTTAAAGTGGCGAAAAATAGTCAGTTCGAGAATTTAAGCCTTTTATGGACGTCCATTGGGTAAGTGGGTCTAGAATCTACGCTTATGCACTACCTATTAGCATCGCTAACGTAAATAGTCATAGTTCTTTGTAGATGTCATAATTGCATAATTTGCACAGAGGCGTCCTTACAAAAACGTTTCGTTCCCGTTTAATGATTTAATAAGATAGGTATGTAACTTGAAATTTAAATTTATCAATAAGAACTTTAATTTTTATAATTTATTAATCGTAATAACTGTAATTTGCAAAAAATTGGCAAGAATTGCTGTGGTTAGTTGGTATTTAATATTTATGGCCTTTACGGGTTATAAATTATAATAAACAGCTATTTTTATTTATGTAATATCCACTAGATATAGGTTTAATAAAATATATAATATGTTGTTATATTAACTACTAAGTAATATCAAATCTTGAAAAATATTTCTACTTCAGATAAATACTTATAAGTACTTATAAATTATATATAATATAGCAAATAAAAGTATATAAAAATTTAAGTATAGATGACGAATAATGACAAATTTGTTATTACTTAATAATATTGTATTAGAAATAGATGTACTTTTTTTTTTCTTAAATATAGACGTACTATCCGACTTCACTTGGGTTAAATTGTATCTATCTGTCGTTTTTCATTTTGCTATTTTCTGTAACCAATGGCAATCATAATATTATACATAAACAAAAAATATTCAATTTTCGTGAGTCGAAACATAAGTCACGCTTGAGTAAACATTAGTAGGTTGAATTTCAAGATGAAAAATAGTATAAATCCATCCAGGAGCTTAATGAATGCGAATTTGATGCTAATAATTACTCAATAACTATATAATTGCAAAATGTTTATCAGTTTTTTGTTTTTGATTTAATATGCTTAATAAATGGAAATTAAAATATTATACAAATAATTAATAAAATGTTGAATCGTAATTATGTATTTATGTTTATCTAAACTATATTTATGTAATACAAAACTTAATAATGCCACAAAAATTAAAAAATGTATTCCTTCGAATTTAAAGAAATTAGTAATTAATTAATATGTATTACCTGCCCAACTATAATTTAATTGTGCAGTGTGCTTGATTTTGTAGAAATTATGTTAAAAATATTTTGTAAAAAAATAAGAAAGAAGATAAGTAGGTACTTCAAACATCTTTTACTTTCTTAAATACGTAACACTGTTAGGTATTACATAACTACAAAATCTTATAAAAATATAATTATATATATTATATAAGTGTTATCTATTAATATATATTTATATGCATTATACGTACTTACTGGCTAACTCCACACTTTTAGATTCAGAGCGTTTTGAACGAAGCGATGAATGTGTTGATTTTACGATGATACGATGATTTGTGTATTTTGGGTGTACGTGTGCCCAAAAATATAAAATATTTTATTTAAGATTTAAACTTTGAATGTGGTTTTATACAGTAATTTGGAACTAGTTTGTATTTTAGAAATCTAAAATTGAAAATTTATTTTTTAAATTAATTGGGAATAACTGGAATTTTTTTTATCATTTTTCAAAAACGAATAATCATAGATATTTGAAATTTTTACCAAACATTTAAATTTAACAAATCCGTTACAGTGACCCACTCGGTATTAATGTACAACAGAGTGGTACAAACTTGCTCACCTTTTTTATATTCATATACCTATATTATGCATATAATTTATTTATTTTTAATTTTATTTAATTAAGGCATTCCTAGCTAGAATAGCTATCTAAGCCTACTGATAGTATATACAATTTAAATTCTTATAATTTACATAGATTTTAAAGTTTTTTCAAATGTCCTTTTAATAGTGAATCATTTTTCGACATTTGCATTTTGTATATTGTGTATACAACTCTAATATTAATTATGTACTAATGTATTAAAGTACCCTATTTTCCACCTTTGTATATTGTTTTTCCAATAAGGTTATATTATTAATTTAAAAATATTAATTTTTTTTTTTAGTATTAATAACTAACACAAATAACCTATATGTTTTAATTTTATAATAAAAAACATATAATTATACATGTTTAGTGATCAGTGTTTATTACTTTAACTAATTACTTAGTGTTATGCGTAATTAGTTATATGTCCAAATTTTAAGATGCAATAAATCTGTCACTAATACATAATATATCTACCTTTTATATTTTGTAAGTATCTACTGTAAATCACAATATATGCAAAGATTACTAATAATTAATAAATCATTTTTAATACTACGAATTTAATAATTATTATGTGCAAAAATTTGATTAATTATTTCAAATAATTTAAAAGATTTTCATATGATTTGGGTTGGCAATATTGCCATTTTGATTTAATATTATATTATGACCTCCAGAATAATAAATAATCAGAAAACTTTGAAATATGGAAAACTTTTAGCAATAAAGGGTACGTAAAATTGGTTAAACAAATTACAAGGTTAGTAGTTACATTACAAACCTCAAAGGTTATTATATAATTATAAACATGATAATACCTACTATTTATATAAAAGAAGTAGTAAATAAAATACAAGATATTAATATAAAAATCAACTTTAAATTCATTTTTTTTTTTTTTATTATTATTATTTATTTAATTTTAAATTGTTTGTATACATTAAAGAAGTAAGTATACACAGTTATACTAACAGTATAGTTAATATTTCATGGTAAAATTAATTTTATTTTTATTTTTGATGATTTTATTAAATGCATTTTTAATTATGATTTATATTCTATTTATGATAGTAATTAATAATAATGCACCAACTGTACTTATTGTACTTACCTCTATAATATGATTAAAAGCTTTTATTTTTATATTTTCGTTATTACTCGTTTATTAAATTATTATAGGTACTGTAAAAGATAGACATGTCTATTATTTATATAATATTTTAATCACAGACTAAATGGCAAATGCAGTTACTATGCTTATAGGTATTATTATATTAATATTACATATTAGTTATTACCTATACATATATTAATGGTATCTGTATGGTAATTTATAATTCTCTTTGATGAATTAACAAATATAATCTAAAAAAATTGAACAATACCTTAAATAAGGTAAAATATTGATGTTTTAATAAGATTTCAACTTAATATAATTTAAATAATTTTAAAATATAAATACTTAATATTAATATTATTCATATTGTTATTTATTGTTTTAGTATTATTTGCAAATTGCACTGTGTATCTATTCAAAAATTATTAATTGGATAATTTGCATAAAAAAACTGAATTTTAACAAAATAAACAAATTGTATGAATAAAAACTTAAATCCTGTTTAAAAATTTATTAAATATTCTTTTATTTTATTTAAATCAACAAGAAAAAAACAGGGAAGTCAGTTCGACATTGAGTTAATTAGATCTAGTGTTTCTTGTTATTGAATAACAATTAATGTTATTATAATAAATTTTTATAAGTGTTTAATGTACAAATTTTTATGACCTGTAAAATAACTTATTTAAATAACTCTTCAAATGATTGTTGATATTTTGATGTAATTTATAATTAAAAACAAATAGCTTTAATAGCTGTAGGTACTTGAAATTTTCTCCAAATGTTTATATGACTATTTCCTATACATGGATAATATTTTCAAAATATTTTGAATTTTTGAGTTACTTATAGACATTTTTAATTACATTTTTTTTTTCAGATATTGACAAAATTGTTTAGAAAATGTATTATAAAGTCTCACACATGTGGCTTTTATAACTAAATAAAAATATTTAAAATACATAACACAATTAATTTTTATAAGAATTCGAAGTTAAAATTTAACAAATTTTTCAAAATCATGATAATTTTGTTATAATTCAAAACCATTTGCGGGGACTTAATAATATTTTTACGTAGATAAGTAATAAAGTTTACTATTTTCAATGAAATTTCCAATTATTTGTATTCATTTTAAAGTATTGCCTTTTTATTCCATAAACCACACTATAAAGTATAAACACAGTTTTACAATAAAATGGTTTTGGCACAAAATTTAGTAACAATAATATAATATATAAATAATATTTATAAATACCTATATTGTAAGTTTAATTTTTAATTGCATATACTTAAATTATGATTGATATGAGATTTTTCTCTTTTACATGAGTATAACTTAATACATTTTTCTGCTAAAGTGTTGACGTGTACTCCAGACTCCTTATAATGCACATATCTACCGATAATAGTGATAGTATACCTATTTAGTGCATAATGTTTTTAATGTTTTTATTATGTACAACAGTTTTCAATAGGTACATAATTCAACTTAATCGATTAAATCCGAAATATTTAAGTATATTTTCATAGGTAATAGCATTAATAACTCGATTTAGGTTAACGTGTTAAAACTATTGTCATAATCTACATAATCAATCGAGTTTAGTATTTCATCGGGCTTGCAATATTATGTTACGTTATGAGTTGAGGTTTGTCGTGTGTGTGTGTGTGTGTGTGTGTGTGTGTGTGTGTAATGTACAGCGTAATAGTAATGTGCGTTATGAAAACAATGGCACAAATATGTATAAAACGTAATGGTTTTATCACATTAAGCAATGTATTGATACTAATGATACACATATTATACGTATAGGTATATCAAGGTAGGGAGCGAAATGTTTAACAGGGTCTTGCTTTGTCTCACCTGCTATAGTATAGCGTTATATAATTTAACAGGGGAAACCGTTGGACCGCAGAGCCGATCATGTACATTATAGTTGCATGGTACGACCCCTAAAAACTTTAACCCCGCGCTCGCTATTCCTCGTCATCGCCACCACTTACTCCGCCAAAACCTCTCCCGCACCCCGTTAACCACCGTGCGCCGACAGACCGCCCAGATGTGACGTCACTGCAGTCGGCGAGGGTGTCGCGCGACAGGGCGACGCGGCGTGGCGCCATGCGATCGACCGGCCGGCCGGAACGACGCGGACCCTCACCCCTGTATATTACAGACATGGTGGCGAACCGGAGAACCTTCGCGTCTCGACCCTGCCACCGCGTTCTCTCCGAATATTATTATCACGGTCAACTATGCGACAGTCGGCGTTCCACGTTGAACGCATGTACGCGCGTGTACGATACGGAGAGTGCATCGCGGTGCAATTTTAATCGTTTTAGTGCCCAAGTCTCTCGGCGACACCGTTTTATGGCATCTGACCAGCAGCACCTAATAATAAAAATTATAATAACAACTTGATGGTATCGACCGAGACGACGAACGCAGAGCAGTGCACGCTTCAGACCGTAGCGCGTATAATAACAACTGCAGTACGGAAACGTTTACATTTTACCTACCGATTACCGACACGGCTGTGTAATGCTGCGTACAGTGCCTGTTCCGACTTGCAGTAGTGGTGGCGATGGTGACGGGTGGCGGTGCAGGTGGTAGTGACAATAGTGGTGGAAAGGTGAGAATGAGAAACCAGATACCGAGAAGATCTTTTGTATTGGGAGGTACCTGTTTCGAATTCTAAAAGGACGACGTCACGATACACACCGGAGAGGATAGTCCATTGGCGGGGAGGTGTTGTATTCCTGCGGTGTACGTGTTACCTGTAATACAGATACAGTGACCGTGCTGAGCGAAGATTAGTCATCAAGGTCTTTGTGCGCGCGGGTTGGCTACGCGCGTCGGCAATACCGGTTCTTGCTCTCCCGTGGTGGCCCAGTGTGTTTGTGTGCGTTCGTCTAAACATTATTTTATATTACGTGTACGTGTTCACGTATTACTATAATAAAATCATTGGTGTATACACAAGTAGAAATTCGCGTACACTTGCTACTGAGATTGAAGAAGAAGGTGCGCGCACATACATTTATGCACCGTCCATCAGTTGTAGTATAGTTCTTAGTCGCGTACAGCCGACTCCCGCGTGTTCTCACCCAGAATATCATCGCCATCCCGTTTTCTGAGTAATATATATGTTTAACTCCGCGAGTGTTTCGTTTTTAGTGCGCTCGTCGAGAAGTATTTTAGCATAGTGTAATATAAATTACAATATATACATATATGGCAGTGCGGGTGTCAGCGATGGATACTGTACGGGCCGGAAGTGCCCCGAATTTAACCGCTTACATTGAAATGGACCGATTAAACGGGATATCAAAATCTGAAAAACTCACTCAAAGGTATGTTTTCACTTTCATATAGATACTTTATATACTTAGATTATGTTATACAATTGTTATTCTGTTAGTGCGAGTTTATGCCCTATGCTTAAGAGTTAAGACTATGTATGGTTATTGGTTACATTATTTTAATAATGAAGGATTTGACTATAAGCATTAAGCGTGCGCCCGCGAATAGTATTTCAAATCACAAACATTCATGGGCGCCCATTAGGGGGGGGGCAAGACAGGGCACTTGCCCCCCTGGAAAAAATATTACCACAATATTACCTTATTACCGAGCAAATTATTTGTTGAAATCACTTTTAAGATATGAAATAAATATAAAAATTTACTCATTGTTATCGTATATTAACATCATAGATAGGTCGTATTCTGTAGTCTGTATAACCTATACGTAAAATAATTTATCGCAGATAATTTGTGGTAAATCTATAAAGATCACAATATAGGTACTACAAATATTTTAACCTAACGCAAACAAGGATACTTTCATTCAGGATGTCATTAATATGTTTGGAATAAAACGAAGAAATTTACAGTTCTTATTTACTGATACCGAATAATATACTTAATTATATTATTTAATTTCTATTTTCTTATATACTTATTAAAATTATTATTTATTTATTTATTTATTTATTCGTATGGTAATTATTATATTAATACACTATATACAAATAAAAATACACATGCATGTATAGTGTATACATTTATATGTGAAAAATAACATTAAATCTTTATTATCTTACATTAGAAAATTTTTTTATTTTGACCCCCCCCCTAAAATATTCCCTATGGGCGCCCATGCAAACATATATTATTCTGCAGAAGTATAAAAGTATTATTATACAATTAATTTGTTAAAAAATGTGTGCCAATTTTTTTAAGTATATAACGTTACATTTTAAATTGTATTTACATAAAAGTAGTTATAACCTTATAAGTTAGGATATATAAATATGCGGTTGTTTTATTCAACTATAAAAGCTAATTAAGTCCTTGTAGGTATGTTTTTAGTTAATATATGGTATTATAGCTGAATACATAATTTAAACGTCGCTTATAAGAATGGATTTCAGAAATAACAATATAATAATATATAAATGTATAAACACTATAAATTGTAGATAAAATGTAGATAGATTTGTTAATTTATGTGATGTCAATAAATAATATGTAAAATAAAAATTTTAATTCTTATACATAAATCTACTTATTAGATTTTTTTTAAATTCTATAATTTAAAATTAGTATGTAATAATAAATTGTTCTATAAACCGCGTGTGCGCGTTACATGCAGTGTCGTATAGACGGTGAAAAGGGAGGGTGATAACTTCTACTTAACTTTCCTTTTTTTTTTCTTTTATTATTTTTATTTGTATTTTAAGCACTATGCGAATATTGATGAATGTATTAGTTTCGTAATACTGTATTTTCTGCTTATTATTATTTTTAGTAAGAGTGCTTTAAACGTTTCAAGTACCCCTATGATTCTATGCTATATCAAGTGGAAATGTCCCAGAGGAGAGGGTTAGGTGTTCATCCTTTTGGATTTATCAATGAATACTATAAAATGTGTGTTTCGATGCTATGTAAAACTCATCGTACCTTTTTGTATGCTACAGTAATTATACTAATATAAGATGTGATAAAGGAGCATAAGCCATAGCCCATAGTGGTTATAATATTTCTCATAATTTACTCGTACATTATATTTGTTTGAAATACCCATTTGATGCCACTTAATATACCTATCTAAATTTACAAAAACCACGAAATATTTGTTTATAACAAAGTCGATTATGTTATAAATCAAATAATAATTAAATTTATTTAGGTTTTAAATATTATCCGATTATTTATTGAAGTATTTTATGATCATGGAAAACTTTTGATCTTCACCTAACTTTATAGATTTTAAACTGAGCGATGTATTAATTTTACTATAATTTGTTTGTATAAACACGATAAACAGTTGAAAAAATTGCATCAATTTTTAATTTTGAGATTGATTTTTGGTACCAAATTAGATTTTAGTTTAACCTTTAGAGAGGGAAATATTCATAATACTTTTCAAAATAACAGAAAAAAAATAAGTTAAAAAGAGAAATTTTTTTATACAAAAATAGTAATCAACTAAATCGTTTTGTGTTTTTATTATACTTTAAAAACAAATAGCTGTATAAGTATTTGTAATTTTCAGCAAATGTTTATTGTTTATACTATCATTTTATACATGATGAAATATTATAGGTTTTTTGAGGCATTTATAGTCATTTAAAATTTTAAACTTTTTTTAGTTTTTTTTTTTTTATATATATATATATAAATGTAGTTAAAAAATATATAGATGGTTATAAATGCTTGAAAATTTAATATGAGGTTCTTAATAATTCATTAATTTACTAATTACAAAGTATCGATAATTTATCATCACAATATTTTTTTCACAAGCGTTGAAAATTAGAATTTCGACAAAATTCGTTAAAATCTCAAAAAATTATAAATCGTTTAGCAATCGAAAATTTATAAAATGTGCAATTTTCAGGGTGGTTAAGGTTTGAAAATTGAATACAATATTCTTCATAAGTAGTTCACTCTGGAACTAAAAAATCTAAAAAAATATATAAACATAATTACTTATTTTTATAGACATTTTAAATACAAATTTAGATGAAGTTACTATTGCTACATTTTTTAAATATGAAAAACGATATTCATTATTTTGTTATAATTTAAAAACATTATTCGCTGAGACTTAATTTTTATGTTTATTATTAGTTTTACTTTATGCAATGATATTTTCAAAATATACAGATAAATTAACTAAACTATATACACTATACTGCAGTAAAACCACTAAAACCTAACCTGTACGGAATTGCACATGACCGATAAAATTTTCCGTTTTAAGAAGGTTTCCATGTAACTGAATAAAAAGGAAAATTCCGTACTATAGAGTTACAATATACTGCATGATTAAGATTTAAGGTTATAACATTTTCCGGCCAATAATAAAAATTAAAATGTTGAAAATTAGTAAATATCATAGGCTATAATAAATTTTAATTTTTAGTAAATAATTACTTAATATGTATTATTAATTATATATCATTAGATATTTCAAAATAATGATAAATTTCAATTCCAAAATTTTAAGAACATAATACTTAGTAGGTATTAATCAAATAATAATATAATAAAATAAAGTAAGCAGATTAAAATATAATTAAAAATTCCAAAATTTGTGTAAAGTTTTGTCCAGTTTTTTCTTTAACAATTAACAACTTTCTTCTATAACTTTCAGTTTTTCATTTAAACTTAAACAAATCTTAGAAGACATTGTGACAATAATGAGCACTGGTGATATAGATTCAAGATAAAATATCTATCGGCACGTATTAATATTGCTGACCTTAATAATTGTTTAATAACAAAATAAATGTGGGTATCAAAAATATTTTTGTTCATTTTATATGTTTTTCAGTTTGTTAAAGATATATATGATTTACAGGACCAAAAAAAGTTTTTCGTTTTATGTTTGACAGATTTCGTTTTATCAAGGATTTAATCATATGTGTTAAATTATAGAAATCTTCCGGGATCACAATAAATTTTCGCACAGAACAGGATTCCTTCTTAACAAGGGTCCGTAAAAGACAGGTTTTACGCTATACTCACTAATAATATGGTATTGATACAAATGGCTTAAATAAATATATATATATTATATACATTTGAATATTGTAAGAATATAATAACTAGAATCTTTTTAACGAAGATAAAATCATCTAGGTACTGTATTATTAATACTAAAAGTAAAATAAATGACTGATTAGCCATATCATGAAATATTATTAGTTATGTATGGACAAGCACGCCGTCTTCGTTCAGAGTAGTTTTTTGTATACAATGATAAATCAATATCATTGAATTCAAGATTAACTCACCCATTACGGTGACCCACTCGACGCCTAATGTACAGCAGAACTGTGCTAATTTGCTTACTTTTTTAAACTTAATATTTTAATGCAATATTGTAGTTTATATCTGATATAATTTCAATAATTTAAAGACGGATTAATAAAATGTCTCAATAATAATAATAACAATAATAATAATAATAACATTAAAATTAAAAACAGTTGTTATTGAATAAGAATATCAAATCTATGTTCATCTTTTACATATAACCATGTAGTATAGTCACTTATATTTTTCTACGTTTTCTATCAGGTTTTACGAATTTTTAATCTAAATGAAATGATATAAGCACCTATCTAAATAACAAATCTAATATCCATTTATCAGTTATAATTGAGGGTTACCATTTGATTGATCAAATTTTAAAACTTAAACTAAAGATAAATTGTATATTATAATTTATAATTGTATAATATGTGCATAGTATTTATTAATTTGTAACTTTGAACTTTAATTAATTATTATTTTTATGATAAACAATAACTTTTTATTACATAACAAAATATGATATTATAATCTGTGTTATAAGTCTGAGTTTTATTGATTTAATCATATCGCTTATGTTGCAGATATAAAGAACGCAATAGATTTATTTATCATTTAATTGCATAGAAATATAATGTATAAATATAATTAAATAATAATAATAAATGTATTATAATACTATGCATTTTTAATATAATATAAAAATAATTACAATCGTGGATATACTAACTATCAGTGACGTAGTTCTCCCCGAAATTTCAGAAAAATTAAAAAAATATTTTAGTATTCTATGAACGTTTTATATAATACATATAACTATGTGTCCATGTATATAAATTTAAAATTATAATTTGTACAAAGGTTGCTGCAAACTACAAACTAAATAGACTTTTTTTGCAGTTTAACACTTTAACCAAGGCCCTAGATATTTTGTTTGTACCTTCCCTTAATTTTGGCCCTCATATTGGTTATATGATTTGCAAAACTTCGCGCCTTGGGATTTATTGAGCGACACTCAATTAACTTTAATTCGCCCGATTGCCTATTGAATTTCTACAATGCCTTAGTTCATTTGGTTCTTTAATTTGGATCCGTTGTCTGGTTACCACATACTATGGTTGATGTTGCCAGATTGATTGTGTGTAAAACTGCTTTATGAATTTCGCTGGTTTTTGCTTCAATATCCTTCACTCATAACATGATAACAGACCAATTAGTCAAGCTTTACAACTGAATTTCCTTTCAGCTAGGTGCGATAAGTTTGATATAAATTTCATTTGAGGTCTGATAGAAGGTTGAGTCGGTACCCCGAGGTTTTTTAAATTACTTGATACGTATATTCTTATATTTTGTTATAATTTATAACTTCTCCAGGAATGTTCAATCATAATACACTAAAATGCAAACTTACCTTAATATCATTGGTACGAAGGTGCACGTCATTTATTTTTCTCATCCCCACAACGATTTACATCATGTTTATTTTTATTATCATTAAAGTTAATTAAGTTTATACTTAAATTAAATAACTGTTACTTTTATAATGGTATATATATATATATATATATTATGCCATATTATGAAAAAAGATAGATAGGTTTTAATTTTATAAAAATAAAAAAATGAAATTTCTAAAATGTTTAATGCCCACGATATCAGTATACCTGTAAATGTATAACAGATCCTGGTTAAATCTTCCCCCATATGACAAAATAGTAGCTCCTCCTAGCAAAATTTTGGTTACGCTATTATTAGCTATTACTAAAATACGTTTGGTTATTTAAAAATATTTTTATTTTTATTAATTGTCTTATACTCATATTTTATATTATAACTTAATGTTTTAAAAATAATTTGATAAAGTATGAAAAAATTCTTTATTTCTAAATCAATTTTATTGGTTAGAAACTTGAATGATAATTAAATAAAACTAATATTTTAAAGAAAGAATAATAATTATTATATTATTTTATTTTTTGTTATAATTTTATGATTTAAAAAAAATATAAATTTTAAAAAGTTTGGATGATTTTAATAAGTATTACATGTGATACTTATAATTTCCTATTTTATGTACCATATAGGTACAACATTTCACATTTTTTATACACTGATCAACATTATTGTATAAAATGATTAAATCTTTACTATTTTAGCAATAATATATACTATATAGGTAATTTAATACATTTTCTATAAACAATTTCCCATTGTTATTCATTCGTTGAGTAGTTGAATAAACTAATTAATTGCCAATAACAATCGTATATTATAACTTATAATGTATAATTATTTCTTTGAAAGTATAAATACCAACAATTTTTAATTGCTTTTATATGCCTATTTAATATTTTTAAATTTAGAGTACTACAGTCATATTTATAATATCAATTGATGGTTATTTATTTGTAATAAGTAATCACTATATTATTTTAATTTATAAGAAATGTGTGTTATAGTGTATACTGTATTATAGTACCAATATACGTTTAGAATTTACAGATATCTATACCCACGCAAATATTTTTTTTTTATTATGTATACCTAATTAGTATAATTATTTTCAAGTATTTGAACTATACATATATATTTAAACACTTTTGCAATAATAATGAATACTTTTATCGATGGTGTATAGAATAATGATTTAAAAAATACATTTTTGTACCTCATCCAATAATAATATTTGTTTAATCGCCACGTGTCACAGCTATGTGTGTATAATAATAATATTAATATATGTACAATATAGGTATATAGTTGTTTAGTAGTAGTAGTCTTTGTTTTTATTCTACACCGCGAGTAAAACCAGTAAAAGTTATTACACATGGTACTCTTGTAATATAGAAGTGGGAAAACTGGGTAGGTCAAGAATCAAGATGAATAAAATACCTTATAAGTAATAACCACGAATAATATGCATAATACTGCAACACCGACAGTACGTATCCATTTATGTTAATACTCATATATAGGACATATTGACCATATTGTGTCATGTGGTGATTTAATAATTATGACAAATAAATTATTATGAACTTTCGTCGAACCATGCACGTGGAAAGTGTCTTGTGCATGTCACCACCAATCTCCAAATTTCCATATAATATATAAATAAACTATAAAGCTATATTATATGTTAAACGTCCAAATATATTGCTAAGTATAAATATATAACGGTATTGGTATTTTTAATAGTATGTACTGTAAATACAGGACAGGTATAACTATATATAATTTGTATTTATGCAAAAGACGGTTGTATGTATTTCGCGTACCTGTAAGGTATATAGGTTCACGTATAGGTACATCGCTGCTAATTGCATTACATACGTATACGCGTCTGCTCTGATCACGTGTTCCATTGTCGTCATTTGTTTGCCTTTGAGAATTGTCTCGTTCGGTATATAATGTTATACTATATACACTCATGTGCACATGTATTTAATATATATTATATGTATGCATATTATATATGTATATTTTTCATTTTTTTGTGTATACGTTCATCATAATATATATATATATATATTTACATATTTATTAACACGCGCCGTAAAGTGTACAATGTGACGTCACCACAAGTTTTTACACCGATAATTATCTAACGTTTATAATATGGCAGTTATAACGTTGTGGCGTTTGAGCGTTTACCCGCCACATCGGAGACTGAATACTTGCAGTTTTTTAAATTTTTTACCATTAATAAGTTTTTTTGACTTATATCGATTAAACTTAGGTATATAAATTTAATAACTGCAGTATTATAGTTCGCGTCTGTCCAATGCACATACGCCGTGCGGTACATACAACGAGTTCTTTCGTCAGGATATTCGAGAGACGTTCTACTTGCCATCATTATGCTTATCAAAAAATTGTTTCTACGCAGACGGGCCAAACAACAACAGCAGGATGTTTCGCAGGACGTCAACAGCGACAACCGCACGGTTAGCGAATCGTCTAATAGCGAATACTTTACCAAAAGGCAAGTTACCTTTACGCGCAATGTTATGTGTGTTATGTGTATATTTACACTTCTACTAACATACTGCATGACGATTTTTCATTTTCATTTAAAAAACTTCAATATACTTTATTGATTTTTTTTTATTTATATTGACATCTGCACTTTTTAATGAAGTTTTATAAATATTATACCTTCACATTTTGTGCAAAAAATATTTCCTGAATATTTTATTAAACATGAATATTAATAAGCTATTTTAGCTATAAATAGTATTCAGGTATTTAATTGTTTATTATTTAAAATTATTTTATAGTTAAATATCATATAGAAATTCTGAGAGGAGATTATTGTTATAATTATATGCTCATACTGAATATTAAAACGCACTATTAAAGCACAAAATATTTAAACATTCACAAAATCTGTTAAGTTTCTATTCTCAAATGTACCAGGTGCAAACTTTTTATGGGTTATGTCATTTAGATGCTGTAGGTAGAAATTTTGATTTCAGTCTGAAGATATCCTGATAATTATGATTAGTTATATTATATATTTATAAAGGGGTTTTCAGTTTTGGAGTGTATTTTCGCATTTTTTGAGACTCCTAATAATAGATAAGTAAAATAAGAATAAAAATAATTCGTTATTTAAAGAAAAACTATTTTTTTTATGTTTTATCCCACTTATTTTTTATAAATTATGCATATAATAATGGAGGAAGTTAAACAAATAAATAAAAGTTCATGTTAATAATTAATAATTTTTAATATTTAACATTTTTATGTCTTCAGTTTTGTAATTATATAAAACTTTAAACGGTTTATTGATCTCAAACAATAATATTTTTTCTTATTCTTACTAAAAAAGACAACTTATAATAAAAGTAAACAAATCTTCGTCTGGAATATAATTTACGGTATATAAGTGTACATTATATAGTCAAAAAGTCTAACAATAGTCAATAAGTAACATATAGATATTCATTATAAATTAATACGAAATTAAAAACAACCACTATATACATACGACAACCAGTTGACGGCTGACATAAACAAATAGAAAATCCATTAGCTATTACCTATTATAAATATTATAGCCTTGCTGGTAAAAAAATTTCTTTATAGATGTCATTTGACCTTTTTTATTAGAATTAATTATTTGCTGCCAATGTTAAACCAGTATTAGGCAAATACGACAATATGAAAAATTAAAATTCCTACTTGTATTGGAAACATTGCCCTTAACGAACCTCACAACATTTTATTTTTTTTCAGAATAAATTAACTTTAGTTTATATGTTCTATTTCTATGTATACTTAACATATATTGAAAACTTGTGAATATAACACTATTCAGACACGACTTTTTTTTATTTAGACAATTATTAATACTATATGCCTAAACCTACATTGTACATTTATAGTCTATACTAATGTTTATAAAGTTGTGCTTGAAAGTATTCTTTATTGGTATGACTATACTTTCAATTGATTTCTATACTTTAAATTCATCATAAGAATTTTTGTTTACATAATTTAGTCTCGAGATAATTTCATTGCTACCATTAGTCTTTCATGGTTGATTTTAACTCCTCTACAAAATTTCCCCAGCCAGGTACATATACTAAGAAAATTTAGAGGTTCAAAGCACATTTCCAAAAAAAAAAATAAAGAAAAATGTTATACAAAAATATATTAACGAGTACCTATATATATTATACATACATTTTTTTTCATATATAAGCCTAGTCCCTTAGATTTAATTAATTTAAAATTAAGTAGGTATAAAATATTAAGGTGTATGTATTAAAACTAGAAAATTTTAAATAATGCTTCATATTTAAATTAAAATTTTTTATTTTATTTTTATTGCTTTTAATTCACAACAATTAACAGTATAAATAACGATTCTAAATTTATAATTTATTAATAAAGCTAGATAATTTAATGGAAGAAATAGTATTGTCATTTGGGAGTATATTTCCGGAGGGTGATAATTGAAAGAAGATAAACGAGAAAAGGGTTGTGATTCCACAAGAGGAAAAATAAAAAAAATGCGTTTAAAATCACAAATTGCATCTTCGTGATGAAAAATTTAAAGAAGAGACGACTGACAAATTAAGAAAATAAGAAAGTTTATTGTACTAATTATTACAGCTATTACACCAAGTATACGTTAATAGTATAATAATCAAATATTTGACTGAAATATACTTGCTATACAGATTACAATATTATTATCTTTACGTATAATTTAAGCGATCTCTAAAAAAATCAAAATGTTTTTTTAAATATTAGGTTTAAAAAGCTATTAGGTATTATAATTTATAAGTGATGCTATAAATTAATATAATACTATATATCTACTCAACCATTAACTATTTTCTTTCAATTTTAATCCCTTAGGTCGATCTATTCCCTATCAAGTCATTAAAATTATTGGCTTAACTAATTCTAGTACAATATAAAAAGAATTTTAGTGATGTATAAATAGTCTAATAATTACGATAGTTAAATGATTTAATGCCCAAAATAATAATCGCACCAACCAGTGTGCATAGGTACATACTCATTCGAAAACATTAAAGAAATTAATAATTATATATTTTTAAATACCTAGATAACAAATAAACATAGAATTATTTTAATAACATCAGCAATCATCATTTAATATAACAATCATATTTTAATTAAAAACTGATTAATAATTATTTTGTATTAAGTATTAACATTTAAATTTAAAAGTGTAATCTATAAAATCGTAATCGAACTGTCAAAATACGGACAAATAATATGATAAATTATAATAAATAGGAAAATTAACAATTATGAATAGAATGCAGTCAGATTTTAATTTTCAACACTCTAAACTTTTTTATTTCAAATAACTGATATAAAATAAAACAAAAAACTGAACAATTTGTGAGATTATCTGATTTATAAACTAAAATGTATTCCATTTGTTTTTTACGAAACATAATAATCCACTATAAACATTATTGTTGCAATTTATCTAAGCAAGTATTCCTGTAGATTAACTTTTAGGGAGACAAGTCTAACTCAATTTGATGATATAAATTAAACTAAATACAAAAAAATTCTGCCACAAATTCACTAAGTATCTATAATGCTAGAAATACTTGGATGAATGACTGGTGTTCAGTGTCTTACCTTGTATTTTAACGGACCAGAAATGATAAGGCTCGTACAAATATATGAACAAAACTCGTATCTATGGAATTTCGTCGCACTGCACAATACGTCAATACCTACAATATTATGATAAATACGCACTGAATAACTTGATTGTGAATCGGAGTAATAGAAGAGGTGGAAACAACCAATTACGATGAATGTTTTTAAAACTTACAAACAGAAAATATAGCAGTTACGACTTCAAGTAATTTACTTAAAAGCTTGACTTATCACGTATGTGTGTATAGCAAACGCTGAAAATTACCGAACGGTTGCTTGAAGAATACGACTAACAATAAAGTTAGCTTTATATCATTTATCGATGAAAAAATTTCAGCTGAACTGGTTGAACCATGAAAATGTTCACGAAAGGTGACGCAAAAATAGTTACTATTATCAAACTCGGAATGTCCTTACATTCCATATAATTATAATGGGTAATTGCTAATCCATATTACATACCATTATCTAACTCAGTACCTACCAATGGTTCGCGGTTAGGCAACCTGAGAGTACAGTGTCACTTTTAAACAAGAAGTTCTAATTTAAGTTTTTACGCTTATCCTAAAAGTCTAGAGTCTTACGTATATCAAAATTTAGGATCGGTTAATTGTCAAATAATTTAAAGGATTCTAATTTCATGAAATAAAGTATTGAAATGAATATATATTTTTTCAATTAAATAAAAAATATAAAGTACCAATACTATTGACTATTAATTAATACCTATACGGCTATATCTATTATCTAAACATATTATTTAATTTAAAGTTTTTGTTTTCAAAGTAACTTATTGATTTGAATATACCCAATCTCTTTTTTTTGTATGTGATTTCATGAGTTGGGAAAGGATTCTTCCCCAGTCGCATTGCCTTATGTGATTATAGTAATAACATTAATAACACATTAATAATGTATATATTATATGTGCCTTGTGGGAATATATGGCACCATTACGGGGTATCAATCCATTTATATTATTTACGGTTACAATTTAATGTGTTTGATATGTTTAGTTATTATCGGGTGTGTATATATTCTTGATTTTGCGATCGGTCTTAGCCCACCACTTAATATATCTCAGGACGTTACCATTTTTATCAAAACTTATAGTTCCTTTTTTGGCAAGTACATTTTTCTTTAAAATTTAAATTATAATAACTAAATTTAACAATTTTTATATTTCATTCAATATGGTTTTATCCATATTTGTGATTTTTATTTATAAAAATTATTACATACAACTGTATGAAAAAAAATTTCCCTCATAAATATGTCAAAAATTAAGATTAAGTTTTATTTTTTATAATTAAATAATATTTGTTTGACATATTTATGTGTGAAAATATAATAAAATAAAATAATTTGCTATAAAATGTTTTAACATATTACCTTTTAGTCAAATTAAAAACAAATTTTTGTTTAAAAATTTTACTATTTCTTCAATTTAAGTTTAATTTCACTTAAATTAGGTTTTTTTGAAATAAAAATAAACCCAAGTTTTTACTTATTTATTTTAATATAAATTTAAAATTTAATAATTGTCAATTTCAATTGTTGTAGTTGTAAATTTAAATAAATCTGTACTGACCGATAAGGGAAGGGTACATTTTGTTCTAAAAGCGAACAGCTCAATATCTCATGGCCTGATTTCTTCAGGCCCGCCGCTATAAACCCTTAACATCGCTCGTTCCGTTCATCTTCATGGTTTTATGGGCCAGTTATCTAGAAAGAACATTATTCAATCCGGCAAGGCTCAGATTATTTCATGTCTATTTTGCTATCTTTATTTTCTTGCTTTATTTCATTATAATATCGACCATTTTCTACAACGTGTGAATTGCCCTGTTCACCATTGTCAATAATAATACATCCGTATTATGTAACAAGTAATGTATTAAATGTCTAATGATTTAAGTACTTGAAGCATAATGTTTAACTAACCAATGGTACTTTTAATTAAACCAAGTATTGCTATTTACAAAAATTGTATTTTCACTTTTTTAAATTTGAATTAATGACCAAATCCAAGTTGAGAATCCACAACAATGACTTAAACGATTGAAGCAAGGAAAAGGTGTATCTAGATAGTTTACTTCTGATTTTTTAAACATATATTATTGACTGTAAAGTTTATTATATTATGTACCTAGTTTTACAGTTAGTTAACAAATTAGTGCGCTTTCCAATTATTAGATACCTACCTATTTCTATATAATTTAAAATAATATATTTGTATTTTTATACATTACGCATTCAATAACTTTAATTCATTATTTCTTATGTATATTGGACCGTAATTGTGAAGTTTTTATTATATAGGTATTAAAAATATTAAGACTTTGTTATTTGCTATGAAATTTGTAATCAAACACAAGATTAGCTATCGTTAGTTTGATTTGAAGTCAATTAATATTGGAGACTCCAGACGTTTAAATTATCAACTCTCTCAGTAGTTGTACTATTGCGCATTAATCGCATGAAAATCAATCAAAATTTATTTTATCGACAAACGAATTATGCAACAATCGCGAAAGATACAAAAAAATATTGTGGCCATTCACACGTGGGAGACGTGATAATACTGTGTATAAGGGATGGCCAAACTTTTTTGGATCAATATCTACAGAGGTTTTATTTTTCCTTGGGGGAACTATAAAAATATGTAAGAACAACTTTAGTCGACAGTGGTCATTGAGATTTATTTGAGAGATTACTAGGCGCTACTTAGTTACAGAAAAGTTAAAGCGGGCATCAGTTCCTTCTTTGTTGGAATTTTTTTTTTTTTTTTTTAAAAAAAATTCTATATTACGCTATCTGTTACAATTAATGAACAATAAGCTTAAATGTTATTTATGCGTCTTTATAAACTACAATCATTGTATAGGATTTATTGTACTTAAATAACAAATTAACTTTATTAGGTAGATACCTGCTTATGAAATTTTACGACTATAAACTCTGGTCATAAAATCCCGTTATTAGGGATGAAGTTTGGATGAATGTATATTAGGTGAACAATAACATAGGTAACTGGTTTAATCTTCCAGTTAAAGTACAATTACCTATAACAAGTAGTCGCTCTCCATAGATACGTCTACGAAATTCGATCACAAAATTTGTCCTCATCGTGTTTAGGTTGGTAGGTATTTTAAATGTTATAGTCGTCCTATAATTGAAACAGATTTTCCAAATTTCCATCTACCTATTATATTATGTTGTTATAATATTGATAATCTATAACTTCGTATTATTTATCCAGTTATTGTTCATATATAGATTCTTAAACACTTAAATATTGTTATAACTGTATAGTCAACGGAAATCCAAAACTATTTATTAACAAATTTAATAATTATTAGTACCTACTTGATTTATCTTCGCTACACCTTTACTAGGAGACGATATTGATTTACGTAGATTATCAATACCTACTCTATTTCGTGTTGTACCTGTATTAATCGAATGCAGTACCTATTCATATTTTTTATTGTTTCCAATAAGCCGGCTGCCGACAAAATGGGTTTGATCGCGCATGCCAGAAAAATCGGTAATACTAATAGCTAATAAAGGTCCATAGTTTATAACTTATAGTCATAGGTCGTACTTAGATAGTGTATACCTAAACCTAATATATGAAATAACTTATAAACAATATAAATATGGCTATATTCGAGGTCATTGGACCTCTTTCACAATTATAGTGTATATTTTATTAATTTATTACCAAGCCGCACCGTTTGGAAAACAGATTAGTAAAATTTTCTCGGGATTTCGTATGAAATCTAAAAACCCACGATCAATTAAATAAATCACGGGCGACGGAATCGGGAACGCGGCATTTATAATATTAGCTCTTATCAGCCATGGCTCTTTAAGTTCGTTCGAGTGGGTCGCGCGCGCTTTTCAGTCTCACTCGACGATGGTCCCCACTCTCAATGACCACGGTCACGTCATCGTCCATAACGAATATTAACTATTAATATTATTATTTATTGTCAGTCGGCTGTCGCAACTCGTAAATGAAATAATATCGCCGTCCCGATTCCCGAGTTTTCGTATGTAATATTGAACAATTAACACGTGCGTGCGCCCGTTTCGCGACGTATTTTCTCTTGTAGGTATTTCGGATGTTTATTTTTCGCGCGGTGCGAACACGACAACGTTGGTCGTGTTTCGATCTATAGATAAAACGTTTCCGATATTCTTTGCACTAATACCTGTTGCGGCTTCGACGATAAATCAACTACAGATAATATTATGTGCCTACAAAGTACGATATAACTATTAATGTTACAGTGAATACCCATTTAGGTATTCCCCGCGCGCCCGGTTCAAACTTTCAAATTTTTTTCTCGTCGTTTTCCACCATTCCTTGTCCAGTCGGATTGCGCTGATTAAAAACGTTTTTGGACTGTATCGAAAAACATCGTAAGTCGAACCGCATTTATTTTGTGCACTTGGTTTTTTATTTTCATTTGGTACTCGGCGAGTGGTGACCACAAAGACCGCGTGACGGGTTAAGGTATAAAGTTTTAATGTGCTCGTGGACCAAAACCTACGATGAGGTACAGTTTGAGCGATATGTTCGTTAAAACCATGCCGAGTTTAAAGCTCAGTGACAAGAAGTGAGTAATTTACACAAATTTCGGAAATCTGTACAACCTATTTCCAGTATAATTAAATATTTTAAGATAAGTTGCGACTGTAGCTGCTGTATATATAAATATAGCCGTATTAATTTACAGCCAAGGTCTGTGGTTCATGGTTGTGACATACGATATAAATTATTATTTTAGTTATCACGTCAATCGTAATGACTTTCAGAAAGTTACCATTCATAATTTGTATATTGTAAATGCCTTTTAGAATGGCTGAACGATTTTATAGACCGATTGTCTTTTTATCAACCATTGAGATCACCTCTAATTTTTAATTGTGCATACACTTACTAATACACTTTGAGACAATAAATAAATATTATTTAAATTTTAAAGATATAATTTCTCGTGCATGAATTGTGATGTAACGATTTATAAATATAATTACCAGTTCTCGTAATGGAGGATAATAGCTTTAATTAGTTTAATTTGACAGTCAAATCATTTGTAATAATAATAAATATGGATTTGGCTATCACTCCAACTTATATTTAATTGTTTTATTATTATTTTTATTTTAATGTTACTGTTACAATAATAATATATTAAAACGTCTTGTTCTTTTCTTTAAAACTGAGAACCAATGCTTTAGTCTTTTATTGATTTGAATAACTTAATATTTTGTAGGACTAAATTAAAATCATTAACAAATTAAAAATCACAAAATAGAAATTATACCATATACTTTTTAAAATTAATGTTATGAGTATGAAATATGAATTATTTATATTATCTATACCTAGATTATGTAGACTACAGTGTCGATATCTCCAATATAAGCAATTATTAATGAGTATTACCACAGACAATATTCTATGGATATTATTAATAATATTTATAGCCATGATAATAATGATGATGATGATGATGATGATAATAATAACAACAAATATGATGATTGATAAATAAAAATTCTTACTTAATTATTATTATTTATGATAGAAATTTATAGATCTTAAATTATAAAAAAAATGTAGTTTACACTAATAAAATAGTAAATAATTGATTATAATATAAAGAATTGTTTTTCTGAAAAATGTACTATATTTTATATTTTATTCAATCAACTGTAATTTTTTAGTTGCTTATCAAATTTTAATATAAATTAATAGAATTAAATATTTTTTTTTTTTTATAGTATGTTGTGCATTCAAGAAGAACTTGGAAATTTAAAAGACAAAGAACCCATCAAAGATAATGCTGTTGGGATCAATAAATTGGAATCTGATGTTTTAAAACCTAGCGGCTGGTTTGATGGATTGTTAGGATGCTTAAAACCAATGTTGGGAATCATGGGAAAAGGAAACAGTCATGATATTAAGTCTTATCAAGGTAATTACAACATTTTAGTCATTAAAATGAAATGGCTAATTTAAAAGAATTTTAATATTTACAAACAATTTATAATTTTAAAATGTTCATAAAATGCTTTAAAATTAAAATACCAAAATAAGCCTATGCAGGGTAATATTCTTACCTATAATTGATAAATGATTATTTCACTCTATAATTAAAAATAATAGAGTAAAATAGATTTTTAATATTAAATTTGCTATGTTGCAAAGGTTATAAAGGTTGTAAATTTGTATGATGAAGATAACATTTGTAGGTTTAACGTCTTTTTAAATATACTAAAAACTATTAATTTTTTGATTATTTTATTGAATTTCAAGAAAGTTAAATATTCAATTACATATTATTATTTGGTACATATTTTTATGATATTTTATAGTTATCTAAAAATTAGAGAAATAAACAAATTTAACCTTAATGTTATTTTATAGATAACTGGGATATTCCATTTGAATCGATTAGTGATTTGCAATGGTTAGGTTCGGGAGCCCAAGGTGCTGTATTCAGTGGAAAATTAAAAAATGAAATTGTAGCAGTAAAAAAAGTACGTGAACAAAAAGAAACAGACATTAGACATTTGAGAAAACTGAATCATCCTAACATTGTACAATTTAGGTGAGCATATTAATAATCAATTATGTACCAATAATAAATTAAAAAATGTAGTTAGTATCTGATAATTAAATTCCTTGTTTTTATTTTAGGGGTGTATGTACTCAAGCTCCTTGTTACTGCATAGTGATGGAATATTGTCCATATGGACCACTTTATAATTTGCTTAGAGATGGTGAAGAAATACCACCTATACGATTAGTATCGTGGGCCAAACAAATTGCATCTGGTATGCATTATTTACATGTGAACAAAATAATTCATAGAGATCTTAAAAGTCCTAAGTACGTAAACACTTTATTTTAATTTTGCTTAAAATTATATTTTATAATTTGTTTTTAAATCAAAAGTGTCTTGATTGGTCGTCAAGAAATGGTGAAAATCAGTGATTTTGGTACAAGCCGAGAGTGGAATGAGATAAGCACTAAAATGAGTTTTGCTGGTACTGTAGCCTGGATGGCTCCTGAAATCATTAGAAATGAACCATGTTCAGAAAAAGTTGATATTTGGTAAATAATTTGAAAATTCTGTTTGTTTATTTTTTCATAAAATATTTAATTTATTGTTATATGTATTGTATTTTAGGTCATTTGGTGTGGTTTTATGGGAACTTATGACTTGTGAAACACCATACAAAGATGTAGATTCTTCAGCTATTATATGGGGTGTAGGTAGTAATTCTTTACATTTACCAATACCTTCATCATGTCCAGATGGTTTTAGATTGTTAATTAAACAATGTTGGGCAGCTAAACCACGTAATAGACCATCTTTTAAACACATAATGATGCATCTAGACATTGCTAGTTCTCAAGTGCTAGCAAGTACACCCGATGAATACTTTAAAACACAGGTATAAAATATAAATAAATAATACTGAAGAAAATACTTAAAAATAAACTAGTTACTAATAACATATTGTAAAGAATGAAATACAAAATATAATTTTTTAGGCTCAATGGAAGAAAGAAATACAGATACACATGTTACAAATGCAGACTAATGGAAGCCATATTCCCAAATTTGAAGAGGATCTTATTAAAAAAAGAAAAAATGAGTTGAAACATGCACAAGATATTAGGGAACATTATGAGAGAAAATTAGAACGTGCTAATAATCTTTACTTGGAGCTAAGTGCTGTGTTACTACAATTAGAACAACGAGAAAATGATTTAATTAGGTTAGTAGTTTAAACTTTTAGATAATAATTTCTGTAAATAATAAACAATATTCTTTTATTAGAAGAGAAAAACAAATGTCTAAAGTGTACAAAAAACGACTTATAAGACCATTATTAAAAGCTCAAGATAAATTGAACAAACAAAATAAATCTGATTCAACTACTACATCACCATCATCACCAGAAAGACTTTGTCAAAAATTTGACTCGGTATGTTTTTATTGTGAAAATAACAATATTTTAATGTTTTCTTTATTAGAAGTTTTATTTTATGATATTTTTCTGTTATCATGTTTACCAACAATTGTCAGTTATCATGATTTTTTTAAGTTAATTTTAACGCATATAATTATTCCAGTGTATTGTAGTATCACTACAAGTATTAAGTTGTTTTTACTCGGTTTTACAGAAATTAGTTATTCTGCCCAACATTAATAAAACGCAATACACATATTAATATATGGAAATATTACTGCCAATTAATTATTTTCCAACACGTATGTCTACCTTTTTTTTAGCAAGATTTAATGTTACATTTTTAAAATTCAATTTTATTATGTGACCAAACCCATACACTTTTTTTGATAAAATACACTTTTCTCTAAAAAATGCCACTGCATCTTTTTTGTTAGCAAATCCCAGATTTGCAATTTTTTTTTTTTTTTTTAATAAATTATATTTAAAAAAAATAAAATAATAGTGCAAATATAGTCTTATTTTTGATACTCTATACTTGCACATTTAGTATATGGTAGTAAAGAGAATTTTGAGAATATTACATTTTATTTCCACAAAAAAATCTACATAATAACATTTAATTTTATGTAGTCGTGATAACCAAAAATCTTAAGTAGTTGCAATGATTGAAAATTACCTATTTTATTTTATTTATTTTTTATAGCATTTAACCAAAGCTACACTTTACGCTCAAGTTAGTAGCAATTCAAATAAACCAGAATCAATTGTTGTTACACCAAAACAAAATCAACGAAAAACACGACCTAGGAAAGCTCAGATTATATGCTCAATTGTAAAAAATAAAAAGGTTTAATCATTAAATAAATAAAATTTGCCTTATGTTTAAGTAAATATTTTATTATAGTATAATACAACAAAAGAAACTAATTGGAAGAACAGTCACCAAATAAACACTAATAAAGTCAATAGTGAAACACAGACCGAAACTATTGATTCAGGACTTCATCAAGATATACTCAATGGTAACATGTCTGATTCTGCGCATTCACAGGTAAAAACATAAAATATATTATGTAAGATTTTATGATTTATATATTTTAAATTTATATAGGGTGAAGATAGTTCATGTAGCAGTGGAGTAAGACTGAGTGATGATGAACATTTGGATAGACTAGGCAGACAAGTAAATGAAATACTTAACAATAACAGACCTTCCAACATGACCGATTTATCAGATTATTATCAGGATACTGAGTCTATTTCTAATAACTTCAACCTTAGGAGGAAAAGGTAAGATCCCTATTTTGTAATGACACAAAAGAATTATTTCAGTTTGATTTGTATAAATTTATTAATTAATTAAATTTTAGTGCTGGTCGGCGACCAATTGGACCTGGTTTACGAGTACGTCGTTACAGAATGACACAATATTGTCAAGAGCCAAATGGAAATTCTTTTTCATTAAGTTCTTCAACAGAAGTAAGTGACTATAATATATATTATTTAACTAATTAAAGTATTATGTGATTTTTATTTTACACAGAAGCATGATTTCTTAGAGGCAGAAAGTTCAACATCAGATTCTGACATGAAAGACATTGATCTAGATCCGAGTTTTTATAATGTATCTAATCAGTTTCCAGTTTAATACCGTGTATAAAACCAAAAGATTGTACTATGTCTACAATTTTTGATTTAATTATTTTATTACCATTTAATAATACCAGTCCAAACATTATATTTTTTTCATAACAATGTCAAATTTAGTTTCAATGCTATCACATCTAAAATTTCACAATTTTTTATTTTAAATTTTTTTAACTATCTTGCATATCTTAATCTAACATTTTTTTTTGTCATACAACTGTTTTATCATTACTATTATTAATTATTATTGTTACTTTTTTTCTTTGAAAATGTAATGTATTTCTAATGAAATATTCAATTATTGATTTTTCTTAATTATGTTAACAATATTTTTGATATTTTTGAAGTAACAAAATATATCTGTGATTATATAAAACATCAAGAAAGGGCACTTAAATAACAGCTTGTGATATTGTTTGAATGTGTCTAAATTTACTAATTTTGATATGCAATAATTAATAATTATAACATATTTGAAAGACTAAAAAAAGGATGATGGGAAAAGAATATTGCTTAGTTGTTATGTAAGCAATTAAATAAATTGACGTACTCGTGTTAATATTTGTACTGATTATAGGTAGTTGCTTAAAAATTTTATGAGCAATAATTATTGATCTCTTTTGCCATTTATAATATTGTGATGTAAATTAATTTGTAAGTATAAGTATGTAATGTAGACTGACCTTATATTAAGGCAAATTATTGTTTAAAAAATCATTATTTAATTTATATTTTTAAGCTTTGTCTCTTAATTTTGTATACTGTATATAAAAGAGATATAGTTTATAAAAATATAGTATTTGTTTAAATAGAACCTTTGTTTTGTTTTATAAAAGTGTGCTTATACCTTTTAAATACTCCAATAAATAATAATTATTAAACCTTAGTAATATATAAATACAATCTTCATTTTTCTATAAAATAAAATGCATCATTCTTGTTATTTATTTAATGAACAATATTTAAACAAACCAAACAATATTATATGATTTAAACTTTTTAGTTAGTTAATTAAAATAATTTATATTCACAGTTAAAATTTTGTATTAAAGTTATACAATTAAGTAACTAGAAAAACTTTCATGAAAAAAATTAAAATCCTTAATTGTATGGATAAATTGAATGATTATTACTGATTAATAGTTGTTATAATTTTAATATTATTGTTGAAATTAAATTTCTTTTTTTAATGGTTCCAGTTCATAACTAATTCACAAAAGTCTATACAGACTTTGTAATCAAAGTTAAAAAAAAAAAAAAAAAACTAAAGATTTTTCGCGCAATGAATAATATGTTAATAATAAATTAATTTGATAACAAATAAATAAGGGGGAAAATAAGATTTAAGATATACCTTAAATATAATATATATGTCTTAGAGATCTTTTGAATTACAGGAAAATTAAATATAATTAGTATAATTATTAATTGTATTTTATAAGATTTAACCAAAGCTTTAAAGTATCAAATTTTGATATTGTATTTTACACCATTAACGCCACTTCTACGATACAAAATTTAATTATGTTATGTTAGATATCTTAAATAAATAACAATTTTTTATACAGTAATATAACATATTTATCATACAGTCTCATTGAATATTAAAAAGCAATAAACAAGAAATTGTTTAAGTTTCATACGATAGAGCCCAAATATACTATATTATGCTAAATATGTTAGTGTAGCTTGTGAATTTTGAGTTGTGGAAATCCATTTACAAAATAATTAAAAAAAAAATAAGACTACAAAAGTTTCACTACAGTTTTTAGTAAGAATAATAATACATTTTTTATTCGAGACATTTGTTTTTTTCTGACTAAAATTTTATTATTTAAGTTAAAAACATTCTTAATCACATAGTAATACTACGAATTGTTAGATGATTATTTATATTAAGCTAAGTTATAAGTAAAAAGCATAATTTAATCGTAAGAAGGGATAATTCATAACTTTAAGCAGTAAGTTCACTTTACAATTTTTCTTTATAGTTTATGTTTATACCCTACCCGACTAACACAGCACTGTTATCGTTTAAAAATAATTATCTTTCGATTCTATTTGGCTGTAGTTTAGCGATAACAGTATAGATAACAGAAGAATATATATTATCTATGGATATCACCAAAAATATATCATACCTAACCTCAAATGGCCCAAACTTCATGCGGCATATCGATATACATTGAAGGTGTTTTTCTATCAAATATTGAACATTAAATTATTAATTTTTAATTATTTAACAGATTAACAAATATTGCTATATTAGTAATATACTTTTACAACTATTAGTTAATACTTTTATTTGTATTTCTCGATTCCTATTCGAAAGTATTAAATCAATAATTTTTTTTGAATTTGATTTATTGTCGAACTTGATTATTTTTTCACTTTTTAACTCAAAAGCTTTTCATTAAAGATCAATTATGTTTTCAAAATCACTGATCAATTTAAGTAGACAAGGATTAGGTTCTACAAAAATTCTGCAAAGTATTTTGTGTAAGTTTATAATGATTCAGAAAATATACTTGTGTTTGTTTTGTAGCATCTTACTCGTATATTATTATATTGAAGTAAATAATTTTTCAAATTCTCTAATAACCTTTACAAATGTTCTAAAATATAAAATATAATACATTTAATAATTAAAGTATTTAAGTACCTATTTTATTTGGTACAAATTAGTAATTTGAGAACATTTTATTAGTATAAATTTTACAAGAAATTACTAATTTCATTTTTAAACAGAATAATTTATGTTGAATTAAAAGTTTTTTCATGTGTTTTTCACATAATACATCATATTTTCAATTGTTTTAAGTGCCTAATGAGTTGACTATTTCCTAAAATTAGTTTTATACAAATATTCAGTGTTTATAATCATGTATTGTGTTAGTATTATCTAAAATAGTATTATGGACTATTATACTATTGTAGTAAATATATAAACTATTACAATCAATTATTACCAGTTATAAGTAACTTTATAAAACATGCGAGGAACATACTTGTAGCTTATAAAATTATAAACACTTCTTTTGTTTTGCTTTTATTAAAGTCTACCTTATTTTCATTTTAACATTATTAGTTGTATAAAACTAATTTAAAATAATCTTAATTTAAATACTTAATACAATTTCATTATATTTATACTATGAAAAACATAATTTCAAGTTTTTAAACATATAATTATAAATCTTTAATTAATACCTAACAAAATAAAATTTAGTGTAATTTTTCTTATCACTTAAGTTTTTATTTGATTTATCATATTTATTTTAGGTAAACGTAGTTTGTATGAACGTGCAGCAATAGGATTGGATAAATATGAGTTCTTCCGAGAAAAAATTGGAAATCAGTTTTCTGAATCAGATAAAATGTTATTTCGAGAGCGAATGAATTCTTTTGCAGATCCTGAGTCTAATAGTTTAATTTTTACTGAAGATTTAAAACAAATTGTACACATGGTAGGTGATAATGAAACAGATTTAACACTCGTTGAAAAAATGATGAAGAAGTAAGTATTATAATCTTAATTTATTTAAAATTTATATTTTCCAACTTAACTTATAATAATTATAGGTATAATAAACAAAACCAAGGATTAAGATTTGGAAATTTTACTTTTGGACCAGTTGTTATGCGAATGTATTACCATCTCAATAAACCTGATATTGCATTAAAAGTAAAGATAAAATTTGATTATTATAAAAACAAAAATTCATAATAATTTTAATTATAATTTTTTAGTTATTTAATGACCCAGAAATGGATGGATTTTTCAATCATTTAAGTTCTTATCAAATACTCATGGATTTATTATTTATAAATGGAAAGTTTGATCAAATATTAACTGTATATAAATCAATTCAAGAAAGACAATTACAAATAGCCAAGTTTCCTAAAGGAGTAATGATGTTAGTTTTTGCTGCTTGCTATAAATTGGTAAGATTTTTATTTTAATATATATTTATATTTTGGTATTCATTGATCTGTAAATTATTATTTTATGCTGTGCATTTTTTAAATGATAAAGATTATCTTAGCTCTTCATCTCCAAAATTCTATTGTTTTAGTTTATCTAAATCATTTAAATTAATAGCAATGTATCTAAATGATGCCAAAATTGGTTTTCATACCACTTGACAGCGTTAGATCTTAAAGTTTCAACACCCAGATGTAATAATAAAAAACACCTATTTTAATTGAAATAACTGAAATTTAACTTAAATAATATTTCATTATAAAATTGGATACATTTATAAAAAGAGTATTATTTCATTATCATCTAAATTTTTATTTTTATGTTTACTTATTAGTTATTAATATAAAGATGAAGTAAAACAACAATATTTGGATTAATCCTTACACAAATTCATGAATGTAGTTATATTAATCCATATCTAACACATACATTTATACAACTTTAATAGGTTTTAAGTGTTTAAACATAAAAATATCATAACAGTTTTTAATGTGACATTTTCAAAAATAAAATATAATAATAATATTAATAATGGTGTTGAAATTGCATTATCAGATTTGAGTAATTTTTGGTAAATGTATATGATGACCCTATTGTGCAGCAATCATTATTCTCATAGAACAAACCGGTAATTTTTGTTAAAGCTCTCTTATTATTAGAAAATAATATAATAATATTGTAATATTTTAATATTTTGTTCGCATAATACATATTTTTGAAAATATTAAACATTGACGGAAAATCTTGAAGTAGCTGTGAATATACCTTATGATTATATTTACTTAAATAAATCTGTTTATATTATATAATTTTTAATGATGTATCTAATTATATTTTAGAATACAACTGAAAGTTTTGAGTATGCTTGTAAATTATGGAGTGACCAACAAGAAGCTGGCCATAGTCCAATTAGAAAAACAATAACTTTTTTTGCTGCTAATGCAATCAATCAAAATAGTCCTCATATTGCTCTTGAAGTAATAACATCAGTGCGAAATCAATCATATGTGACACTCCGTAACATAAAAGTGTTAGCATTGTGTGATTTAGGCCGAATTGTTGATGCTTTGCCTCTTCTTAGAAGCGTATTGTCAGTAGATCAACCTATGTCTGGCGGTCCTATTGTAAAACAGACTTATTGTAGAGATGTGGTAAGTATATTTATTATAGCTTTCAATTTTTAATAAGTTATTATTACTCATATTTGTTTTATTAATATTTAATATTTGTATATCAACATTTTGAAAGATATTCTTCTAATTATGAATTAAAATATTTTTAAATAAATTATGATTAGATGTAGTGTTACTACTTAACATTTTTATTTCAAAATCATAAAAAATTTTTAGTAAATTAGTACAGAAAGTTAAATGTTTGTTACTGTTTAGAAATTATAATAGTTATAAAATAAAAATTTTATTTATAATCTGAAGTATATGTGTACCAACTGATGATCATTGATCATTTTTGTGTCTTGTTTAGATCCTAATAGTACAGAGTATAGTTAGTTTAGTGATATGTTGTTACATTACATATTTTGATAGTATATAGTATAGTTAATAATAAATCACATTCATTAAACATACTTTCTAACATTTCCTTAAAAACATTTCAATGGCTTTTCTTGATTATAAAAATTCCATAAAAAAAATAAAACTTTTAATTGTACCAATTCGACTAAAATTTGCAAACTTTAAAATTATAGTATGTGGGCAGTATGTAAACTTTTTAAGTACTCCTGAATATTATAATATATCACTAAGGCTTGAATTATGTTTTTAAAATATTGCAAAAAAAAACAATTTGATACTTAGCTCATAATAACGACTTATTTTTTTTTAAGCTATTAACAGTATTAACTAATAATAGAAATATATTTATGACAACATGATAAGTATATTTTTTATTAGATAATAAACTAATGATAGTTATTTAATTTACTTTTATTGTTAAATTTTTTTTTTTAATGATAAGTGATATATACTTTATTAGAGTATAAAATTAATTTATACAATTTAACTGATTACATTTTAAGAAAATAAATCATGCAAGTTTAGTGAAGTTACATTATATGGGTAATGTTAGGTATGTTTAAAAATAAATATAAAATTTAAATAAAAATATATTTTTGTCTTTATGGTAAATTGCCAAAGTTAACCTATTGCTTGTTATATAGAAAAGTTATTCTCTTCTATCTACAAAAATATGTCATGTTTATAATTTAACTCAATATAGTGAATAATAGATTGAATTAACAGCTTAAAGTTAGGATTTTACATGTATTATAAATATTTAAGTAGTTTTAAGTTGTTTGATATGAGTCAATTGTATTATGTTGAATGTGATGTAGGTCAAAAAATATTACTAAATTATTTAAATTCACTTTATTGAATTAACCTTTATTATCAATAAAATAAAATGTTCAATTGAGATGAATTTAATTTCTAAATTGATGTATACAAAAGAAAATTGAACTAAACAACTTACAATTTAATTTACAACTAAATGCATTTTAATAGTTCCTTGAAAATCATTTAAGCTTTGAAATAAAATGTACTCAAATTATATTTTGTTGTATTCATTTTTTCCAATATTTTTTAATTATATATTTATAGTTTTAGATTGATTTCAATTTTATGTTTGTTGATTTTTACATTTTTTAAATTATCCTTGAAGAATATTCTAATGGTATAGTAATTTAGATCAATAATAAGAGTAGTTAACTAATAAAATGTTTTCATTTGCCAATAAGATCACCATTTATTTGAAAATCAATAGTTTATAATAATTTAAATTATTAGTTTTCTTTTGTGTATCAATTTTTGTTTCATTTTTTTTTTTTTAGTAACAAAATAATTTAAAAATAAAAAATTAATAGTTATTTTTGTTATTTTAGATAAATTTAGTGAAATCGGCTGCTGAAAAACATAACGATAAAGAAATATCATTGGAGCTGGATAGAATACTTAATCAACTAGAAGAGTTAAATATGATTAGTGAGACTGTAAGTAATAAAGTGTTATTTCTATTAATTTAACATGTATTTAACAATTTACAATAATTTTTATTTTTATTTTTATTCTCTAGACGCTTGATTCACTTCTATGTTCAGAAATTAAAATGGTTGATAGATCAGATACAAATAACAGAGAATCAATAGTAGGTGCAAGCTATCAATCAGGACGACCATTTAAAAAACGAGAATTTAGACGTCCGGGTATTAGTGATTTGTTGTAACTTGTACTATGTTTATGTAAATCATAAACTGTTTTTGTAGAATAATAATGTACTGTTTAAGTAATAATTAAAAATGAAATAAAGTTTAGTAATTTTTTTTTATTGAAATATAAACAATTTTGTTCATTTGATACATGGACATTAAATTACATATAATATAATATCACATACAAAATTTGTAAAATAAAAAAAAAATACCACATTGATTTGAACCAGGTTGATACAAAAAATACTTTAGTTTAGTTCGCTATTCTAAGTAGTTTAGTTCACAAAAATGGAATTTAACAGTAAAACACAAATACATTAACTAATAAGTAGGTGATGGCTCTTAAGTTCCTTAATTATTGCAATTATTTTCTTTGCTATGGAAGGCCTATTAAAATATAATTTTAACAGTATTATGAATAAAAAAATATAAATTGGTAAAAATAATCAATGAATAATTATTCAGTAGAATCAGTTTTGCTGACTGGATATGGCTCAGGAACGACAATGTGTCCACTATCGACAATTACTATATTATCAACTGGTTTGTCTCTGGAATCAGTTTCTGCCGATTCAGCTGCTCTAATTGTTTTCTGAAAATCGTTAAATTTATTATTGTTTCATGATAAATATATTTTATTAATTTTTATATTTACCATTCCTTTGATTATTTTTCCAAATACAACATGGCGACCATCCAACCAGGAAGTTTGTTTAGTGGTAATAAAAAATTGAGATCCATTGGTATCTTTTCCAGCATTGGCCATAGACAACCAACCAGCACCATAATGTTTCAGTTTGAAGTTTTCATCTGCAAACTTTTCTCCATAGATACTACGACCCCCTGTGCCATCGCCTTTTGTAAAATCACCTCCTTGAATCATGAAGTCTTTGATAACTCTGTGGAATTTACTGCCCTTATATCCTTCACCCTCTGGTTTTTTTGCTAGTTCAATGAAATTCTGTGCAGTCTTAGGAACAGTTCCACTAAATACTCCAATTTCCACACGTTCAGGTTCATTTGAACCTACTTGAATGTCAAACCACACCTAATAAAAGATAAACATTCATAATTATTAAGTGTTGTGTGTACATAAGTTCATTGACGTGTCCAGTTCAACTTACAATGTCAGTGACCTTAGGTCCTTTCTTTTGCGAGTCTTCTGATGCTTGGCTGTACATCACAACAACAATTGTGAAAACCACTACCGGTAATATAGCCCATTTTAAAAACGTCATGATTTTATAAGTAGATATCATACAATTATTATAAAAAAAAAATAATAGGTACTAAAACTAAATAAGAACTAGTAAGTAGTGACAGTACTATAGTAGTGTAGGAGCAAAAATAACACGAGTGCACAACAGCACAACTAAGATAGTCGGATTAACCACTAACCAGTAAACTACACTATATAGTATATACTATACAGTACGCTACTATTGAACAATAATGGTGGGAAGTGAAGACGTGTAGATGTGGACAAAAAAACACAATGTACCAACGATAAAAATGTAAAATTTGTTATCAATTTTGTCGTATTATTGGGAAAATAATCGATAGTTTATTATTTTCGAAAACAATTTATTCGAATGTCACTCTTTCGTAAATCCATGGTTAAATGTTAATTATTTTACACTTAATATCGAAATAATTATTAATCGTTTACATTATGTCATTTTGACGTACAGAAATAAAAAAAAAAATCATTCGTTTGTCTCATTCATTCATTGAATTTTAACTCACGATATAATGTATGCGTGCAGTGCAGTGTGGTCAGATTTCGAAATTGTAAGAACCGTACAGTCTTATCAAAATGTTCGTTTTTATTTTTTCAAATATCGTACATTAAAATGACAAGCAAAATAATTCATATCACTAATATATATTAAAATCTAAGAAAGTGTTATAATAATAAATAATAATTAAAACAAGATTATTAATATACGCAACAAAACAAATTTAAATTAATTATGTCTTTAGTTTCTGTGTCCTAGTCAAGAAATGATACACTTATTTATGAAATCATGCGATACGATTGGCTGTGAACGGTGCAACAAAACTGTTAATCACTTGTACCGATCTGGAACTTCAAGTTAATATGTAATTAGTACGTTAATACTTCGGTCATATAAATATTTTATAAATATTAGGTATTTTTAATGTGTGCAAAATATTAGTAGTATGATATTGGTACCGTTTTAATTTTTATAATCTCACGTCTTAATTAGTTTTTAACTATTTCAAGCATTTTAGTTCAAGACGTTCAAATCTAAATTATATAAAAATTAAAATGCACTACGAACCGATAACATGGCGCGTCGGCGAATGTATAAATGTTGTATGCTTGTAAAATTAAAAATACATTTTAGATTCTAAAAATCTAAACTTATATTTTAAAATTTAAAAATTTAAGAAATATTAGAATCAAATGAATGAACTACACAAAAAAAATGTAGTTTTATATTCTCGAAAATTTCGGAAGAACGTTTATACAAAAATAATCAAATATATTTAGGTTCAACATAATATTACAAATGTAATCGATTTTGAATGTAACACGGCGAATTGGATATGCAATATCGATACATACGACCAGCTATTTTCACAATAATATTATTACATTAAGGTATAAAACTTAATAAAGAATTATTCAAAAATTAAAAAAAGTACACTTTGAGCAGCAGAAAACTGATTTCAAAAACTATATTTTATAATAAAAATTGTATATACTACAGTATGTATATATCTAGTAATCCATTTAACCTTAACATAATACACTCATTATTTCAATTTTCAAAATCTATTAGTATTTTTTATATCATATATTGCAAAATTAAAAATACGTAATATGTGTTTAAGTATTTTCAATGGAGAAAATTTGTTATAAATAATATTTTATCAATAAAACATATAACTAAAGTTGAAAACTTCCTCTTTTTTTGGTTAAAACTTTAAAATAATATATCTAGATACTAGTGGATAAATATTAAGTACCTGTTATATACTATTTTATCAAAAATTATAAAACAAGTTATAAATTAATATTGGTGTTGTATTTTAATCTTATAACTTAAAAAACGATTAAATTTTCATATTGATTTATAAATCATAATATGATTTCACTATGACGCTTTGGATTTTAGTTTTTGAATTATATTTCAGTGGTGTTTATAAACATGATAAACTGGATATTATAGAAATGATCACTTCATTATATATATGCATTTATAATAACTTATAAATACATATTTAAAAATTGTTTTTCTTTATTTTCAATTAACAATTTATACCCATTGAGCACAATAAATATAAGTATGTGGTAAAGGAAAGAATACAAACATATTTAGTTATAAAACATGTTGTGATAATAATTAATATATATTTACAGTTTTTTAAAATATATTTAAAATTTATATCCTAAGAGAACAAAGCATGATGAAAGTAAATTAATATAAAATATAATGATCAAACTGATTAATGAAGCAACTTACCTTTTGTTTTTATTTAATCATTTTTTTTTCACATATTTTTTAATCGTTCTCAGAGAATTGAAATTGTTAGTGTAGGTAGTTTAAATATGACAAAATAAGATGTCAAGAAAGTTTGGAGTAGAATCTTTTATAAAAATTACATTATTCATCATATAGTTTTAATTTTTAGATCTGTGTGGACGTATTGTACATTAGAGATACAATACTGATGATAGTTCATTACTGGTTTTATAAATGATAGCATTTTGGAAAGTTTGAATTTTGTTAACAGTTGATTTCTTAGAATTACTCTAGATTTAAAGGTTGTAAAACCAACAAATGGGTTTAAAGATTTATAGGTGTATTAGACTTTTATATTAACTCGGTGTGTTTTTAGTTGAAATTATTTATTTTAATCATACACAGTGATGTGTGATATGTTTATAAGAAGTATTCTATATTTAACTTAATGTATCATAGCTAGAATCACTTAATTATAAAAATCAATTCATTTTATAGCTAATTGATGAAATTGTAACATATAGCTAACTAATGCAAGTATTTAAAAATTTTAAATATTTTTTTATATTTTGATTGTTAAAATATTTTAAGCAGTAAACTTAAAATAATATAATCTTAAATAGTTAAATTTAACATATTTAACAATGATTATTTACCTTAAATATTGTGGTAATAACATAATATGATTTAATTTAAGCAGTAATTATTAATTATTTGATAATGAACTTACGGATGATTATATTGCTTTTATGTTGATTGTTAATATATTTTTAAGTAGCATACATATCTAATTAGTGGAATAAAGTTAGTTGTAGTAAAATTGCAAACATAAATATTTTTAAAATACCACTTAATAATAGCATACAATTAATTTGTGTTTCTTAATATATATATATATATATAACTATAACTACATATCGTTAACCATTTAGTTATATAATAATATAATTTGTTAATACAATAATTTATTTTTTTTATTAATTATCATTAATATTAATTATCAGTGAAATGGTAGTAACACGCGTATAATGATTGTAATATGCTTAATAATTAAATTCTATTGTTATATAGTTTTAATATTGTTATATTAATGCAACATAGAGAAGTATAAAAAGATAGTAGAAAGAAAAAAAATTTAAATTTATTATAAAAATAATTATTTATATGAAATTCAAAGATTAGAGAGTTATAAATCGTAATAATTATAAATATATTTATGAAAAAAAAATGTACCGAAATAATTTAACTCACAGTTACTAGTTTAATGTAGAAGTTTGATTCAAGCTATTTCATTAATATTTATAAATGCACATATTTGCGTGGAAGTATCTATATCTGATTAAAGCTAAATGACGTTATTAAATTTAGAATTGGGGGCAAAAGTGTATGTTAGTGTACGTAAATATGATGCATAATCATTTTATAACAAGTTTCTTATTTTTGTTTTGGTTTAAAATACATAGTACATTTTATAAATATACATCTTAATAGTATTGTTATTCGAAGTTTATATCATTTACATATTATTATAACAAATAGTACCTATATTTAGTTTATATGTCATACGCATTATACATACAGAGCGATTCATTTTTAATAAGGTACTTAAATCTAAATTAAAAACAATTATGATCATTTTAATATTTCTTGAAAATTAAATATTCTATAATAAGATAGTTGTATTTTAAAATAAAAAATAAATATGTATCATATATTACTTAAATAATTTAATTAAGGTATTTTAATTGCAAGAATAAAGGCATTTAAATTATTACATTTTTCTAATTTTCGGTGTAAGAGTTTAAACCAGTTAATTTAATAATGCAGTTCATTTTTTTAACATTTGAATATATTGCAATACATTTTGATAAATTTACTAACACTTTCAAATTGTGAAACAATATTTTTTTCTAGCTTTTGAATCTATGGTTATTTAATTCGTATGTAACTAAGTATTTATTATACATACATACATATATATATATATATAGGACCAAAATATAATTTTAATTATATATCTTATAATTTTAATTCCATCAAATTTATAGGCTAGGTTAGTGTTATTTTTGTTATCAAGAAAAAAATTACTTATATCATAAATTACCTATATTTTTTAAAACCAATTGAGTTAGTTAAGTCAATTTTTATTTAATCGTTCAACTATTGTTTATTTTATACATTTTGTATAAGTAAAAGTTAATTAAATGCTGACATTTTAGTTGTATGAAAAATATTGTTTGCTCTAATTATTTATGTTATTAAAAAATAAATTAATGCTATCACAATACTGGTTTTAGGTTCATTGACCTGCATTTTTGTTAGCTGCAATAAATTAATGCATATAAATAATGTTATCTGAATTAGATTTCTACTTAGATTTGCACGTTTATCAATTAATTGTATTTATCTTATGTATTTAGTATTTATTCTTATGTACCTACATTATTTACGTCTAATATTTCTTTTCAAACCATATTCAATATTTTGACATTCGTTCATAATCCACCGAACAAGCATTTCATTCAAAACACTTCTGACCATTATTTATGTATTTCTCTGGGTTCTATACAAATAAGGTTAGTATAAAAATTCGCATAAACATGATTTATGTATGTTTAATTTATTTGATATTGTTCTTATAAAATATATCTGTTCTCAAATTCAAAAAAAATAAAAATGTTAAATTTCAAATTATAAATCGTTTATAAAGGTATTTAAAGATATTCCAGCCGTTCCAGGGTTATGTTAAGCTGTTATCTACTATTAATTGGCAATTAAAATTAAATTTTATATTTATTCAGAAGTTTTTAATCAGTAATTTAATTTTGAAAAATAAAGTGTTTTTTCCGCTATAATCGTTTTTTAATTTTATGTTGTTCACAATTTCAAGGAAAATAAGTGGGTATGATACCATGCAATCAAAAAGTGTTTGCAAAATCATTCAAACCTTTTGCTCTATTTAGGTCATCAAAATACTTTATTCGAATACAATACAATTACATTACACAATATAGATAATTTATATTATTATAGTTATAACTAATGTCCGCAATACGTTCTGTTTATACCTCCTATATGATTTGATAATCAATCGTAACATTCAAATTACCTTTATACAGTTCCACGTTTAAAACAAAATATCATAATAAAAATGTACACATACGTTTTCAATTTTAACGACGGTATGATTTGTGATTTCATCAGTACGCTGTTTTTATCCTATAGAGGTGCAATTTTTTCGTATTTCACACTCTGCAGGTGCCCATCAATAAAATCGGCGAAAGCCTACGACTTAAAACCTGCACAGATTCTAAACATAAAATATATATTGTGTCCAGACACCTAATCGAAATCGTAATGACCGTAAATCGATATCTGCAGTGACACAATAATAGCGTCGGACCGTTTAGACGCGACGACGAATCGCGTGCGTGTGCGTACTGTGTACATATTGTCGCTGTGTGTGTAGGTACCTACAGGATGAAAACGTCACTGCAGTTGCTGGCGTTGCTAGCCGCGCAATCGTGTCCCGGGACCTCTGGCGCGCGGATACTGGCGGTCGAACCCCACGGCAGCAAGAGCCACTGGCAGTACATGAAGTCCATCCTGGACCTGCTGACCGCCCGGCACCAGGTGACGGTCATCACGCCGCTGCCGGCCGGCGACCGGGAGAACTACACGGAAATCGACGCGTCGCAGGTGTTCCCCGTCTACCCGGTGACGGACGCGGTGCACATGGTGGAGCGGTTCGGGTCGGTGGTGGACATGCTGCCGCCGGTGCCGGAGCGCAGCCTGGAGCGCGACATGTGCGACGCGTTCTACGACTTCGGCCCGGTCAGGGACCTGTTGCGCCGCGGCCCGGGCGGCCGCCCGTACGACGTGGTCCTGCTGGAGCCGCTCTGCTCGCCGTGCCTGTCCTATCTGGCGCACAGGCTGCGCGTGCCCGAGGTGTACGCCATCCCGTCGGCCATGATCACGCCCATGGAGCGGCCGATATTCGGCACCGAGCCCAGCCCGTCGTACGTGCCCAACCTGCTGTACAACGGCGCGTCCATGGACGGTTTCGCGCAGCGGTTGGCCAACGTGGCGCTGTTCGCGTACGTCAAGATCGTGCCGTGGCTGACCAACGTCCGCATGGCGTACCGCGAACCGAGGCGGTACGACGCGGCCGCGGTCCGGCACAAGCCGTCGTTGGTGTTCATCAACACGCATTTCATCACCGAATCGCCGCGGCCGTTTCCGGTCAACATGATACAGATCGGCGGCATCCACCTGCGACCTCCCGGAGCGTTGCCGGACGTGAGTAACGTCTATAATACGTGTATATAATATTACATTATATCCTCGGCAAGGCTGTATCCGGAAATTTTTTTTCGGAGGGGGTCCAAAACCTGTATAATTTATAATATTATCGTAAGTAAATATATATTAATTACTGAATTTATAGGTTTTGACGTTTGGTCGAAAATAAAGTATACGAATTAAAACGATGTTAAAAAAATCATTAACGTATAACAATACACATAGGTAATATTTGAAATAATATACTCGTACCTATAACGCACCAGCTCTGAAAGTTTAGTTGTAATTTAATAGTACATTTTTGTTATCCCGTTTACTCGTTATGACGAAATTAATAAAACAAGGATCACTTGTGGACCCCCTCTCAGACACGGCCTTTTATACTAGCACTGTGTACGCATGCTTTCACAGTTCAAATCGTATATTGCCGCGGATTGCGGATGGCGTTCTGTTTTTACGGTTATACGCGTGCATGACATATGTGTCTTTTTTTGTGACGTCCTGTAAAGCGCGCGTCATAAAGAAATCGTGATAAATTGACAATTGCATTTGACACGCGGCTCAATTAAGTTTGATGAGATTTGGGAACGTCATATGGTATCTGATGCTATATTTGTATAAACACGTGCTAAGTCATCAGTCGTGACACCAGTGATCCAACAACGGGGAGGGGTCAGGACCCCTCTCTTTTGAACCGTGTCGTATCTTTCTGAAATACCGTAATTTTATTGTTCTTACAACAGTATACACACTATACAAACATTTATTTTATACATTTAATTATCGTTCAATTTCACCATATAATTACAATATTAACATTAATCAAACATTAAAATAATAATTACATTTACTTGCTACTTTAAAATAATTATACTTTTCAGCTTCCCTTTAAAAAAATCTTGGTTGCCCCACTGGTCGTGACAAATAGTATTGGATATGTATGGCGTACAATGTTCAAATGAAAATGTTTACAACGATAAAACAATAGTCATGAATGACTCATGATTAACGATATCAAACTTAATGAACATTAAAATGAACGTGACCCATTTCGCCCAAATTTTGTAATTGTAAGATTTCCGTGGGCAGGACCCGTTTGGACTAATTTTTCTAAAACACAGCTCGTTTGGACCAATTTTAAAGACCCGTTTGGACTAAAAAATATTACTTTTATACAACTCGTTTGGACCAGCATTTTCCTTCCCATTTTATTTTTAACAGGCTTAGGACTGTCTTTGGCATGGTTAAAAATGCTGTTTCTTATTTTTATTTTTATTATTGTTTTTTTTTTTTATAATAATATCAAATATGTATGATTACTTCGTTTTAAAGATAAAAATATTAAAAAATAAATAGGTACATTAGGTACAATATAAAATTTGTCAAATTATTATTTTTTTAAATACGAGTGGACTAAATTACGAAAATATATTTTTTATGAACTATTTAAATTTTAAATTCGAGCTGCTTGAAACATTTGTCCAATAATCTTCAAATACGTCAATTGAGATATCTCACTATTTTTATATTGTGCCCATCGTGCATGTAGTATGTTGTGTTTTTTAAGTGTATCATTTCTTTGAACATTCATTTTATTATTTGAAATTGATGATATTTTCAGCATAGTTTGAACTTGGAAATCTTTAAGAACGTCAATTACTTGGAAAATGTTTGGATGGGGTGTATAAAATTGTGAATTATAATGAGAGTGAAACGATTCAGGACCATTTGTTGTACGTGGTGAATCGGAAGGTTCTACTGCCCAAATAGAAGGATTAAAATCTGCATCTTCTGATACGTAATAATTTAAAACATAGTCAGCAAAGTGAGTAACGTGTTCGATATTGGGAGCAATAGACATCAATTGAGCATACCCATCTCCAACTTCAGATGGTGGTAAAAAAGCTAACCTATAAAAATATCTCAACCAATTTCCAACTTCTGAGTTTTCTTCTTTGTATTTACTATGTAAATAATAATGTTTTTGAATTTTGCGATAAAAACTTTGGCTTAAATGAAAAAAGCAGCACACAATTTTACAATTAGGAAATGTATTTAAAACAGCACAATGTGCAGGTTTTTCGAAATCTGCATGGAAATTTTTCATATCTAGTTTTTTGCCAGTTAAATGTTTACATAATAATTTTATTTCATTCCACATATATTGGTACATTTCCAAGTTTTTGAATGGGAGTAAACAATAAATTACAGGAATGTAAAATTTATTTACATACACATGAATTGTATACAGCTGGAAAAAAAATTTAGGTGCATAACGAAAAGTACCATCTCCAAAAACATGTGTGCTATCACACAAAAGATTTAGATTTGCTTTGCAGGTGAATAAAATTAAATTTTTATCCGAAGAAATATGACAAAATTTTTCATCGTTAAATTTTGTTATATTGTCTCCTTCTGCCGAAAGTATATCAATTGTATCTTCTAATGTTTGTGGTAACGTCGGAAATAATTTTTTACGGGCACAATATAATGATTTACGCACTAACCTTAAATTAGAATATTCAATATCTGTATCAAATCCACTTTGACGTATTTCTTTTAAAATAATTTTGTTTGGTTTGGTATGCAGGTCTTCTGTCCCCTTTCTTTTTACAGCTGTTCTAATGATGTCCAATTTGATCGAATTATCTTTTAGAGGAGGATGATTGTGAGGAAAATTTTTGGTTTCAATTATTTCATTTAGCTTATCATTAACGATAATAGTCACGTTGCACGAACGATTTGTACACCGAAAACGAATATTACTATTCATTAAAATATTACATTTACTGAGTTTAAAATTATCAACAGTTATACACGTATTACCTCGTTTTGTTTGAAAAACATTTTCGATTTGGATATCCATTTTAACTACAGTACTACACGAATATTAAGAGTGCACTAACCAAAATTGAAAATACTAATACTAACTTAGTATGGTATAAGCTATAGAAACAGAGCCTCGATGTCACCATTGTGCATACGTAGAACATAGTGTTTTAAATTTTTGATAATAATGTATAGCCGAATAACCGCAATATTGCCAATTAGTATTATCGCACTGGCCGATAAGACCGTTTTGTAATAGATATCTATTATATATTTGTATATATATTGTATATTTGTATTATACGTATGTATAATATAACTGTGGGTTTTTGGTCAGTTATCAATTATAAATAATTTTGTTCTGTACATAATCTAGAAATTACAAATTAGTTTACACAGTTTAACTGAACATATTATTACTCCGATGATGGCGTGTTTTAATCACCGATACGGTGCGTATGAACTTAACCATTGTAAAATAAAAGCGCAAGCGTACGATACGCGTCCATGTGAAACGAGCATAATCGGGCTTTCTAGTAATTAATTAGAAGTCTTTATCTTAAATTTACTAAAAAAAAAATTGGCCCAAGTGGGTTCACAAAATCCTGGTCCAAACGGGTTGCATTTTTATTAGTGACCTAAACGTCCCTGGCCCAAACGTGCCTCGCCCGATTTCCGTATTATAAATTGTATAAATAATATGGCCGTTTTTTTTAAAAAGTAAACGAGATTTTATGTCAGAATGCCCTATTGATGATAAAGTTATTAAATATTGTGATTATTTAATAAACAATCATATTTCTGACTTTCTGAGGATAGTACATTTAATCCTAGTCTATGGGGATATAATACAGCGAGTATACTGCTTACGACGAATACGTGTGAGTCTCCTCGGGATGTTATCTGGGTAACGCTAAATGATACTTAAATATAATGTAAAATACTTGACTGAACCATTATTGCCAATTTAATTTTTAATTGGTATAAACTAATCTGGACGAAACGGGAATCTTACAATTACAAAATTTGGGCGAAACGGGTACGGTTATTTTTGGGCGAAATAGGTCCCATCCATTGGCGACGATGCGGAAGTAATGCGAAAGCAGTCCCCACAGCGTCGTCGATTAAAACCGAAAAAAAGATCCCGCCCATTAAAATGCATATTGAATGCGTTTTTTTTTTAAATTTAAATTTAAAAACCACTTGCTAACGGTACGTCGCGCATGACACATTTAATTGTGGTGCTCTGTCTTACTATAAACTTAAGGTCTTTAATTTTTAACGGAATTATATAAATTTTATACCAATCGATGCAATTTTCAATTTCCATCAACTCAGTTCTACAATTAATTACTGCATTCAACCAACCACTTCAAAAATACGAGAAAGCAACAAATCGTAAATATTAAATATAAAATTATAAATTATAATAATTACCTAATTACCGGAATCCTTGGCGCCGTAAATATAGTGACTTTAGGACTCTGATAAGAAAGCGTCATTATGTCAACCCACCAAAAAGTTTCTTCAATTAAAATCAAAAATAACCAAATCGTTAAAACAACAAACAAACGACCACTATCTACTTCGTCTACACCTCCGGACTCTCCAACAACAATTAACATAAATAAGTCTACACAATTTATCACACTTAATCGTTATTCTATTCTCGCCACAACTGAAAATGAACCGGCCGCCTTTGATAATCACGTTATCGAAAATGTAGCAACAACTTCCTATCAGGATAAAATAGATACTTCTACATATACACTAAAGAACAATGAACAATATGCTACCTTCCGTTTTCAAAACCTACATAAACAAACCTGTGGAATTCTATATCCTTAAACAATTCTAATATAAATATAGTTGCTGCATACTGTCCACCTCAACATAATATAACTCAAAATTAATTAGAGCAATTTATAAACGCCTTTAGCCCAAAATATATCATTGGTGGTTACATAAACACCAAAAATACTCAATGGGTTTGTCGCGCTTCTAACCCTCGAGGGAACATCTCAACTCACTAGCTCACTCTATAGACTGCTAAATCTATGCCCTTCCTTCTCCTACATATTGTCCTATCTCTCTTAAAACAAATTTTTCTCTGCACATCAGATCCTTAATTACTGAAAAACGACGTACCCAAACTATATGGCAAACAACGAGATATCCATCATATAAAAGCCATTACAACAATTTATTAAATAAACTGAAAAAACTCCTGGCCAAAATCAGATCAAAAAAATTTGCACAACACGCCTCGCAGCCCTGTTCTCTTAAGACAATTCGGTATGGATAAACACTAAGAAAATCCTCCAAACTCAACTTCCAGTTTTTTCGTCAAGGAAACCAGACGGCTTCTGGGCTATCAAAGACACAGAAAAAGTTAATTTATATTCTCAGCATCTCTCACAGGTCTTTCAATCCCATTATAACACACTGCAACCAAAATTCGAGAAATAAAAAATTCATTAATATCTCCACTTTCTATGATTCTACCGCCCAAGCACATCCGTCCAAGTGAAGTCCAAAAAATTCACAATACATAAAACTTCTCATCACTGCCGAAGTTACTTCCCAGCTACCCAAAAAGACTCTTCTTCTTCTAACACACATATTCAACTCTATGATAAGAACTACATACTTTCCCACCCATTGGAAATTCTCCATTATTATCATGATTTTCAAATCTGGGAAACCTTCAGATTCCTCAAACTCCTATAGACCCATCAGACTCTTACCATTTCTCTCCGAAATTTTTTAAAACTTATTCTCAAACGCATACTAGTATATTACCGATAATAGAATCTTAACTACCACATCACCAATTCAATTAATAGTTTCGTAGTATATTATTGATATTATTTCTTATTGCAGTGTCAATGTACATGCATAAGTAATTTATGATAAATATATTCTTAATGGTACTAATTTAACCTTTAAGTTATGTATACGTAAAATCGGCCAATTATATATTGTTAAAACAGGATTGTATTTTTTTCTCTATTTATTAGAGCTCACAACCAAGTTTCTAACCCTGTGTGGCTGTGCCTTGAGCACCAAAGGTCCATTCAATCTTGTCTGACACGTAAAACTGTATTCTCAAGTATCTTTCTTTTGAACAATTCATTTTTATTTTTCAATACTTACATTAATAGGATTAGTTGTAGATTTAGCCTCCCCTATAGACTCTAAGATTAAAATAATACGCTATAACACGAAAGTAAATACCAGTAAAATGTGTTTAACTAAATCTTGTCGTCTATAATAAGTAATAACGTAAAACTATTGTATAAGTTTAAAGGATTTCCAAAAACAACATAGAAAGTATATTTTTTTTTAACAAAAAACAGTGTGAAGTAAAGTATGGATTCAATGCCACATTTTTATTATACGAGGTAATAGTATTTATTAAATGTATATAAGTTTTCAGCGTATATGTGCATATTTATTGTTTGGTTACGTTTTTTAAAATTCATTTTTTTAAAATATTTTTCGATATTTCAATAGTATAGACAAACTGTTGGATTACTGTTAGTTATTGATAAAAAAAAACTTAAAAAATCGTTCATATAACGTAGTATAAATCACATTACACTGATTTTATGCTATGCAATATGCATATATGATTTTGAAAAAATACAATGCTGCTATTTATTAGTTTTTTTAATTATTTAATTTTTATATTACAGGATATATTAGAATTTATAGAAAATTCACCACATGGAGTAATATACTTTACATTTGGATCCGTGTCGTCTATGTCAACTTTGCCAAAGCACATTAAACAAACATTCATTGAAGCATTTGCACAAGTTCCTCAAAGGGTATTGTGGAAGTATGACGGTGAAATAAACGGATTACCTAAAAATATAATGACAAGAAAATGGTTCCTACAGCGAGATATTCTTCGCAAGTTTCTAAAATATTAATTCATTTTTTAAAACAAATTTTAATTATCATAATTACATTTTAGTTCATCCAAATATAAAGTTATTTATAAGCCATGGTGGAATATCAGGAGTGTACGAAGCCGTAGACGCTGGAGTTCCGGTTCTTGGGTTCCCTCTTTATTATGACCAACCAAGAAATGTGGCTAATTTAGTGAAAGAAGGAATGGCGTTATCAATGGACTTATTAACTGTTAATAAAATTACGTTTTTGGAAAAAATTAACGAGCTAATCAATGATAAAAAGTACGTGCATTTATAAATTAAATAAAACGAATTCCCCTTTGATCTGTACACTATCACTCTAATTACCTACCTACTTAGTTCTATAAGTGACTTATAGTTAAATATTTAATATATATATATTGCTTATATTTTTTTTTCTATAAATGGTTTTACAATAATGAATGTTATATAATAATATTCAGGCGTCCATTCCAATTACCAATAATAAATCCATAACAGATTGTTTTATTTTACCCACTTTAAAATAATAAATAAACATACAGCTTATATTTATTTTAATTTTAATATAAAATAATTTTACTGTTTACAGTTCAAAATGTAGAACATATAGAAAAAACACTGAATGTGTTTATTTAATCAATAAGTACTTAAACTACTTGTTTATTTTATTGACAATGGATATCACCAATACATAAATCATATAATCCAATATTCCAATGAACTAGCTATTATTAAGTTATTTGTTAAAAATTTCAAATGTAAATATTAACCACTATAATTCTGATTGTTTATGGATTACATAAATCATTTTCTTATGATTAAAATATTACTATATGACGTAATATTTCTTAAATGTACCTAAATTAACTATTTCAGTCGTGAATCTTATTTTTAAATATTTTATTTATATGTAGGTAAATACAATTAAATCCCTATTAAATTAATAGTATACACAAATAATTTATAGTTAAATTTTGAATAAGTACCAAGTACCTAGTTTCTAAAAATAACGACACACATTTTTTTTCTGAAAATCTTTATTAACTTAAAGACTATTTATTTAGATTTCAATATTTGATTGAGTATTTAACTTTTATGACCATTTATTATCCTAAGTTGTTTAATAAACAATGATCACAGCTATGATAACATTTCATTTTTATATTTGCACTTAAAATCTTATACCTAATGAATATTTAGTTCATATTTTGTTTGTTATTGGTAAAATTTATATTTTTGAATTTAACTATTTTAAAAACAAAAAATTAATATACTGTTTTTACTTTATAGTTATTCTCACCGAGCAAAAGTTGTTTCAAAACGCTTCAAAGATCGTCCAATTTCGCCATCAGAAATGGTCAATTACTGGTTCGATTATGTTTTACGTCATAACGGAGCTTACCATTTAAATTCTAAAGCTCTTAAATTAACTTGGTACCAATACTTGCTATTAGATATAATCACTGTTGTAGTTACATTACTTATTGTTTTTGCATACTTAACGTATATCCTCTTCCATTGGTTTCAAAACTATACATTAAATTTTCAAGAATTTCACAAAAAATTAATTATTATTAAGAAACAGGTAATTGATAATCATAATATATTAAGAAATAATTAATTAGTGGCTTATAAGTTATAGTTTAAATTGTATTCATACATGTGTAATTTTCCTTGTTTCTTCATTTTATAAACATTCCGAAAATGATGAACATGTAATACGTAAATGGTCTAAAATATATATTTATGTATGTTAGGTTTTATATTTTGGAAAGTTTTGTATGTAAATGACTTTTTTTTAAATATTACGTATTTTTTTTCATAAATTTTATTACTCACAAAGAAGCTATGTACATAAAAGTATACTATGTAGACATTAAATCATATAAACATTTTAATTCACCGAAACAGTTTTAATATACAAGAATAATAAGTGCTTATTAAATGTAAATAGTACCTATAATCAAAACAATAATAGTATCTAATTATTAATAAGTTATACATAATATAATATTGTTGAATTAAAATTTAAAACATTGTAATTTTTTAGTAATTTAAAGTTATTTATGTTGATTTTCTGTTATAATATAACTTATAAAAATAAATATTATGTTTTTAATAATAAAATGTTAGGGTTTAAAATTACCTATAAGATTTTATTAAATACTTGTGTATATATTTCCTTTTAGAGTTAATGGCTGATTATATGGGTACTTGTCATAAATTACTCTTAAAGTACTACCCAATAATTTTACATTTAAGGTTAGATTATGTTTGTATATAGGTTCCTATTACAGTAATTTATATTATATAGTTTTCTCATTTTATGTTAAACAACTAAAAAAAAATATTTCACCATCTCATTTTTTTTTATACCAAAACTTTTATCTTTTAAGCACTAATTGTCAATTTATTTTTAATTTTTATAAAATTTGTATTCTAATACCTTATTAATATGAAAGTAATGTAATATATTTGTATAGTTTAGTAAGAGTGCCTAATTCAAATGATGTTCAATTGTTATATACATATATATTTATTACATGTACATAACATATATATGTATAAGTTTATTACAGATAGAAATAATTTTGTTTTATAGGTTATATTGTATACTTATTATACAGAACGATTCTTTTATCAAACAACACTCATTTTTATAAAATCTATTGATGTTGTTGAAAATATTTTTTTTATATAAATTTCAGTCAAAATAAAATATTTTTTTATATTCTTTATCATTACAATTTTTAATATTTTTATTTTTCTTAAAGAAAATATACATTTTTGATTTTGTATTCTGAAACAGAATATTTTTTGGAGTATTTTGATACATAAAAATCGAAATTCGGATGAATAGTCAATAAGTTATAAGTATTAAAAGTTTAGTTACATGTGGTGGAGGGGTAGGGGATTGGGGATATCCTTTAAAATGTTGGTCTACTTCTCTATTCATCTAAACTTAAAATGCTCCAAATTTCGATTTTTATGCATCGAATTACACCGAAAAATATTTTGCTTAAGAAAATGAAATTAAAAATGTATATAGTCATTCAAAAAATTAAAACGATAAAAAAACATTACTTTTTAAATATTGTTTTATTTTGATTGGAAAATAAGTAAAAAATTTTTTTCAAAAACTAATAGATTCAGTATAGTTATAATTTATAATTGTAAAATAGGTATATAATAAAAATATGATATATACGATATAATTACTCTACAGCATACTTAATAATTAAACATTTAAAAAAATAATTAGTAACAAATTACGTATTTTCATTGGCCCATGATATTTGCAGCTATTTGAAAATTCCACTTTCCATATAATTTAAGGATCTTTAAGACTTAATGATTATAAGATCTTACGTTTTAGTGATAGCTCGAAATAGACACCTGAATTTAACTTTGGTGAATGCCAACTGCATCATACATACTGATTAGTAATTAATAATTATTAAAATATAATACTAGTATTTACCATTCAATTTACATATATTTAAGCTACAATTTTATTATGATATGACATTTATTAATTGCGAGTAGAATTATTATCGTTTCGTAAACAAATGGAATATATTAGTAGGTACTTGAAAACATTCCATGGCATTTTATTTTCCATTGGGACTTGTTTACAATATATTATCTAATTCAATCAATTTTTAAAACGTATCATTCATTCTCCTAGCCAAAAAAAAATATTGTTTATTAAAATTATCTTTTAATCCTTTAAAAATAAAACATTTAATACATTACTAAAACGATTTAAGTGTTATGTAGATGATACATGAAGAGGTTTGCGTGACCTAACTCAAACAATAGTTTAACAACATCACGTAATAACTTTGTGTTCGTATCGTAGCTATAGAATAAAAATACTCTCCATATTATGGATAATAACATAATATAACAGCCAACTCCATAATTTTAAATCAACAGTTGATTCTGAATTTCAATTAACATTTATGTAAAACTAGATAAATTAAAACAAAAATTAAATTATGAAATAAGTTTTTTGAGTATATTTTTATTTCAATACCTACTATATACCAACAAAAAACAACTCTAGATCTATTTTAAAATTTAAGAGTGTGTGGTTATAATAAATTGGTGATTAATTTTAGTCTAATAAACCTGTAATTCGATTATAAGTAACTTATTGGCACAACTACGATCAACATATTATTACATATAATAGGTGCTTAAACCTTGGACATATTAAAATTTGGAAAACCACTATAATTTGGACTTGATTTGTTTAAAACATTGATTTGAAGCTATAAAAATATTTACATACAGTTACTATATGAATATTGTATTAGATTAACTCTGATTAAACACACTGAATAAGAGATCACACAATAGGTAGACACTCTAAATATTTAAAGTGATGAGTGGTAACTAGTAGTTAAATAGTTTAATTTAATTTAATATTAAATATTTTTTTACTGTGCTTAAAACTAAATATTATAACCTAATTGCATTTCATTGTTTTGAAATAAGTGTTATTATAATACATTTATATTTCATAAACGATAACCACTGGTAAATTACATGTTTATTTATACAATAAAATTCATAATAAAAAATAAATGCCATAGGTAGCTGCTATTTATACATAAATAGATAATTTGTATGGTTTTTATCGATATTATTGTTAATTTTAGTTGTATTTGATACTTGAACATTTATAATCGATCTACATTTTTTTCGATATTAGACTTTCTACAAATGTCTGTTAATGACGCAGACATTGGTCCAGAAAATTGAACCCGTTTCTGATCGATATCGCCGATATCCGTGATTAGCTGACATATAAATATATAAAATTTTAATTTATAGAATAGTAAATTTCTCACGTAAGTATAATACATTATATATTTATATAACAATAATGTATAATATTTTGCAATTGTTTAATTTAAGAAATACCACTAGTCTGGACAAGAAAATCTTTTTGAATAATACTGACATAGAATACGTTAAATCTAATTTGCAGTAATAGTAACATTTTTGTAATCATACCTTTAGAAAACTTCAAAATACAAAAAAGCATAAGTTAAGAAAAATGTATACTCATGAATAGAATTAGATAGATAGCAACATATTATATCAGAAAATAAATTATAAGATATATTTTACTCATATAATTTACTATTCTGTAGGAATTATAAAATCGATTTTATATGCTAATAATATAATTACGTTTTTGATATGATATGGTGAAGAACTTTAGAATGGTATCATGCAGTATGCGTAATACACATAATATATTATAATAATACAAACAACCGTCAGCCAAAATAATTCATGGCATCATCAAAAGTCATCGCTTGGCAATAAAAAAATAACATTAAGCCTGAAAAATTCGACGTTTAACCGACAAAAACGAACAAGTGAAAATCGAATACTTACGTGTATATGTTTACAAAAAACTACGGTCGATGGAAAAAGTTATCGGCTGCCGTAAAAATTTTAACCAAAGTTCACTTACAAAATTCCTCGCGCCGACTGCAAAAGTCAATAAGTAAATCGACGCGTGGATCCAAGAAATCGTCAAAAATCCATGAAGCCACTGCAACTGACTGTACCTTTCTTCGATTACTTCGCAAATGACGGGGAAGATAGACTATGATTAATTTTAATAAATTCATTAAGTCTGGTACTTATTTGGGCGCAGAATTAAAGTAGGTCACGACACCATGTTCGTTTTAGTCTGCAATGGAGATTAATATATGCTAGGTGCTAGGTATATTATATTACATTATAATTAAATGTATTGTGTTGGATAACCATAATTTAATTATTATAATAATCAATGTTTAGAAATTGATTAAATCATGACCCAACTATCCGAATGACGATTAGAGATATAAATATTATATATTTCCCATTTGGCTAGAAGCCTCCAAAATGAAAAATACCCAAGGACCCCCCGTGATTGCCGGTCGTCGGGTACCCCGGGTATGCAAGTCCGACATTGCAGGTTATTTACTTATTTATAAACTTATTATTTGAAAATCACATTCATACGATTACGTAGACGCCTCGTAGGATTATTTTAATTTATGCAGTCATGCATTGTAAGTAATATTGCCTATTATAAAATTGCGTGCCAAATATAGATAAACGGTTGGTAAACTATGCATAGTACACTATACGCACAATATTTATTATATTATTATTATTATTATTATAATACCACGAATGTATTTACGCAATCGTACGCGTTTTTTTTTCGTCTAATACGCTTTTATTAATTATAATAATATAATAGTAGGTATGTTAACTTACACGTGACAGGCGGCATCAACGGGCGTTGCGCCGGATTTATCGTTTGCAAACAATATGCCAACGCATTATATTAATAAATAATATGTATATACCCCGGACGAGTATGTTAGACGCGTGTTTGTGAACAGTGTTTAAAAATATTTCATCACAAATAATAATTATTAGTACTACGTCACTATTATTAATCCTTATAATATAGAAAATTTTAATTGAATCCTAACAAATATGTAATGCTATTTGAAAAGTATATGACTTTAAAGTAATTGAACGATTTGAACGTAAAAGCAATTTAAACTTCAATTTATCTAGGTTCATAGTTTTTACATTTTTTTCCCCCCAAATTCTAACAGCTATTAGTAATTCTATAATGCATAGCTTTAATAAAAATATTAATTTAAACAATAATATAATATCTTACAATTCAATACAACTTTATTGTTTTTGTGCTGTTTCACTATATAATTCATTGTGGGCCAATGTTAAATGGGTCACTGTATCTAATAAAAGTGTTAGAAATTGTTGTACACAAAAACGATTCTAAGCGGAATGGTCTGTAAGCCTATACCACTAATTATATTTCTTAGATAATACGTTGTTTTTGATATTAATTTCAAAGTAATCTATGTTACTTTTATTATTACGGAAGGCTGATTAAATTTTTGTTAAAAATATTGTATTTATTATATTACTAACCATTATAATAATAAATATAATTTATACCTCATCATATTATTGTTATTAACTTTCGATTTAATGCCACCTTACCTTACCGTAAACCAATGTGAATAAGTTCGTGGTATAAATACAAAATATTTTAAAATTAATCTACCTATTTTGAAAATGTCATGGTGTTAAATAAAATTCATGTTATTCATAAAAGATTTAAGTCCCCTCCCCCAATCCCATGAACAATGATTTTTAATCATAACAAAATTATAAACAACGTTAAAGTACATAATTTGAACTTCAAGCGTTTATAAAATATAATTATGGTTACAAAATTTTAAAGTTTTTTAACTCTATTATAAACTAGATATTTATGGGAATTATTGTATTGTATTTTCAAATCTTGCTATAAAAATTGAAAATTTTGTAATTTTTATAAAAATTTGAATATCATCGAATGCAAATAAAAAAAAAATTGTGCCTTACCTAATCATAATTTAGCGTAAAATTTCTTATTTTTCCTGATTATTAAGATAAGTAGCAAGTACTGGACATTTTTTTATTTAGAGAGCTTATTTATTTTTGAGCTCCCAAAACACCAAATAGATTCAATTCTCTAAAAATACAAAGTAAAATCAATACACTATTCATCAGTCCACCACTCCAAGTGTAAAAGAACAATGAGTAAACGAAACGCGTTTACACTATAATATTCACCCGTATGGACGATATTATTATAGTAGGTAGGTAACTTATTATTATTTTTCTATTTTCGCCCGGATATTTACGATTTGAATTTTTTGTTTTTCCGGAAGCACGCGTTTCCCGGCCTCGTAAAGTATTTCTACAGCACGAGAATCTTTGCGACTAAAAATTTTATTTTACATTTGTTGGGATAAATCGTCGCAGTTTTCGTTGGTTTTCTTTCGCCTGCAACCGAGAGACAACAATCGCGATAGTCTATAATCGTTTTCCGTTATTATAATAATATGCAGTACACCTATACCCGTGCACACGTATGTACAGTTATCTCGTTATGCATAGTAGGTGTACGAAGACTGCCGCAGTACGACGACGAACCGTACTGTTTCGTTGATATCATAACAATAACGTGCTGCGATGTGCGTACGTATATCGACTATCGAGTGTTCGTAATATTATTTGCGACCGATCTACGACATATAGGCAACGTTTCCATCCACCCCGCCGTATCGCGCGCCGTCACCACGATTCTCGCACGCTGTAGATTACGGAGCGATTAAAGGTTTCGAATTAGTCGCGGCGCACTCGCTCCGATCCGCGTCTATAAATCGGTCGGGCGGCACGCGGCCTGAACCAATCGCCGCGATGTCGCCGACCCGTCGTTGTTGTCGCGTCCTCGTCCTCGTCCTCGTCCTCGTCTTCGTCCACGGCCTCGGCGCCGCCACCGCGCGGACCGCCGCCGGCCGCCGCCTGACGCCGCCCGGTTTTCGGCCGGCCAACATACTGGCCGTGGAGACGGTGCCGGGCCGGAGCCACTGGAATTTCATGAGCGCCGTGCTCCGGGCGCTGACCGACCGCGGCCACTCGGTGGTGGCGTTCACGTCTTACCCGTCGCAGCTGCCGCCGTCCGCGCACGGCAACTACACGGAAGTGGACACGTCCGCCGTGCTGACCCGGCACGCCGGCGAACGGGCGTCCCGCGTGCTGTCCGACTACAGCCGGCTGTCGTACATCGTGCCGTCCGTGGTCCGGTGGAGCAGGCAGTTCTGCGACGCGGTGTACGACATGGAACAGGTCCGGGCGCTCATGGTCAACGGCACCGACACGGCGGCGCGGTTCGACCTGCTGGTCACCGAGCCGCTGGGCTCCGAGTGCGTGGCGCACCTGGCCGCCGCGGTCGGGCTGCCCATGGTGTACGTGGTGCCGACGCCCATGATCACGTACATGCAACCGTCCATCGTCGGCCACTCGGCCAACCCGGCGTACGTGCCGCACCTGTTGTACGGCTCGGCGGTCCGGGCGTTCCGGCACAGGTTGGCCAACACGGCCGTGTACGCTTACGGCCGGCTGGTCCGGTGGTACGCCGAGCTCACGGACCGCCGGCGGCCGTACGACGTCGGCCAGCCCGCCAAACCGTCAGTGGTGTTCGTCAACAGCCACCACGTCACCGAGCCCACAATGTTGCTCCCCCCCAACGTCATACACGTCGGCGGGATACACTTGGACCGGCCGGCCAGCGGCCAACTGCCGACCGTGAGTACCTACAGACGACACTCGATAGTGAAAAATAGGTTAATGGCCGAACGATTGAGTTCTAAAATTCGAAAATTACGTATACGATGCGCGTCGATGGATTACAACAATATAATGATATGACGTTATTACGCGACGTAATTATTATTATTTAGGAATAAAATGTATACATATGTAAATACGTATTTTTATTAATATATTATATGAGAATTAAAATTAAATAAAAAAATTTAGAAATTAAAAACACGAATTCCGTCGAATGATTTTATATTGATATTAATTTTACAAACGGGTTCTTGTATAAATGACTTACCGGAACTATAAAGTGCAATTCGAACACAACTATTTCGGTCCAGAGCGCAATTTGATAATAATAAGTGTAATTCGAACTTATCCCGATTATTTATAAACATTTATTTAGTTTTAACACGATAATAATAATAAAAAGTTTTATAGTCACCAATTTTATTTTATTTTTTTTAGCGTTGGGGAGATCTAAATTTTAGTCATGAAGTTCTAAATCCGTGTCCCCGTCCCTAGTTGTATCATTGGTGACTTTATTTTCTCCCCTTAAAACTAATCTGTTTTTTTTTTTTATTAAGCGCCACATTCCACGGGAAATGCACTTGTCCCAACAAATTTCAAATAGGATAATACTCTTTGTTCCGTTTTAATTTCATCATGTCTCCGTTTTATCAAGTATATAAATACGTCAAAACTCAAAAGATTAAAATTGTAGTAAATAAAAGTAAAAACAATATCTTTAAAGTTTTATAATTGGTCATTGAAACAAAAGTTAATATAAGCAATTGTTTTCATATGAAAAGCGTCGAGTGACGACGAACAATAATATTGTCATTTGTTAGTCAAAAACACTTGATAAAAATATTATGGTTTGCTGTACAGTATACCATAAATATTAACCCGCACGACCATCACCCTTTCCAACAACTCATTTCATCTATCAGACAAACAGTATCTCCAAAATATCATTTCTATAGTTCTAATTCGCACGTGATACTACGTATTACTGGTATTACTTAAGTCAAAAGCTTACAACAAGAATGTACACTAATACGGTACTACTCAAAGTTATAATCACTAGAATAATATTGTTCTATTTTTAAAATCTAGATTTACTCTTATCTAGTATATAACATGTAGACAATAATAATAGTCTTTTGTTTGAATGTTTAAGTACCGTCTATATGTACTAACGACCAACTTACTTACTATTATTTATAAATAGAATAAAACCACTTATGTATACAAACGTTCCCGCAATAATTTTATGATATATGTATTTAAGTATAACATATTATTATACATATATGATATAAATCATTTACCAATTCGTTTTATTCGTTAATAAATTATTAATTATTAATTACTACATAACGTCCAATAAACACAGTGTTTGTAAGTTTTTTAGATTTCAGAAATTTCAATTCAAAAATATTATCTAGGGACTTGAGACTTTTACCTAGGTATATTGCTATAATTTATTTGCATAATAACATTTTCAAACGCAACGTTTTGGTTGGAATTAATTCAATCTACTACATTACAAATATAATAATATATGTAAAAAAATATACTTAGAAATGTAGGTTGACGGACCGTTTTCGTTCAAAATCATTTTTCGCATTCAATGTACAGTGATTTACTAAAATAAATACATATTATGCATCAGAGATGTTACCTAGCTTATCAATTTTTTATGCTAATATATTTCTATTCAAATATTTAAATCAAATCAATAAATGTCTCGACCGATGAAAGACAAAACGTTAGAAAAATAACTTACACCTTGTCTTCACACAGTTAAATTATACTTGCATAATTTATAATAAAAGAATACATAAGCGCTCTTTTATCTCAATTTTGAAATTTATCATACATCGAAAAAAAATGATAATGAATTTTTAATTTCTCAGAATATCCAAGAATTTATTGACAATTCCCCGCATGGAGTTGTATATTTTACGTTCGGATCAGTCGTAGCCATGTCAAGTTTGCCTGATCATATTCAGAATACATTTAAAAACGTATTTCGACAAATTCCTCAAAGAGTTTTGTGGAAATTCGAAGGTGAAATGAAAGATAAACCGGACAACGTGATGACAGGCAACTGGTTTCCACAACGTGACGTTCTGTGTAAGTGTTTTTAAACTTATGGAGTTTTTACTTAGTTAAAGGATTTATTTAATGATTAACTTTTATAAGAATACGTCCTATTAATTTTGTAGTTATTAGATTTAAACGTTTATAGTTTATGCTATTGTGTAGTCTAACCTGTGAACAACTGTATATTATTATATTAAAATTATATCAGAGTATCAAAACGTAGGTAATATTACCATATTAATATAAATAACTGTATAAGTAGGTACGTAGGAAATTAAGTACTATTGTTTTAACAAACAATAATCATTGCTATTCTTTAACCACTTTTTTAATATAATAAAATTATGTCTAACTTGTCTAAGTTTATTTTATAGTAAAATAAATGTCTTGCAATAAGTAGGTATCTATTAGCAACTTGTATAATAATTATATTTTATTCGTAAATATTATAATTAATAATCTATGTGGTTACTTTATACTATTAGTACACCCAAACGTCAAATTGTTTATAAGTCATGGTGGAATATCTGGTGTGTACGAAGCAGTGGACGCGGGTGTTCCAGTTTTGGGCTTTCCGCTTTACTACGATCAACCGAGAAACTTACAAAGTCTAGTGAACGCGGGTATGGCAATCACAATGGAATTGTTATCGATCAATGAACAACAATTTCTACACGGCATCAAAGAACTTTTACACAATCCAAAGTATGAGAAATAAATTATAATAATGACGTTTTAAATTCTTATGGCCAAAACCTATCCTTTAGAATAGCGGTCGGGGTCTGGGTACGAGGACTCATGATTTTCCCTGAAATTTAAGGATTTGTGTTCCGAAAAATATAATAATGAAATTTGTTTAAAAAAATTATATCATTTCATAGTATTAGAAGTAGGTACTATTATGTTCTGTAAAGAAATAAAATTAGTATACACTATACATTATACATATATTTAGTATTGTAATACTTAATTTAATTATCTGGGTGTAACCATTGATTATAAATGATATTATTTAATATTTATATAATCGATGGTATAACTATCGCGGTCAAACATATGATATGGGACAAAATCGTAGAATAAATGAAAGGGCTACAATAAGATACTTTCGAAAAACCTATTAAACTTTTTTGTTCAATGTACCTTCTGCTCATAGGCTTAATTTTCATTTTAGATACATCATATAAAGTCATAAATAGTTTGCTATAACTTTTTTAATGTAGTTCAAAGATTACACTAGTTTATGTTTTTACCAAAAGATGGACAATTCCTCTGAAGTTTGTTATTTTTGAATCAATTCATAAAAATAATAAAACACTTAGGTAAAAGTAGAATATATTTTTGTCATATATAATTATTCACAATTATTTTTGGGCTAAACCTAGCAAATCTTAAAAATGGCTTCGCTAAAATCTCATAATATGTATAGGTGCATTACGTCTCAAATAATTGTATTCTTAAGTTATACGTTTCAAAAAATATTTAAACATTTTTAACGTGGGTTTTTTTGTTATCATTACTCTTTTACAGTTATACAAAAAATGCTAAAATCACAGCAGAACGATTCAAAGACCGTCCGATGACGCCTCAAGAATCGGTCGTCTATTGGATGGAATATGTGCTTCGTCACAAAGGTGCACACCATTTAAAATCTGAAGCCCTAAACCTTACGTGGTATCAATACATGTTATTGGATGTGATTTTGGTATTTGTCGTGTCGTTCCTGGTCATGATGTATTTGATTTACAAGACATTTAGATATTTTTATTCATTTGTCGCGAATCACTTGATTAGTGTCAAAGTTAAACAGCAGTAGGTGATAATGATATGTAATTAATTATAAATACATTCTTCAAAAAATGTAAACATGCCTATTTATAACTTGACTTATAGATGACTTATAGGTATAAATGTATAATAGCTGTCAAATCAATCGTTGATCTCTGTTTTACACTAATACACACGTTTATATATATATATACTATATAAATTATGTTATTAAGTAGTCATAGATAAATATTTCAATGACATATGCACTGCTTAGTGTACAGTGCCACTGTTCTTCGCACTTACTCTTCAGTCAGCATTATTATAATTTTAATATTATATATGTCTTGTTATAATTTTTTTTTTTTTTTTTTGTAATTATGAAGATTTTATTGTCATTTTATATTACTGTTATGATAATAACTATTTTTATATTTACTCGATAGTATAATAATTATTATAAATTGTATTATAAAAATAAAGACAATAATTTAACGTGTATATTTGTACTTATCTAAAACGTGTACTTTTAAAATTTTAAATATTGAGTATCTATTATGAATATTAATTGTTAGACTTTATTTAAACAAGTTAATTTTTCAGCAATTAATACGAATTACACTTTGCTCGTCACACACGTTATTACGCTTTTTTTAATTGTTGCGATCCTGTTCTCATTTCATTTCCGAGCGTGTCGTACTTTAGTACACAGTACGTTAAAAATCAGTATCGTCTACCTTATTTATTTACATAAATAATAAAACTGGAAGTGTGCCTAGTGCAGTCTTTTCAAAATGCAAATCAAATCGTTATGCGTTGAAATCAAGAATTTATCGTTTACTCAATAATCGTCACGCTATATATAGCTGTAACGAGCGTCGTTACTCGAAAATGTACCACTATCAGGGCCACGTTAACCCAGGTGCAAAAGGAGCATTTGCTTCAGGCGACAAATTTTGAAAGGCAGCAAAAGATTTAAACTACCTTGGTATCTGAAAAATAAAATGTAACAATGGTTTTTATAAATATTTTTTTAGTCTAATACCTAAGAAAATTTTTAAGATGGACAAAAAAGTGCTAAAACAAAACATTTTTAAAATTAAATATTATATAAAAATCGTCACTTGTACTTTTTTTCATTTAACATGCACTCATTCGCCCACAAAATAATAACAACTCGATTTTAGTATATTTTGCATATGTTCAGTTCATATACATTATAATATACTTTGTGTTGATAAATTTAACCACATGACCACATAAAAACTTTTCTTATAGCTTTTAAAAGTCCACTGTTATAATGATTAAAATACACGCTTCATATTCGTACATAAATTAATTAATGCAAAACTGTGTAATATTATATATGTTCTAAGACGTCTATACTTGCATAGACATCGTACCTATACTCGCGTTATCGACATTGATCACGCGTTCCTTTTAATACCTACCACGCTGGGTGCCGCCGCCGTGATCGACATGTCGTCTTCAAATGTTATATTATGTGTCTATAATGGTCTATTGGACACGTCTTTACGGGTATATTAGACACATCTTTACAGGTTTTAGACACGTTATTTGGACATATAAAATAATACCATCGATATCATCACGGATCAGTTTATATTGTTAAATGTTTAATTGCGCCTTTAACGAACAGGCGTTTTAATTTAAAAAATGAAAAGTAAAATAAATTCACATAAACCTATTCATTTAATTAGTACTAATTCCCATCAACTTGTTGGATGCAAATTACCATTAAGCAAACGAGTTCTATCGAATTGCGCACAGCGCTAATGCGTGAGGTATATACCTACGCGGTTTTAACCGAAAGGCGTTGATAGCCATGAATCCTCAATTCCTCATGCCTTACATTCTTGTTTTGAATTTATTTTATTTAAAACCAGGGCTTGCATTTGAAAAAAAAAATTGTTATACGTTATTTACAATTAAAACGTTATAAAAATTTTGAGTTTATCGTTATTCAGAATTTAAACGTTATTCGACTTTTGCGTTTATCGTTATTCAGAATTAAAATTTTTATTGTATTTTATAATTTATCAATTAAATATTTGAAATTACTATTATTTGTTTTTAATGATTTATTGCATATAACGTTTTGCGTTATGTTTGATTTGATGATATATCATACATTTTGTTAGTCGTTATGTTTTGTTTTGTGTTATTTAATTATTTATGTTTATCGTTTTCCGTCATAATTATGTTTACAAATATTTCAATCATTTTTTTTCAAATAAAATGTTATAATCATAACGTTATTATAACGTTTGCAAGCCCTGTTTAAAACTGATCCATTTATGAACTTAATGATTTCATAAATGTTGTTAAATTTTTTATTTACACATGCTGATCAATTTTTTTGATATTCAGCAGTTTAAATAGGAATATTATCAAACACCATATGAAACATGTGCAAACCAAACACGCAAACGCTTCAAAACATCTATAGTGATGGACCTATAGAACCAATGACTTCAATAGATTGTAATTAGATTGAAGGGTATGTAAAATTGAATAGGTTTAACAATTATAACTAAAAAAAATATGTTCCTTGACTGTAAATACATGATAGTATAATTATTTATAAATAATTTGAAAGTAATGTAAAAATTGATTTGGTTTTTTATTTTACTTAATTAAAATAAAACAATTTAAGATATCGATTTAAAAATGGTAAACAATAGACTAAACACAAATTATTTATTAGACGACATTTTTGTACGTTTTCTCATAATAGCTTTTTTCTTTTGTTGATCTCTCTTATATTTAGCCCTCACTTCTGTTTGGATGTCTTTCTTATGTTGCCTAACTCTCACTCTCATATCTTTTCTATCTTTTCGTTTCTTCTCCTTGTAAGTGGTTCGAATCATCTTCATTAAAGAAGCAACCTGTTCTTCATGACCATCTCTAACCACAGCCACACGTTGTTTTTTCAAGTCTAATTTAGCGGTTGCCAATGTCTTGGGTTTGTCTGCATACGGTAGCTGAGCTTGTAAATTCTTAGACAATTTGAGAGGCTTGAAATATTTCATACTCCTATGTATTGGCTATAAGAAATGTAAAAAAAATAGTTTTATAATAAATCATAATCATAAAAACTGTTAAAATTAAGAAAATAAAAAAAATACTTACAGTATACATTGAATCATTTTGAGGAAGTGCTTTAATGCCTTGTTCTCTTTTTAGTTGTCCTGTAGTCTTCATACCACGCCATGAGTTTTTTTCATTCAATGGCAACAACAACGATGTAACAGGATTATAAAGTTTTGGAACTTCAACATTATACCATGTACGACAAAACACGATATCTGGCAATATCAAAAAAAAAAAAAAAAGTGATAAGTAAATACAATTTAACAAATTTTACTGAATATCAATCAATAAATACCACTAATTTTAATTTTATCTTCAAAAGTTGCTCTGAATGAACCTTCTGGTTTTGGGCAAGCTTTTTTAATCTGACCTCGAACACCAGAAACAGTCTTAATACGAGCTCCTTCAAATTTGGTTACTTCCAGAGTAGAATTAAACATATCTTTAATAAATGCTGTACGTTTATAGATTTTTAAAGGAGTGCCAGTCAATTTCAACTTTTTAGTAACTTGAGTTGATTGGTCTGTATCAACAACTGTCCCAGTAGCTGTTATCCTGAAACCAGCCTTTAAACAAGTGTATGATAAAAAAAAGAAAATTAAACATCTTACGACATTTTTTTACAAACCTGTTTGGATGAAACATCTTGTACAGCTAAAAATCCAGTACCAGGTTTGGTCATTGGACCCCAAAAGTGAGCCATACACATGACATGTTCAGGTGTGTATTTAAGCATCCTGAAATGTTTAAATATATGTAAGTATAAATTATATAGAAATAAGATGAAAACAATTATTGGTACAAATGTAATAAGTTCACTGTTTAATTACCTATGTCTCATATTATCTTCTTGTTTGGAAAATATTGGTAATGTCTGAAATCTTCTCCAACCCATTGATATTATAATAGGATCTCGGTTTTTGAGTATTTTATTATACCATCTATGTTTCTTAATTCGTACCTATTTATTAAAACAATCTTTTAATGAATAATTGAAAAATATTTGTTAAGTTTAATGTTTTAATAATTACTTTCAAAAATCCAATATTTTCTTCCCCACTTTGTAATCCTCCTACTATTAATGGATAAGATGGGTCAAAATTGCTTACTAATTCGCATGGCATTGCATCTAATTCTACCCGAACATACATTCCAGCTCTATATCCTTCTAGTTGAACACGCATTTCATCATCCATTCCTTCAAACTGGCTCTTGTTAAGTTGTGCTTGTTTAGAAGCTTCTTCTTTTAATTCGTCATAATATGTACTTGGACCTCCTTCTTTATCATCATAGTTTTCATCAAACTGTTCTTTTAATTTTTTCTTTTTTTCAATTAATTCATCTTCAGTTAATGGCTTATTAGGTTTTTCAATAACACTGTTATCAGAATCAAAACCTTGGCCCTCAACTTTTTCACCAGTTTCCAAATCTTCAAAATCACCATAAAGTTCTTCATTATCATCTTCAAGAAGTGTAGAAGCATCTTCATTACGATTCCATTTACCAGTTACAAACATGTCTTTTATAGTATCACAAACCTAAAAAACACACAAGATAATTTTAATCAACAAAAATAAATGAAAAAAGTTATTTTTAAATAAATATTTGGTGATTTATAATTTAAAGTATTAATAAACTAAATACTAATTATTACATTAAAATGAATAAAACAAAAGATTTGAATTTGAATAAATGGATAGTAATAATATGATCTCACTAAGAGTATTTTATAATATGTATAACTAAATTTTAATCTTTTCAATGATTACCTCTGATAAACTCCAGTCATGTTGATGATCAACATTAAATTTCGATATATCTTCTAAATTCATGTCATCTTTTTCTCTTTGTTTTTTAATATTTTTCATTGAAGATACTCTAAATAGGCCTCCTATTTCATCTTCATCATCATTTGACTTACTATCATTTTTTTGTTCATTAACTTCATCACCTATTTAAAATATTATATAAAATAATTTTTAATTTAAAAATGGGTTTTTACAATTTCAATTAAAAATTTCAAATGCAAAATAAATTTATGTATTAATAATAACAGTTATTAGTTGACTGTTTATTAAATTATATTATATTAATTTTATTAAAATATCTAATAAAAATAATTTACCATAAACTAATTTCCATAGATTAGCAACTGAATTTTGTCGTTCATAATACGCATTGGCTGCTTTTTGTGCCAAATTTTTCTTCCAATTTAACGTTGAATCTCCTCCATTAATATCTACTAAACTATTTTTTTTATCTTTATCATCCACATCATTTTCATCACTTGCTTTAGTTTTAATATTGTGCTCTTTGTTATTATCACATTCATCACTATCATCTTCAGCATCAAAATCTTCAGCATCAGAATCTTCAGCATCAGAATCTTCAACATCAGAATCTTCAGCATCAGAATCTTCATCATATTCAATCTCATCATCAGATTGTTCTTGTTCTTGTTCATTCCAGATGCTAATATTCGATTCTTGGTTGATTTTGTCTAATTTTGCCAATTCGTTGGCAATTTTTTTTCTGATTTCATTTTCTTTTCCAAATGATTGTCCATAAAAACGTGACTTGTCAGCTTTATCTTTTTTGCTTTCAGTTTCATCTTCAGAGTCTGACCATTCTGAATCAGAATCATTATTTTCTTCACTCATAGGGTTAACATCTTCAATTTCAGAATCATTGTCATCATCATCATCTTGAGTATCAGATTCATCAAGATCAGAAAATTTCATATCATCAGAACGAAATATAACTTTTCGTCGATTTCGACCATCATTTGGATCTGTTACATTAGTTACAGACAATTCTTCTTCCATATTATTATCATCGCTAGAAAAAAAAAATTGTATATTTTATTTATATTTAAAATAAGTTTATGTTTAATATATTTAATACTAAACATACTTTTCTTTAAAATCAGTGGAAACAATTGGTTCAGTATTAGAAAAAATTTGAACTTCACTACGATCAATCTTTTGATCTAAAGTATCTTGTGTCTCAACTATATTGTTTACTAATTCTCGGCCAGGAGTATTATCTTGTGTATTATTCATAATCTAAACAAAATACACATTTAATATTATCAATATTATAAATACATTACAAATAGAATAGTTTTATATATAAAATGTACATAACCACAAGTGTGGATAAAAAATTAGTTTTTTTTTTAAATCTATACACTTGTACCCATAATAATTTTGGATCAGACAATGTTTAATACTAATTTTTGACATAATAAAAATTTATAGGTTTAAAAAATTAGTAACTATTTACTTCTAAATTTAAATACTATTATAAGTTATATAGATTTAAAAATAAGAGAACTATTCCTATGGTACTGGATTGAAAATTGAAAATTTGAGTGTTCATTAATATATTCAGTACCATAAATTAAGTATGCCATTTATACAATATATTTAAACCATAAATAACAAATCAAAATCCCAATGAAAAAATATATTGTATTGACACAAATTTGCATCATCTGTATATATGAATAAATCAAATTACAAAAATGTTTTTAGTGAAATTACATACTTTACTATGAGAATGGCTGCCACCAAGTTCAACATATACAGCATCTTTATCATATACAATTCCACCAACTCCAGAAAATGGTGCATAAACAAGACGCTCTTTGTCAACTAAACTTCTCTTTTTTAATTTTTCAGGTAAAGGACAAGGATCAGGAAGATAACACATATCATATATAGGAGAATCCCCACAACCTAAAACATAATATTACATAAATTGTTACTACATTAAAATATTAGTAAATGTTTACTTAAGATTATTAAAAAAATATATCAATAATTATTAAACACCAAAGTATAATAATAAATGAAATATTTAATTACCTGGTATATGAACACTACTCTGTTTATTCATTGGAATACCTCGAACAAATCCATACAAACTAACTCGACGATCACATTTTACATTCTGTCGAATTAATTCTGGTGGTGTAAGATCTTCCATACGATCCACTAAAATTAATAAAATAAATAATTAACAATCACAAAGAGCAATTCACATAGCTTTTGAGCAATAAGGGCATTGATAAACAATTATAAATGGTTTCATCCAAATTAAGCAAATAAATAATCTATTTATATTTTTTCAAAATTACATAATAACTTACCTAGAACATATGAATGAGAAGTTTGCCAAGTTAAAGGTCTAAATTTCATAACTGAAATGAATCTTCCTAAATTTTTTACTTCATTACGAACATACTCTCCTCTATGAACACCAGACAAATAAAATAATTTTGCACCAGCATAAACTTCAGTCCAAAAACGATGCTTAAGTAATTTTTTTGTACGTTTAAGAGTTTTGTTATTTTTTAGCATATCAAGATGAGATAAGACACCCATTATCTTGGGCATTCCATGTACCTATATAAAATAATAAAAATCAATTTCGTAAATAATAGAATAAACAAATAATTGATATTACTTGACAAATATTAAGAAACTCAAATATTTCCATTTCAAATCCAAATGATGCATCAATCATAAGGAGAACAAGATCAGCTACTTTAGCCAAATCAATCATGCTGTTTATGTCATTATTACATTCAATTAGTGTAATACGTCTTCTTTTACCAGACACTATGGTAACAGGACCATTAATAGTAGTGAGAGGTTGTCTTGTAAAATTTTTTATAATGCCATTAATTAATGTTGTTTTCCCAACTTTTGGAGGTCCAACAACAGCAACAATAATTGGAGGAGGTTCCAAAGGTGTGCGGTCAACAAGAGGTATATGTTGCTTTTTGGTATCCAAATCTTGAGCCCTGATTTAACACATAATAAGTATTTATAGTTTAAGTATTAAAAATATTAGAATTGAAAAAATATCGCTTAACCCACCTTCTGAATCGTCTTTGAGCATTAACAACAGAGTTAATAGCAAATGCTTTGGGATTCCTTTTTCTGGCAGAAGCTTCATCTTGATCCAATTTTTTCTTTAAAACTTTTTTCTCGGCTTTCCTGCCTATACAAACGATAAACATAAAAAAATTAAACTTATCTATTATCTATGCTGACTGATTGAACGTTAATTCTCATTCCATTTTCATAGTTGTACTGTGAAGTGCCTACTCAATCGCCTAAAAAACATAGGTAGTCATAAGTAAAAAACATTACCAGAATGCCTTTTTCTGTGTTCTTTTTTCTTGTCATCGAATTCCTCGGCCATTGTTAATCACGGTGCGAAACGTAAATGACACCGGCTAACGATGTAACCGTCGAATATCGAAATTACAAATACAACAGAAATAATTCCACGAGTCCGTGTTGAACGTAATTATAATACAATTTTGAAAACACGTTTTTTTTATTTTGGTGTGATAAGAATTATCAATTATCAACAACCACACGCGGGACGACTGATAAGGGTGAGCGAGCGGTAGTGTAAAACAATTTACTATTCGTACACCTAGATGGCATTGGCTTTATGTAAATCATAGTAAATTTAATATTATACTAAATAGTACAAAAAAACAGGTTATATTATTAAGTGATGTTGAATATTAATTGAACTTTATTTTTACATTCTGTGAAATAGTTAGAAACGATTTATGCGAACATAAAATTCAAAGGCTGCAATTAAAAAAAAAAAACGAATGAAGCGTTCATCTTATATAATAATATAATAATATGCTTGTATTAAGGAAAATAATATCCGTAAACTCGCAGTTCGTAAAAATTTAATTATTTATGCAACTATTTAGTGTTATCGTAAAAACACATTTTAAAAAACACAAAATCAAATAATCGATGTTTAATATTTAATAACTTCTTTTATGAAAATTTTATCAAAAAAAATAATAATGCTACGTTACAAAAAAAGTTCTAAATTCTCTCCTGTAATATATAAAAACGTTGAATCTCTAGTATGATTATGACCCTGTTAAAACTTGTTTACGTAAACCTCGTTCCTGTTTTCAATATCTCCATTTACAATTTGCGTGTGTTTAGTGTTTGTGTAGTAGGTACTCTTAAATTTTACAAAAAACTTTCCATGTCGTTCGCTTTCTTACTTGATATTCCAGTACAAACAACTAATAAGGTTATTGGTAATTCATTCTACATTACTTTTAAATCTTAAATAGTAATTATGTTATTATAATTTTGGCCTTTGTTCCTTGTCGATTATCCGCCCACTCAATATTGTATTTAATTTTAAGGAAAATGGATTATTTTATAAATCTCAATAGTTCTAATTTGAACTTGTGAAAGAGATATCTACACTATAACGTTCTCATGACGACATTGCACATATTTTCGTAAGTATTTTCTTTTCTTTTATGGGGAGAAGGTGGAATAGGAGAGGGTAGTCAATTTTTTTGGGAGGGCTGTAGCCCTCCTAAAGGTAGACATGTACCAACTCGTGGGGGGCTTCGTCTGCATTTTTTGAGGGGCTATTTTTTCTAACAGGGAAGTTTACCCCTCAGCCCCCCCCCAACTACACTTATGAGAGGAAGTTTAAAGGACTTTGTCCTTACAAATTTCTGTCAAATCCTGACTCGTTATATGCATTTTTTTTAAATATTCTTTTTAATTCTTTTAATACTCTTTTTTTTATAATATTATTAATTTTAAAAGTTTCTTAGATAAGCTTAGTTATTCAAAAATAAATAAATAATGTCTATCAGTTCAAAAGTTAGTTCTTAGTACAACACATAAATATTATTTTAAGATATGATTATGAAAACAGAAGACTTTAAAGGCTTTGTGATGGATAATCTAAAACTGATTTTTATTGCCAAATAAAAGCTTACTTTATTTTCAAACGCTTAATGCTTATAATACGCGAAGTTAAATAACTCAAACATTGTCGACATTTACTTTTAAAAATTTCACCACGCCGCGATCGTAAATAACGTAGAAAAATAATAACTATATAGTCCTATAATATATATAATATTTTTTTTCTTGTAAGAACTATTGATATAAAATTGAAAAAATTATTAATTAGTAATTACTATATTGCAAGACCATTATGGTCTTATGAATTCAAATTTGAAGTTCTGCTAAACCCACGAACATTTGCCCTATTAAGCCATTTAAATTTAAATTAGAATTTAAAATGTTTTTCTAAAGACTTACGCAATGCTTTAAGATAATTTTAAATTAAAAATAATATCGTAAATGATTTTTTAGTAGCTTAAGCTTGCTCAATTCTCCTCGACAATTAACACTTGTGTAACAGTCAACAGAAGTTGTTAAAACAAATTCAAATGCAACATTTGAGTTAAAGTATGAAGGTGGATGTTTATTATTTAATTGGTACATTAATTTTTGTAGACATGTTTAACATAATTTCTTACCACAATTAATGAATTATGATTGGTTGGTAGTTTTTGATTTTTAAGACAAAGGCTAGACTTAATAATATGGCGATTGAAAATAGTAATTAGTAGAGTATAACTTAAAAAAAAAACATAGATTTTATAATAAATAATAGTATAGTAATATACAGATAAAATAAACCAAATGCAATGTACTATCTGTAGTTAAAAAATAAAGTTATTTATAATATTTTATATTTAGATTCAATTTTTAATTATACACACAATATGCATGGTATTTATCTGGCTGTTTGACATAACAAATTAATGTTCATTGTCAATATACCAACGCTATAAAAATAATAGTTTCCTGTGTCTAAAAACAATAGCCATATTATAGGAACGTTTTTTTTTTCCAACGGAGAAACATCATAAAAATATTGTCATATTCAAAGAAAATTTTACATAAAATAAAAAAAAATGGCAAATTCGTTGATTCGATTACTAATCTTAACTTAGGAACAACAATGAGTATGACCTAAGCAGACTCACACATGGCACATTACATAATATGCAGGGAATTAAACTTGTATATAACATTGAATGTAATATACAAATATACATAATATACTAAAATGGCAATTATTATATTACTTTAGTCTGTTTAGAAAAAAAAAATATTTCAATAATATTACTATACTCCTCAATTTTTTTTAATCAGTAAACAGCTGTAACTTTTAAACTATAAGGTACCTATTGGTTTCCTATTATTTATTTTTGCAAAAGTATTCATAATCGCTATAATCAGCATTAGAAGTAATTTGTTTCAAACAATTTTAATGCATAACCATTTTTCTTTTTTTTATAGATTATTGATATGAGATTAATGTTGTTATGTTTATATTAATATATTTTGAAAATTAAAACTAATACGTATATCTATAAATAAAATCATATTTTTAACTTTAATATTTGAAAATTTATGATTTAAGATGTAATGTAAGTATCTACCTACTCATATTTGCTGTTTAAAATGTAATACTTGAATTTATTTACAAGCGGTTATCATTAATAAGATTATATTCAAATAAAATTATATTTAAAAAAATCTCACCCTATATTATCGAGTTTACTATTTAGGCGTGTAAATTGTGATAAATTTATCAAATTAACTACTTAGTGCCTTGCCACTTAAAATAAAAATAATTTCAGTATAAAATTAAAAATCAGTAAAAGATAATATTTTACTTAGAAGTCAATACAATTTAAGTTTTAATTTAGTAGCTTTTTTATTAATTTTATTTTTATTTATTAATATGAACTTTAAACCATCACAATTATTTTAGAATTTAGTGTTAAATATTAGGAACAATAAAAGCTAAGTATAATAATTAATGAGTTACTTGTTATAATGAACTTTAATTTATAGTGAAGAAATAAAAAACGTTTGTATAGTTTAAATTTAAATGTACACTCATTACGCGTAGTATATATAATAGTGTATAATTAATATAAAAAAAACAGTTTCGCAACAACATTGAGGAAGCAAATGAGTTTAAACGATTTGTAAACACAACAAATACCCTTGAATCGTGGCGCAGACCGATTTATATATTACAAGAACAAACACCCTAGGCCCTGAAATCAAGCGTTCACTTCGTAACTATGACAACGTGACTCACGTGTCTTCATTCTTTCGACCGGGATACGATACCTATTATACAGAGTGGTTAATTAATTAAATTTAGTTTGTATCGACAAAATATAATTATACTGTTGTATATTTAATTTCAATGATAAATTGGCGACATTTAATAATAACGCATTGGGACTATTAGAAGTTTATCAGAAGTTACATTCGAAATTAATATAACAAAGTATTTTAATAATTTTTAAGCTTACACATAACAAAAATATTTTAAATATGTCCATACTTAAAATTGTTTTTCATTTTAATTTATCCACTTTAAATCGTAATGATAAGTAGTAAGTAGCAATATTTTTGTGTATATAGTATTTTTTTATCAATAACATTTTATCTACAAATACATTTTTTTATTGTTTTGCATTTTATGAGTAAATGATTATTTATATCCTAGAAATTAAATGAATTACTAAGTATAAATCACATTTTAATTGTAGAATATATTTTGATAATAAAGTAATAAGTATTACTTACATACTATATATAAGATGGTTATAACTGTTATAAGTAATAATATTTAATGTAATATATGGGTATTGCAGCAGCGAATATTGTTTTGGAAATTATTAAAATACAATTTTAACAAGTTTTATGTAAAAATAAGTTTACTAGAATATTTTTTTTGCTCACTGTAAACTAGTTGTATTAAATACGAACATTTTTGCGTATTTTCTAATTATTACTATAAATAGGGAATTTGAGGAGACTTAGCCTTCCAAAACTATGCTAATATTTATTCAAATCAAGTCTTCATTAAGTAAGTAGGTAGTATCTACCAACAGTAAATATCATTTGTTTTCTATAATTTAGAAATGAAGTCCAATCAAAATTATTGAAAAAAAAATGCATTCAACATTTAATTTGTGTAGTTTATAGTATAAGTACGTTTAAAATACGTGTTAAAAACGTGTTATATTACGTATTTAATGAGAATATTATTGTTTTTCCGTAGAAAACGTGGTAAGAGAATGTGATATTTTACCACTACCACTACCACAGGTACCAATAATAATATGTAATAATAATAATAATGTATGTTTGTCAACTATTTCGTTTACTTTTAAGTTGCTGAATATTCAAACGCAAACGATGTACCTAATTTATGTAAAGTAAATAATAATTTGTATACTTTGTGAGTTCCTGGTGTTTTAAACCTATATGGTAAATTAATTTAAGCACTTTCCCATCACACACACATACAAAACCTTTTCTATACGTATTTACTATCTGTAAGTGATATATTGAAGTGCGAAAATAACGTCAATTATGTAATACCTACCGCGATACGGTAATTTTCGACTCGAGTTTTATAATACGAACGGTTGAAAAAAAAAATTATTTC